GTAGATCTCAGCCTCACAACTGGGGCTGAGAACAGAAGAAGAGCGAGTAGAACGCCAAGAAACTGAACCAGAGCCAAGACTGAAGGTGTAACCCTGAGACAACCGCTGAGTAGCCTGGTCGTCTGCCCAAGAAGCGTCTGAGTGCCCAGTGAGAACAACTGGTTCTCGCCCTCCAAGCACTAGCCCCATGCCCGACGTACTGCACAAGTAGCGCAACACCCTCTTAGCTGCATCCATGTGCTCCTTCCGGTGACGGCCGGGAGCGACATAGCGTGCAAGAATGCTAAGAAGGTATGCAAGGTCACGTCGACTGCAGGTCATCACGTACATGAGGCAGCCCACAAGCTCTAGATACGGGCCACTCGGCTCTACGGACTCATCCGAAGGCAGAGCTGAGAGCGAGTGACCGGTAGGCAGAGGAGTGGGCTGAGGCGAGGAGTACGTGAAGCGGAAGCGCTGAAGGACCTGCTGCACCATGTGTGACTGAGTCAAGGTGATGGTGCGGCGTGCTCTGTCCCGGGTGATCCGCAAGCCAAGATAGCTTGTCAATTCACCCAGGTCTGTGCACGTGTGTCTCTTCTGCAGCTCCGACTTCACGTGGGCGAGTGCCGCAGTGTCAGCAGTGGCAAAGACCAAGTCGTCGACGTACACGAGGATGTAGAACGGCGGCAGTGAGGTGTCGGTGCGTAGAAACAGCGACGGGTCAGCAGTAGAAGGCGCAAACCCAAGAGCCGCAAGTGTAGTCCTTAGTGTGTCGTGCCACTCACGTGGCGCCTGGCGGAGACCGTAGACTGGCCGTCGGAGGCTCCACTGGGTACCAGGAGGGAACGACCCAGTGAAGCCAGGTGGGCGGCGCAGCCAGATCTCCTCGTGCAGGCTGCTCTGTAGGAAAGCAGTGCTGAAGTCAAGAGAGTGGAGCTCGTAGTCACGCTGAGCGGCGACGTGCAGCAGAACCCGAAGAGTGGTCATCTTCGGGGTTGGGGAGAAGGTCTGGAAGAAGTCAACTCCCTCTCGCTGACTGATGCCTCGTGCAACGTAACGTGCCTTGAAGACAGGCGGAGAGCCCGGCGGCCGCTTCACCCTGAAAATCCACATGCCACTGACGATGTTCGCCTCTGGCGGGGGAACCTCGTCGACGTAGGTGCCTGTGGACTTCCAAGAAGCCATCTCTGTGTCCATGGCTTTCTCCCACTGAGAGGAGTAGGGATCGGCCATCGCCTCTGCGTAAGAGCGTGAGGTCAGGATGTCTGGTGCATCCGGGTCTCCTCCCTCAGGGGCAACAAGCATGGACACGAGATGGGGCAAAGCGGCAGCAAAGCACTCAAACTCCTCCTGCTTGTCCTCAAGGACGTCAGTGCCAAGAGCACACTCACCCCCGACGGACGGAGGACAGACAGACTCAGACTCAGCAACTAGGCTAGCGGTGTAGTCTAGACGACAGGTGCCAGCAAAGTCGACAAGCTCAGCAACTAAGGCAGACGCAGCAGCGGACTCAAAGGAAGGGTCGGTGACAACAGTAGCCAGGAGACGCGTGACAGTAGGACTGGCAGCACGAAGGGAGTCACACCCCGAGTCAGCAAGAGCAGGAAGAGAGGACGCAGGAGGAGACAGCAGTGGGACACGGTGTGGAGTAGTGGAAGGACGAAGCGCCATCCGGTGAGTGCCTGGGACAGCAGGAAGACGCTGACGCGGGATACGACTACCAGTGAGAGCAGCACGGACAGGCGACGCACGACGAGACTCAGGTGACGCAGGACGAGACTCAGGCTCACGACGCTCTGTAAGACCTCCAGTCTGACCAGTATAAGGAGCAGGACCAGGGAAAGAGGAGGCAGACGGTAACTGCGACTGCAGCTGGACAGACGGAGGACACCCTAAGGAGGGAGGAGGACAAGGAGGAGGGAGCTGACCAAGAACCTGCTGAAGGAGCGGAACGAAGTACGGCCGCGGCCGTGCACCGACTCCAGAACCAGCAAAGACACCAGCGCCAAGGTGCTCAGCACCAGCAGCAGCTCCAACTCCCGGGTCCGCAGCACCAGCAGCAGCTCCAACGCCCGGGTCCACAGCACTAGCAGCAGCTCCAACGCCCGGGTCCTCAGCACCAGCAGCAGCTTCAACGCCCGGGTCCTCAGCACCAGCAGCAGCACCAGCGCTCGGGTCCTCAGCACCAGCCGTAGCTCCAACGCCCGGGTCCGTAGCACCAGAAGCAGCTCCAACCTCTGGGGCCGCAGCACCAGCAGCACCAGTAGAGCCTCCAGCACCAGCAGCAGCAGCGGGGTCCGCGACACCAGACGCGCCACTCCGAAGAGTGCAGCGCCGCTTGAACCACTCACGGATCCGCTCACGGGAGGGGAGCTCCCGACTAGGAGGAGAAGCACTAGCACCAGTCCCAGTAGTACGCCTGGCTCCAGGGGTACCTCTCCTGAGGTTGTAGTACTGTAAGTACCACTCACGCAGTTGCTCCGAGGAGAGGGCTCCTCCAGGTGTAGGACTCCCAGGCTCAGCACCTTTAGACTCAGAACCCCCAGACTACGGACTCTACGGCTCAGCACCCCCAGGCTCAGCACCCCCAGGCTCAGTACCCCCAAGCTCAGCACCCCCAGGCTCCGCACCCCCAGGCTCCGCACCCCCAGGCTCCGCACCCCCAGGCTCAGCACCCCCAGGCTCCGCACCCCCAGGCTCCGCACCCCTAGGCTTAGCACCCCCAAGATCCGCACCCCCAGGCTCCGCACCCGCAGCAGGACGAGAGTCGACAGCTACCTCAACAGGCTCAACCGGGTCTACCTGAGACACACCTGAGGGAGCGGCACCCTGAGGGGGGAGGGGGTCTACGACAGCAGCACCTGGCGCGAGGAAGAGAGGCGGGGCGGGGAGCGGGGCAGTGCGGTAGGGGAAGAGGCGGTAGTAGGGGACGGAATCGTCAAAAGTGACGTCCTAAGAGGGCAAGACTCGGAGCGAGGTGGCGTGGTAAAACTGCCAACCAGGCGCGTCCGGGACAAAGCCATGGAAGACGCAGGGAACAGCACGGGAGGAGAGCTTGTCCGCAGACGCATCGTGGACAAAAGCTCGAGATCCCCAGACCCGGAAACGTGACGTATCGCCAACCTCCCCCGTCCACAGCAGTGTGGTCGAGGTCTCCGGCAAGGAGACACGGGGCCAGAGGTTGAGCTGATGCGCAACGTACCGGACTGCAAACGGCCACAGAAAGTGGGGGGCAGCCGCATGGATCAAGGAGGTACGGGTGACCTCCATGACCAGGCCAATGCGGCGCTCCGCAATCCCATTCCGCTGTGGAAAGGTCGGAAGCGTGAACAACTGCTCAATGCCGTGCTCAGCACAGTAGGCTGCCAAGAGGTCGGAGGAGAACTCACCACCTTTGTGAGAGTGCAAGCGCAGGACAGGTCAGTCCGAGTGGAAATGCTCGCTGAGCTGGAGACGGGCTCTGCGGATCCAAGAGATCAAGACATCAGGGACCTCACCCTTGGTGCGCAAGGGGAAGACCATGGTGTAGCGCGAGTAGTCGTCAACAACTATCAGGAAGTACCTCTCCTGACCCTGACCACAGACGCGGGCTGGGCCCCACACGTCCATGTGGAGCGTCTGCAAGGGAGCAGTCGTCGGGGGAAACGAGGAGTGAGAAGCGGCGCGCTGCCGCCCCTCGACACAGGGAAGACAGGGAGGAGCATCAGTAGGAGTAGGAGGATGAGACAGGTAGGGCGGCTCGGTCAGTACGCGCGGCACGGTTCGGTTGAGGTCGCGCGGCTCGGCTCGGACTGGGCGGCTCGGTTCGGGTCGCGCGGCTCGGCTCGGTCCTGGAGGGGGTGTGGCGGTCACGGGCCGTTCGGGGCCTCTAGGGGCGAGCGGGGGGTCGTTCGGGGCCTCTAGGGGCGAGCGCGGGGCCGTAAGGGGCCGCTAAGGGCGAGCGCGGGGCCGGTCGGGGCCTGTAGGGGCGAGCGCGGGGCCGTAAGGGGCCGCTAGGGGCGAGCGTGGGGCCGTTCGGGGCCTCTAGGGGCGAGCGCGGGGCCGTAAAGGGCCTCTAGGGGCAAGCGCGGGGCCGTTCGGGGCCTCTAGGGGCAAGCGCGGGGCCGTAAGGGGCCTCTAGGGGCGAGTGCGGGGCCGACGGGGGCCTCTAGGGAGGTGAGCGCGGGGCCGACGGGGCCGTTAGGGGCGATCGCGGGGCCGACGGGGTTGCTAAGGGGCGAGCGCGGGGCCGTAAGGGGCGAGCGCGTGGGCCGACGGGGCCTTAAGGGGCGGCGCGCAGTCGCTAAGGGGCGGGTCGCGGGTCGCGGGGCCTGGCCGTGAAAAACGAGGCGCCCTAGGGCGCATGTAGGTAGGTAGATAGTGGTGGGCCCTAAAAAAAAAAAAACGGTCCTAGCGAAGGACCTGCTCTGATACCATGTTAGAATGAACGAACAGGAATGGATTGAACTAACAGTGAAATCAGTACAAGTACCTAACCCTAGAATTGTGTACCCATTGTAGGCTAACACACTGTAGCCTAAACAAACACAACCTATATAATGTTTGACACAGATCTCACCCTCATCGCCCTATACCTCCCCACGCACCCTTCCCCAAGAGCTGCCTTTATCCGTGAAGTTCTTGGCCCAGCCATTGACCGCATTAACCCTTCCTCTCACCTTCTCTTGATTGGTGATCTCAACCTGACGGATGATCCGAAGCTGGACAGGTCTTCTGGCTCCAGTTCATCGTCCGAGAACGACAAGCTGTTGCTCCGGTGCTCCAGCTTTCAGCTGTCTGACGCCTTCCGCATCCTGCATCCGCGCAAGAGAGAATACACCTTTTATGCCCATTCGCACCGCTACAGCACTCGCATTGACAGCGCTTTAGCTTCACAATCTTTACTAACTCACCTGGTGATCGCTTCTTATGACAAGCCTGATAACCTGATTTCGGATCATGGATACGCGATTAAGGTGGCCTTTCGTCTTGATGCAAAGGTTTGCTCCGCGCTTGGCATCTGGAGACTGCATGCGTCGATGGTGCATAGACCTGGAGTGCGGAAAATCATTGACGCGACAGTTCGACGGACACCGTTCAAGGACAGTAGCAGCTTTGAACTCCTCATCGCTCGCTTGGGTGCCGGTCTTCGTTCCTATGCAAGAGAAGAGAGCAAGAGAGTAAAGGCAACGTTGTTACATCTGGCTAATGATGTGGCAAGACTGAAGCAGGAGTGGATGGGGGATCCGGAGTGCTCGGTCAAGCGTACACTGCTGGAGGCAAGAGAGTCGCATTTGAAAGCGTACCAGACGGCGCGGAAGGAGAGGTTGCACCTGCAGGCGGGGTTGTCGGAGGAGATGATGGGGGAAGTGGCATCAAAGCACCTGTCTGCTAGGGTTCGAGAAAGAAAAGGCCGCACACAAATAACGGAGCTGAAGGAGGGAGGTTCGTCCGTCACGGGCGTAAAGCAGATTCTGGGGGCCGCTTCAGAGTATTTTCGGAAGATCTTCGGCAGCGATCGTCGCACGGATTTCACTTCTTGGGATTTCAGTCCAACGCGGTGTCTGAGTGAAGGAGCAGCAGAGGCGTTAACGGCGGAATGGTCAGAGCAGGAGGTGAAAGCAGCTTTCGCAGCAATGGCCAAGAACAAATCACCTGGTGGGGATGGGCTCCCGAAGGAGCTCTTCGAGGCCCACTGGGATCTGTTGGGTGAGAGCTTCATGGTGATGGCGAAAAGCTTCGAGCAAACTGCTTTCCTTCCGATGGAGCTCAAGGAAGCAGTAACGATCCTGTTGCACAAGAAGGGGGACCGGGATCATCTGGATAACTACAGGCCAATTAATCTCTTGAACTTCACTTACAAGGTGTTGGCGAAGGTCATGGCGGATCGGATGAAGTCTGTGCTGCATCAGGTCATCTCGCCGGAGCAGTATGGCTTTATCCCGGGGAGACGTCTTTCTGATGCGGTGGCGTTGGTAGCTGACGTCATTGATGCGGCAAAAAATGGCAATAAGGATTGGTACCTGTTGTTGGTAGACTTCAAAAAAGCTTTTGACTCGGTGTCGCGTGACTTCTTGTTTGAGGTGCTCCGGAAAATGGGCTTCCCGGACCGCTTCGTTGGCTCGATAAAAGGTCTGCACGCAAATACAACAACAAAACTCTTGGTCAATAGCTGGCTTGGTGAGGGACTGGAAGTGGTCTCGGGGGTCAGGCAAGGGAGCCCTCTGGCGCCTTACCTTTTCCTCTGTGCGGTGGAACCCTTGGCTCAGGCGGTGGAAAGGGAGCAGTTGGGGCTCAGCAAGGACGAGCAGCGGCTGAATTACCTCGGTTACGCCGATGATACCACGCTTATCCTGCACGGGGGGGAGCGGATAGCTAAGGCATAGGTGATTCTGGATAAGTTTGAGAAGGCGTCCGGACTCGCGACAAACAAAGGAAAATCAGTCGTGCTGCCTTTGGGTGCCAATCTAGGCGCGGTCGCGGACGGGTCAGCAGAGTTCAAATGGGCAAGCGCTGACGACGTAGAACGCCTGCTGGGGGTATGGGTGTCGCCATCTGGAAGTGGGGTGAAAACGTGGGAGAAGGCATTAGAGCGGATCGCTGAGAAGCTGATTAAGTGGCAGCAGAAGTACTTGACGACCACGACGCGTGCGACAGTGGTAAACCACTATATCATTCCGATCATTGCGTTCCAAGTACAAGTATACCCGCCGTCGGTTGAGGTCTGGGAGGATCTTGTCCGGCTCCTGCACAGCTTCACATCGGGTAACAGAGCGTCAGCGGCGAAGGGTTTCAGACAGTGGAGCAAAGAGCTGCTGTACACAACAAGGGAGTTGGGTGGGATGGGAGTTCTGGACCCCGAGATCATCATCACCTGCCTTGCGGCGCGGAGAGTCGGTCTATTCCTTACGACGTGCTGAAGAAGGAGCTGATGGAGTTAGCGGCAGAACTTCCTCTCAGAGCGGATTCATTCGAGGCCCACGAGAAGCTGTTCAAACTCTGGAAAGGGCGGAGTGCACGGTCGAAGCAGACCTGTGAATGCCTCTCCCGCTCGCCGCTGTGTACGAGGGTGGCGGCCGGTACGAGGGAGGAAATCTTGCTCGAACGAGTGGTGTTCAATAAAAACATTATGCTACGGGGCACCACGCCGATTGGCGGCCAGAAGGCTGCAAAGGAGCTGTTTGATCTCAGGCTTGGGGAGCTGTTCACAAGGGAGGTGTCAGGGGATCTCGTGCAGAAATCCATGGCGGAACTTGCAGCGGAGGTAGGGAGCAGTGGTGCTGCGAAGTTGGCGCTGAAGGCTCTGGGTTGCCTGCCTGCGTTATGGTACAAGCAACTGGGGTTTCCAACTGTGCTCCGTCGCACGGTTGACTCCCCTCCGCAGCTGCTGATTCTGGATGGGGGGCAGGTTGCCCCCATGAGGAAGTTGAAGGAAGGATGGAATGGGGCCCAAAAAGCGCGAAATGGGCGGCAAGATGGGGGGGCAGCATCAACTGGAAAGCGGTTGTGCGCACCCGGGACTCTCTGGCTGTCCCCAGCCGTCCGCGGGATGTTCTCCTGCGGATCCATGGCTTGAATCTGCAAGTTGGGGAGCGCCTGGCTTTTCTGAGCAGCAAGCCTGTCTGCCCGTATTGTGGTGACTCGGAGACGTTGGAACACTGCCTGTTACTCTGCCCGAGGATTCAGGTGGTTTCCAACGCCCTCCGGTGCGCTCTGCGCATGCTCAACCCTGCCCGCACGATGGACTCGCTCGGTGACCTTCTGTTTCGGGATACAGGAACCAGCTCAGCGTTCCCGGAGATGACGTTAACTTCGATTACAATGCACCAATTGTGGGTCGAGCGGTGCGATGCTGTATTTCGTAAGCAGAAATTCCGAACGCAACGTGTCCTGCGGAGGATAGAGCTGGCTTTCCGGCATCACGTGAAGCTGTACACTTACAAATTCGGTCCTACGTGGCGTAAACAATGGCGACGTGATTCATCGTAGGAGTGGAACATGTTGAAGAAGATCAAACTGGATGGCAACAGTTTGAAATGGACAAACACTTTTGCAGCCTTATGGTCGGCGAGGAGGGCAAGGCCCACCAGAACTTAAGTGGTTTCATCTGGAGGCAGGGGCACCACCTCTAACTCCTCACGCACGGTTACGACCGTCTTTGTCTGTATATGCTTGTTCCGTCGGTGTATACATTCAATTATTAGAAAAAAAACGCCTTCTGCTTCACTCCTCTGTTCATTTGCGATCGCGGCTGGTTCTTGATTACCTTTTACTTGAAGGTTCTCCGTGAATTGCTTTTTATTGTGTCCGACACTATAATTTTCGCTAGCTGGTGACATGATTCGGCAAGTCGAGTTGAGCTGATGCGATTGGTCTGATGGTGGAACACGTTTATCTCTCTTGTAGCTGAAGCTTTCTTGAATACACCAGACAAGCGCACGTGATTTGAACTCGTCCGTTGACGCAATAGCACGATAGTTCGAGTACTTTCCTAATCTCCTAATCTCCGTTCAATAGGAGTGCAACTGCGAACCCTATGTCACAGGTCCTTAGTACTCCAGCACGAGATCAACATAACATTGAATCTTTCCAAGCACATCCCGTCTGATTGGTTCCCACACTGTAGTACCCCGGCTTACGATCAAATGATGGACGCGTCATACCGGGGAGGAGGTGCAAGAGGAGGAGAAAGAGAAGTATTGCAACAAAATGGTTCGTGGGACGAAGAAGACGATGCCTGGATGGCGCGAACGGCGAGGAAGCATAAAAGGCAGTTTCATGGGGAGGAGGAAGAGGAGGAAGATGAAGAGTGGAAACGGGAAGAGGAGGAGCAGGAAAGGGGTGTGGAAGAAGAAATCTCTCTTACAACAGGAAAGGTAGAGCCTGCAACCCAAAAGTGTCTCAAATCAGCTGCGTGCTCCGCTGTCTTTTCACTGTCTTTTCAGTCATCCAACTGCTTAAAGTCTTAACTTCTCTCGCATACGCTTGGATACCGATGTCTTAACTCCTGCTTTTTACCGCGAATTGCCCGTGACATTCCAGGTTGTGGAGCAGCGCTCCGTCTGTTGAGTCTACTCAAACGTTACCCTTTTCCCATACGAATCGCCCTTGATACCCCAGGTTGTGGAGCAGCGCTTCGTCTGTTGAGTCTACTCAAACGTTACCCTTTTCCCATACGAATCGCCCTTGATACCCCAGGTTGTGGAGCAGCGCTCCGTCTGTTGAGTCTACTCAAACGTTACCCTTTTCCCTCACGAATCGCCCTTGATACCCCAGGTTGTGGAGCAGCGCTCCGTCTGTTGAGTCTACTCGAACGTTACCCTTTTCCCATACGAATCGCCCTTGATACCCCAGGTTGTGGAGCAGCGCTCCGTCTGTTGAGTCTACTCAAACGTTACCCTTTTCCCATACGAATCGCCCTTGATACCCCAGGTTGTGGAGCAGCGCTTCGTCTGTTGAGTCTCCTCAAACGTTACCCTTTTCCCATACGAATCGCCCGTGATACCCCAGGTTGTGGAGCAGCGCTCCGTCTGTTGAGTCTACTCAAACGTTACCCTTTTCCCATACGAATCGCCCTTGATACCCCAGGTTGTGGAGCAGCGCTCCGGCTGCCTGCGCTGCTGCCCCTCGCTCCTCCTCCTCTCGCTCGGCCTTCTCGCCGGCGCGGCAATCGCAGCCGGCATCTCGCTACTATTCCCGTGGCGCGCGGTGTCTTTAATCACCTCGTATGCGAGCACGGACACGCTAGTCAAGTCGCAAGGAGCGCTGACGTTCCTAGTTGTGGGCGACTGGGGTCGCAATGGCGACTACAACCAATCGCTCGTAGCGGAAGCGGTGAGTCACTGCGATTCTGGATGATAGATGGACTGGTTACCATGCTGGTTACTGAATTCTAGTGGTGGGGGACTGGGGTCGCAATGGAGACTACAACCAATCGCTCGTAGCTGAAGCGGAGAGTCACTGCGATTCTGGGTGATAGATGGACTGGCCGACAGCAGCAGAGATAGGCAGGCAGACTTGGAATGCCATTCCCCTATGCCTCCCTTCCACACCCCCTTCCTCCCCTGAACCCCCCTTCTCATGCTCCCCACTTCTCTTCCGTCCTCCTCCTCCTCCTCCTCCTCCCTCTTTGCCTTCTCTCGTGGTCTTTCAGATGGGGCGAATGGCAGGGGAAGTCAGCTCCAGCTTTGTCATTTCAGCGAGGGACAACTTTTATGAGGACGGGCTCACAGACAGCAGCGACCTTCCAAATCCCCGCATCCGCCACCCCCACCTTCCCCCACCCCCACCTTTCCCCACCCACCTCTTACCCTTTGTTTGTCTCTCAGATGGGGCGAGTGGCAGCAAAGATAGATTCCAGTTTCGTCATTTCAACGGGGGACAACTTTTACGAGGATGGGCTGACAGACAGCAGTGACCCGCAGTTCACCTCCTCCTTCTCTGAGATTTACCAGGCCCCCAGCCTTCGCACGCAGTGGTATGCTGGTATGTGACTTGTGACTATGACGAACGTGGGAAAAATACAGATTATCATTGCAAGTGTTCCGTGGTTCACCTCGTCCTTTTTCGAGATCTACCAGGCCCCCAGCCCCCGCAGGCAGTGGTATGCCGGTATGTCACTTGTGACTATCTTGAATGTGAGTGTAGCTGATGTGCAACTGTATCAAATGTTTGTGGCAAGTGGTTGACCACAGACTAATGGCAAGTAGTTGAACCGCAGACACTTATTCTTTCACTGAGAGTTTCCAAGCTTCCAGCCTGGGCACCCAGTGGTATTTCGTTTTGTGATATTGTGGCTATAACGGGAGTGTGATTATGCGTAAGTTCCCCACATCCCCCTCCCCCTCCCTCTCCCCCTTCCCTCCCATCCTGCCACCTCTTCCCTTCCTTAATCAAGTGCTGGTATGTATGTGTGACTACAACGGGAGTCAGTGATGTTCAGACTCTCACCGTCCAAGTACTTCGTGAGGAGAAGTTAATACTGGGCCTCTTGTTGGTGATAGAGAGTTGATGAGGAGGCCTCGCGTTGATGAAGTTCAGCTCCTCGCGTTGGTGCATGCCAATTCAGCACAACCACAACCATCACATGATTCCACGGGCAGTTTGATCCGGATTTTCCTTTTTGGTCAACCCCACTTGTGCCCCATGCCCGCGATGTGCTCTGCCTCACTGTGTCCCATCCAATCCAGTTCTCGGCAACCACAATTATCACGGCAATCCCTCAGGTGATCCAGCCCTCTGCCTGCGCCACCCTCAGTTGACCTCTTGCCTATGTAACCCCTCCTCTTGTCCCGCCTGCTTTATGCCAGTTCTGGGCAACCACGACTATCATGGCAATCCCGAGGCACAGCTTGATCCAGCCCTCTGCCTGCGTGACCCCCGCTGGCGCTGCGAGCGCTCGTACAACGTGAGGAGAGACGCGTGCCCCAAGTATTTATATGGTGAGAAGCTGTGTGGTGAGATTTCATACATGAATTGTGGGTTTTTTTTTCTTCTTCTTCCTCTTTTTTTTTTTTTTTTTTTTTTTTTTTTCTCCGCCCTTCTATTGTCTAATGTTATGCCCAACCTGTGTCCTTTCCCCGTTGACCTCCCTTTCTCCCTGCCAACTACCAGAACCCTGTGACGCTCCAGTGGAGCTGTTTTTCATTGACACGTCACCCATGCTGATTGGCTACTGGAAACCCTCGGCCAACCAAACTGAGAGGCTGAATTTCACGGGCAGACCGGAGTATTCGCTCTCAATCCACTTCCAAATCGAGGTTGGTTTTTTACTGATCTGGCTGGCTGGGCGTTTAATCTGATAAGCTGGTTGGTATTAACTCACCTGGCTGGTTCCACTCCACCTTCAGTCCTCCCCTCCTGCTGTTTAGGAACCTTTGAATCCATCCCATCCCCTCTCTCCATCTCTACTCTCTGTTCCCACTCCTGCACGTATTCCTCTCCTCATCTTCCTCCCTTCCCTCTGCAATCTTCCCCCCTCCACTTCGTTCTATACCTCTCCCTCGCCCTCCTCGCACTCTGCCTCCTATCTCTCCCTTCCCCGCCCTCTCTGCACTCACCTCCCAGTCGCTGCGAGTGGCCCTTGCGTCGTCAACCGCCAAATGGAAGATTGTGATTGGCCACCGTTGGCTGACTCTCCCTTTCCACCCCTCTCTGTCTCCAATCGTTCCGCTTTCCCCCCCTCTCTGCTGTCACCTCCCAGACACTGAGAGCAGCCCTTGCGTCGTCAACTGCCAAGTGGAAGATTGTGATTGGCCACCACCCCGTGCGCAGCACTGGGGAGAATGGGGATTCAGCTGAGCTCGTACAATACCTCAACCCCATTCTCAAGGTGAGCGACGTGAAGCACCACTCCTGAACTGCTACTAACATTCGTCAAAGCATTCCAGACGAAAGAAATCGACACGCACAGAGCAACAGGGGAGAATGGGGGCTTGGCTGAGCTTGTGCAATACCTCAATCCATCCTCGAGGTGAGTGAGTGTGTGGAGCTCCATCCTCAAGGTGAGTGAATCTGTGGAGCCCCATCCCTGAGTAGTAGTATCAGACCATAGTGAGGCATCTAGAGATGTGTGGTACGTTGGGGAGATGTCCAACTCGGCTGAGCTTGCGCAGTATTCAATCCCCTGCTTAAGGTGAGAAACAGGGGAGAATGAGGACTCATACAGTGCTTCAAAACCCTATCGTCATGTTCTGTCGAGCATCATTCCTGTTCTATTTGTGAAGCATGTGAACACATGCCGAAAACAGAGGAGGATGGGGATGTGAAGTATAGGGCCCCTAAAGCAGGTTGCAGCTCCAGATGCCAAGTATAGGGGGCAACAATGCTTTCCTTGTTACCCCACCGCTACCCTCCCTCCTTCCCACCCTTTGATCCAGGAGCATCAAGTAGATTTTTACATGAACGGCCATGATCATAACCTGGAACTTTTCCAGGAACCTGCAAGGTGAGATAATATTTGAAGGTCTAGCCTGCCATGTGAGTCACTGTTTTGGCAAGAACCTTTCAACAACATGTAGACACGTGTTTCAGGTGCAACCATGCTCCTTACTGTGGCTGTCAGTGTTGGGTACAGTATGTATGTTCCACGAACTGACTTGTTACCGTGTAACTCGTTGGCTGTATGCAGTTCGCTGTTCTTTGTAACGAGTGGAGCAGGGTCGCAGGTGAGCCACAAGCGGTCGACTACAACCAACCCCTTCTCCCAGTTCTACTATGCAGAGCAGGGGTTTGTATCAGTCATTATTGATGGCAACGGCTTGAAGCTTAACTTCCATGATATTGCGGGCACTGTAATTCACACCCTGTGGGTGGACAAGTAGCGATGGTAAATGCAGCATGGTGACAGTCTAGATAACCATGCTGTGGTTGACTGTAAATACTACAGTACGGTCCATCTAGCACGGCCTTTTGTGCTTCAACATCAAATGTTTAGTTTACTGGGTTCCTCCCCTCCCCAAACATCCAGAGATCAATTTAGGATCCACCCATGTGGAGGTAGATGTTCAGATAGCAGCATGCAGTAGTGCATGCAATGGTGTGGTACTATAGAGACTACCATAGCTTAACAACAATGTGTGAGCGCCATAGAGACCTGTAACATCCCACAACAAAGTGGTTACCTTACATCTTCAGGTAGCATGCTGATGCCCAACGACTTGTAGGCGAGCATACAATTCTGGACAAGATAGATCAATACAACCAACCCTGCCATGAAGCATGATCATCATATCACCACGTAATAACGTCAAATATGAAAGCTCCATACAGCTCATAACATCTAGCCAAACAGTAACCATGGATGAACGAACTTCATCAGAACGACAACTGCACAACTCCTAATGCTGAGGTTCACAAATCCATGCTCACTCCCTGGCCGCGGTCTGCGATACAAGCGGACCAAGATGCTGCTCTGTACCCAGAGCAGGAAGAGCGTTGACGTGCGAAAGAGCGTAGGTGCGCAACGCTTGCAGAACAAGCGAATGCGTTACAGGCGGGCGCACTGAGCACTGAAGTCTTCAGGCGCAAGCAGACCAAAGGTAGCGCATCCGAAAAGAAACCAACAACTTCGAAGATACTTCGTCCAACAAACGAGGATTATGCTGCTCCATCCATTGCCAACCAGCTTCGAAGATACATCTTCAGCCTTATCAGGGGTAGGCTGCTCCGACCATTGCATGGCTTAGTTACCCCAAGTGCGAAAGGACATGTGAAAGGCAGACTTGAAAAGAGATAAGAGCGGGATGTGTATGTGCAGGCGAGACGGCGAACGACACGCACTGAAAGACGAACACGAGCACGAACAAGAGTGCTCAACGGACGGACAAACTGGAGGAGTGCTACTAGTGAGTGCAAGAGGAAAGGGTAAAGGGTAGATATTATGGAGACACAAGAGCTGAAGGGAAAGGACCAGGCTAGCAGGAAAAGACTTCCGCAGATGCTCTTGCCGTTCCTGACTCCAATTTAAATACGGAGGTCAGGAATCCTTCATCCACACATCCTTTCACCACGTCGCCATGCAATCTTGGACACTGCTTCTAAGCGACCTGAAGAAGCCTCTTCAGGTTGCCTTCAATCACCAACGTATTCATCGGGTAAGCCTTCATGTGCTCAGTGGCACACGGCACGGGAACGTAATCTTGAGCGAAATCAGTCGTAACAGGTGCTGACTGCTTGAGAGGAGAAGAGGGTTCCGACGATGAGACGCGTACATTCGTAGGGCTCGGCTTAAGCTGAGCCTTAAGGAAGCTGGGAAGAGGAAGAGAGCTAGGAGGAGGTGAGTTCACGTATGCAGGACCAGCCCACGCTTCAGAGGTAGGTGGCGGAGTAATTACATCGCGGGTGGGAAGGGGTGCTGCAGCTGCGGGAGCGGTGTAGCTGGTTGTTGAGGAATTAACCGCCACGCCGGATGCCGAAGCACCATTATTTGGGTGATGAGCTTGCGAATCGTTGTTAGGAGATCCATGTCGCGATCTATTCTTCTTGGGGGATCTCCGTGTGTTGCCACGACCTTTCCGCATGCCGCCAGCTACCGTGGCAGGTTGGGGAATCTCAAGAACACTTGCTCCATTCCTGTTACCCAAAGAGGAAAGAAAACTCTTAGTGACCGCTCTAGCGACCATCAAACAAAGTGGATCGATACCCGTGAAACACGGGACAATCCTCACCTCCTAATAGCATCCACGTCCGTATTGATGTTAACAGCATCCTCAGTAAAGTTAGTGAAGCCCGGAACGAAGTATGGCACAAGTTCACGTCCGAACGACGGAAGAGCGACTGTCCCCTTCTTCTGGCTAGCAGCAATCACCATATCAACCATGATGTCCTCGTCAGAGCAGAAAATCGCAGACTTAGTCGATGGAGCCATGTCAACTATCTTAAGGTGAAAACGAGGAGAAACCTTTACGAGAACCGCCTTCTTACGACTTACAACCAACACAAAACTTCGGTGTTGAACCTACTGAACTCCCTAACTAATACTGTTTTGGTGAAACGGATTTTCTGGATGATGTCTAGAAAGACAGCAAGCTCCAGCTTTATGCCTGGTTGCTCAGCTCACAAGCAAGAGGCAAGGATGGGTGGGGTAGGAGCAAGCTGCCTGACGGTGCTGCTGAGCTGAATCCTAGGGTGCTGCTGGCCTGACCTGCTGGGAACTCCGTTGGGGTTTCAACGCGGAAAGGCGGGCGGAGACGAAGCTGCGCGGAGCATATGTCGGGGGAAGCGTGGGCTTTTTGGGAGACTGGAAAAGCCGAGAAGATGCGGAGACGGTGGGATGTATCGACGGAAGCGGAGGGGATGGTCCGTGCGGGGATAGCGGAGATGCATGTGGTGCTGCTGACTGCGGAAAGGAGCAGAACGGTGCGGCGCTGCGGAGAGCAGACCCTCTGTCAATCAAACCCTCGTCATCGGTCCTGCCCGAGCTGTCCCGAATCCGTCCAATTCCCGAACGGAAAGAGGTGGGGAACAGGCCTGTCGATTCACGGGCATTTGCCCGTTTGTCCTGAGAATTCAGGGCTGGGTTTGACGCACCTCAGAGATTTTAAGGGTTAGTTTGCGAGGAAGCCCGTAAGGAAAACGGACTGGTTTTGCCCTTGGCCGGACCCTAACGGACTGGTTTTGGGCCTTGCCCGGATTTCCGTGTATGTCCCCCCCCTTCTCCAACCACCCTCCCCCCTCCCCCTCTTCTCCTTCACTAGCTTCCCCTTGGAGTTTCTTGACCCCTTATCCGCAAATCCGCCTCAAACACATTTAGTTGAAACTTCATAGTTCTTGTAAGCATGTATGTTGCTGGCTGCAAATACACTAGGCCTGAAGTCAGCCCTGATTCTTACTGGCCAGCCCTGATTCTTACGGGCCAAAATCAGCCCCTACCCGGATGCTTCCAGGCTGGTTTTGGGCCAGCTCAACTTCGTAAGGGTTGGGTTTAGAGCAAGCGACAGGCCTGGTGGGGAAAGCCTGACGTTTGCCTTCTCGTGACTTTGCATGGCTATGCTTGCAGGTGGTGGAGCTTGTCCCATGGCTCGGCTCACCGTCGAAGGTGTGGTGCAGGGCACTGTGGCACGGTTCGGATGTCGAGGTTTCAGTTTCAGGTATGGCAGGCGTTCGCCTCGGAATCTCGGGCCGCATCACACGTGACAATTTACCGAGTTCTCTGCACGGGACGTGAAACAAACGGACGCGGCGAATGCGGAAGGGCGAAATTTCGCAATTGTTGGCGAGGCAGCTCTCTCCCGCTTGACACTGTTCGGCGAGCGTTGCAACTGTTCGACCCGAGATGAAGCGGGAATCGCAGGCATGATTCAGTGTGGGACGGGTCAATGGTGACCAGATTTCCGTGCCCGCTCTCCAAGTGACGTGTCTCCTGCTGTTTGACATGTAAAAGCCTGCTGGATGATACGTAAATTCTGTGCGTACGTACAGTACAATTGAGCTTTGTGAATCGTTTGACGTAGAACCCTCATCTGTTGCATGCATGTCATCTGGGATGACTTGTGGATGCCTGCTGGGGTTGTCGAACCTGTGGCATTCGGCAAGCCACCAACCAGGTGAGGATTGTCATTACAACCTGGCGAAAAAAAATGGGTTTTCAGTTGAACACGCACACTTACTGAAACTATGCGCCAAAAGAGCAGCACTGTAGCTTCTGGCGCATGGTTTCTTCCAGTTTTTCGCTCATAGCGCAAAATTAGCTCCTTTCAACGCAGTTCGTTCATCATTGGCCAGAATATCAACTCCGCTTAAAATGACGGCCTGCGAACCGTCTACACCTGTATTTTGGGCAGACAAAAATATAAACCCCTCTCGGATGGCATGTTGTTCAGAGAAGCATCAACCCTAAACACAATGCGGAAGTGCTTATAGTTGTTGCCAGAAACAATCGGTTTCAATGTTCGTGATCTGTATTATTTTTCGATGGCAGCATCGAGGGAGTCATCAACCCAAAATACCATAAATTGGGTGTCTAGGACTGATGCCCTTTTTCATGAGTTATTTTTTTCCGCGCAGGTAAGAATACAAGACTGGATATTTTCTGTTCTCACTAACAGTAAAACATATTGGCCTCTAAATTTCGAGCATGTGGCCCAATGACCATCGAAATGCGTTGAAAGGAGCTAATACTACGCGATGAGCGAGAAACTGGCAGAAACCCTGCGCCAGAAGCTACAGTACTACGCTTTTGGCGTAAAGTTTCAGTGAGCGTGCGTGATCAACTGAAAACCCAAAAAAAAAAAAAAAAAAAAAAAAAAAAAAAAAAAAAAAAAATCGCTGAGAACGAGATGTGGGCAGGGCAGGCATTCCTCATGCTTGAAGGAAACAGCTTGCAAGAAAGCTTTCAGGAGAAAATGCTGGCTCATATTGCTTGTCCTTTCTGCCAAAACTCCTGGACCAATCCTTCTTGTGCCATCAATGAACAGTTTCTATTGGATAGGGAAGAAAATCTTCCTTTCCTCCCTTGTAACGAGATGTTGGCAGCCCCAGCAGATTCTGTTTCACCGTAGGTGTAGTCTGACGTGGCACAGCAGGATGCGCCAGTTTGGTGATGGAATCGATGTTTCAAGGGTAATTACATTCTGGGTAACCAACATTGAGCCCGCTGACGTCAAAGGTCACCTACGCGGCTCGATGGTACCCGTCAGATCATGCGCGCCCCTTGGTGGTACCCATCTTCCCTCCGTGGTACCCATCTTCCCTGCGTGGTACCCATCAACTGTGCGCGAATTCCCTGACTGGTACCGCAACATTTTAACCGAGCTGTACACCGTACAACAAGGGTTTGAATGCGTTTTTCACTATATTGTTTTAACGTTTACAAGCTCCATAGAGTCCAAAGCCCGAAGTGCCACATAATCGGGTCAAATTTTCAAGCGCATTACCTATAATAAAGTGCAGAAGAAAAGCTGGATTCTTAAAAAAGGAAAACATTTATTGTGTAGATTTTTTCAGGCTCATAAACATCCACATTATAACGTGCTATAATTTAAATCAAAAATGATATATTGCATCAACCGAAACAAAAAAACTAACATCCGTATAACAAACAATCAACTCGCATGTAATATATACATTGACTTAAAGTTATTTGATTTTCATTAATGGATATTGTTTTGTTTCCAGAAACCAACGAATGTATGTAATATTTGTTTATGATTTTAGATTTATCTGTGGGGGTACATGCTCAATTTATTTGCATACAACCTTATGAACTTTGTTCATATTACCGACTGCGCGCTGAGAAACATGGTCGCAAGATTCACGCTACCTATCGCTCAGTGGTGTGAGCTTACAAAGGTTCGGAGGTAACGTGAAGATTTTAGAATGGGAGTTGATTTTTTCTAGGCTGCACTCTGTCTAGTGTAAGGCACGTTCAAAGGTAATAATGTTCAAATGTATTAATGTTCAATTGCGGGCCAAAAACGTTGGTATAATATAGTGAAAAATGCATTCAAACCCTTGTTGTACGGTGTACAGCTCGGTTGAAATGTTGCGGTACCAGTCAGGGAATTCACGCACGGTTGATGGGTACCACGCAGGGAAGACGGGTTCAACGGAGGGAAGATGGGTACCACCAAGGGGCGCGCATGATCTGACGGGTACCATCGAGCCACGTAGTGACTTTTGACGTCAGCGGGCTAGATGTTGGTTACCCAAAATGTAATTACCCATGTTTCAACTCCAATCAGATTACAGTTCTTACGAACCACACGAGGCGGAATCTCTGCGCTCAAATCAGATACAAGCACAAGCAAGGCTTACGGTATGTGGTGGGCAATCCAAAAATCGCTTTTGCATGCCCAACAAAAATGTTACAGTAAACACTATTCCCGTCATTAAAAAACGGTGGAGAATATAGTACATACAGTCCAAATAAAGGTTAGTTAAAGTTGCAAGCTGAACAACCATATGTCATAATCTGTACAAACGAGTAAGCGATTGGACGAGGTTGAAATATGCGTACTTAACATCGAATTGCATGTCATACCCTGCATGGAATTGTCAATCAAAGGCAACAAAAGCCACATGTCAGTAGCAAAACATAGACACGATGCACTGCAGGGTGAAATATGATTGCAAGATGAGAGAAAAAAGAGGCACACGCATGATATTACATGCAGGAGGACGTACAGTAATTGAGAGCTATTGTTCGGCCGGTTTCCCCAGGACTCTGCGAGACATGGTGATACCACATGCTTGGCCTGCAACCACAACAATACACACATCCAAATAGTCCATCAATGAAGACCACGACAAGTTGCCATGGCGAGGAAAAGAAACACTTCGTTACAAAATATGTCGCATGCCACCTGCAATCGTGCTTCTTGATCTCCATCTTCTGCACATCTCCCCATATTCCTAAACACCCTTCTCACGACACATCTCTGTCGCTTTCTCCTCCCTCACTCCCCTCACATACAAGCCTCTCCTCACGCACAAGTCTCTCAAATTCAACTCCCTCGCACATTCTCCTCACAGTCATCACATACAGGAACAGCATCTCTCCAGGACCAATGGTGCAGACCAGGGGAGGGGGGCGCTTAAGCTCCTCGGAACTACCCCCGTCCGCACTGCCAGCGGTCGCAGAAGCACCCAGGGCGTGTGGGCACGGTATGAGGGGGTTCAGTGCGGCATCCACAGAGGCCCATGGCACCATGCATGGTGGGTCGCTGGGGAGGATGTGAAACGGACCCCGCTCGTCCTGGTAGGGGCACAGGGGTGACAGGGGGAATAGGGGGAACAGGGAGAAACGTCATGAGTGTGCATGGGGAGAATGGGGAACACGCGGGCATGATAGGGTTCAGTACGGCATCCACAGAGGCCCATGGTACCATGCATGGTGGGTCGCTGGGGAGGATGTGAAACGGACCCTGCTCGTCCTGGTAGGGGCACAGGGGTGACAGGGGGAATAGGGGGAACAGGGAGAAACGTCATGAGTGTGCATGGGGAGAATGGGGAACACGCGGGCATGATAGGGTTCAGTACGGCATCTACAGAGGCCCATGGCACCATGCGTGGGGGGTCGGAGGGGGGGATGTGAAACGGACCCCGCTCCTGGTAGGGGCACTGGGAGCACAAGGGGGAACGGAGTGAAGAGGTGAAACAGGGGGAAAAGGGGAAACAAGGGGACAGGGGGAACAGGGGGGACAGGGGGAACAGGGGGGACAGGGGGAACAGGGAAAACGGGGGTAAAACAGGGGGGCACGTCACGAGTAAGCATGGGGACGATGGGGAAACAAGGGGCGTGAGACGAGAGGGCATGGTCCGGATTCCACAGAGGTGCAGGGCACCAAGCAGAACAGCGAAGGGATCAGAGGAGGGCGCCCAGTAATCTACTGCACAGTTTACCTCTGCCCGCCAGTATTTTGCAGCAGGGTATTCCCGCACTCGCATCCTGAACACGTCGAGCGGGGGCAGCAGCCGGAAAGTTTTCCTGCCCGTGACAACCACGTAGAAGTTTTCGTAGTGGTCCTTGTGCCAGCTTGTCACTGCCCGTTCGTCCCCAATCCACAAATTTACAGCTTCGGGCAGGTTGCCGCCCAGCGCAGCTGTGGCGAATCCGACGTGTTCGTCTGCATCTGCAGCTAGGGCGGCAAATTCTGTCCTGAAGCTGCCGTTCTGGTGCTGAACATAGGGAATGCCGATGAAGGGCGAGCGTGAGGGGTGTGATGCGGCGAGTGAGGGAGAGTGTGAAGATAAGTGTGAGGGGGAGTGTGAGGGGGAAGAGCGCGAGGAGTAGAGGAGGCGGAGGAAGGTAGGGAGGGTGAGGGAAGCTTCGTGCGGGGTGACAAACCACGCACAGGGCGACTCACAGCGACAAGCCCGCGGAATGCTGTCACAACTGCTGCCGCCACAACCACCACTGCACGTGCCGCCACAGCTGCAATTATTTCCCTCAAAGCACTCCGCTGCTTCACATTCCCTTTCCCGCTGGTACTCTTCCCTTCCCGCTTCCCCCTCCCCCTCCCCCATCGCTTCCGTTTCCGCTTCTGCTTCCGCCTCCTCCCTCTGTGCCTCTTCGTCTCGTCTATTCATTTCCTCGCGCCTCTCCCTACTATCCCATCCTTCCTCCCCAGGAAACAACACCCACCTTCCTACACCCAGATTCTCTATTATCTCACCATCCCCTACCTCGCTATCGTCACCGCTCCTACGGTCACACCCGCTACTCGCTCTCCCCTTTCCCCTCGTGTTACACCCTGAACCCGAATTCTCAACTGCTTGTTCCCCTGATCCAGCTTCTGACCGTCCGATGCCGTCCCGCCAAACGATTGCGTCGCCGTGACCGTCAGGAGTGAAATCCACCGTTATCCTTTTCTCCCCGAGCGCGTCGATTAAGTACTGGTCGGTCTGCCAGAGGGACAATGCCGGCCAATGGCTGACGGCGCCGGTAATCACGCACGGCCGGTTAGCCGCTACATAGTCGCGGTAGAATTCGAGGGGGGAGAGAACTATGGGGGGATCGCTAGAACCACTAGAAGGATTGAAGCCTGCTCTGTACGCGTTAACACTCGCTTCGGTTTCAGCATAAGATCGCGCAGCTGCGTGCGAAATAGCGATTCTGGGAACGGCGGTCGCGCGACTCTCGCGGCTGGAGGCGATAATGTCGCCAGAGTCGTCATCGCTGTCGCTGTCGCCCGTTGCACCGAAGGAGAACTCGCGAGCGTCGCATGAGAGACGGCTCAGCAGCGACGCAACCGCGTCCCTGTCACCACCTCTTCTCTTATCGCGAAGGGCCATCAGGCGACCCCGCGAGATATGCTAATACCTGAACGACTAAAGCTGCTTCTATCGTATCCTAGTGCTTGAAAAATCGTGCTGAAAATGAGATCGTTAGGATCAAAAGGAGAAAGCTATCCTCGGTACAAACCGAATCTACTGCAATACTCTCAAATTCATAGCGACTTCAGTTAGGAGTGTTAGGCCCTATGGCATAGTGATGAAGGAACACAAGCTTGGCATAATGCACATAATATTGGAAAAACAGGCACATTCGAATGCCTTGCAAACTTGCGCTCAAGAAGGTCGAGTCAAACAAGTGTTCATTCAGCAGACCAATTGGTCTCCAGCCTTACTTCGAACCACTGCAAAGCACCTTTCCCCCCACCCAACTCCAATTCACAAGCCGAGTCGAGCAAAAACTCTGCTGCTTCCTCCAGACTCTCAAAAACTGCCAAGTCGTCCGACAGGCGTTTCCCGTCCTTTTCCCAGCTTTGAAGCTCATTCAAAAGGCACTGTAGCACTTCCTCGCGGGATAGAAACACTTCCTCTTCGCCAGGAGCTATAAAAACGTAAGTGTTGGCTGTTTCGTAGTGTACTGAGCGGCCTGCATTTAGCTGGCAGATGGGGACCAGGGGGACCAGGGGGAGGGACCAGGGGGACCAGGGGGGAATGACCAGGGGGGGAAGGGGGAGGGACCAGGGGGACCAGGGGGAATGACCAGGGGGGCAAGGGGGAGGGACCAGGGGGAGGGGCCAGGGGGGGGGGAACCAGGGGGAAGGACCAGAGGAACCAGGGGGAGGGACCAGGGGGACAAGGGGGACCACGTGGAGGGAAGGGCACGGGTAAATGGAAGTTGGTTTCGAACAATCAACTGGGAGAATGTGCAAAGGAGCATATGGATCGAAACACCAGAACATGGTACAAATGCAGAAAACTGCCTGGAAACTCTAAAAGGAGGACAACTTAGGGGACTACGTTAAGTTTGACATCTTAGGAGACCAAGAAAAAGAGAGAGAGAGAGAGAGCAATCAAGAGAGGGGGAGACAGAGGGCAGGAAGGTTCTTAGTGAAAAATGAAGGTAATGGAGGAAGAGGAAGGGAAATATGAGGAGGGGTAAGCAGCGGGAAAGAGAATGCGGGAAGAAGGGAGAAACAGGGGGAGTGGAGATGCAGGAAGAAGGGAGAAGCAGGGGGAGTGGAGATGCAGGAAGAAGGGAGAATGGCAGAGCAGAAGAGTGACCGTACCCGAGAAGCCCGAGATCTCGAAACTTCAGCAGAAACGATTACTATCCGTGGAACACATGCTGTTACAGGCAGCTTTGCACGGAATGATGGTAATGGTGTCAATAATGCTTTCCAGTGCACCGTTTCTGACCGGCTTCGAACGAACATGCATGATCTAGCGGTTGCTGAAGACGCATTCGACGTCATCGGCGCTGCTAATGCGGCTGAAGCGGGTGAAAGTGACATCATTGCTGCTGCTTGCAAGTGGGTGGGGATTGGAAAAACACAACAAGAGCACACGAAACGAAGAGAGCAGGCGGAGGAGGGAGAAAGAAATGCAATGCGTGAGACGACAGGTGACAATGGGTTGATGAGAGAAGCGGATCAGAGGCAGGTACGGACTGAGAAGGTCCAGTCTCGGTTTGCAAACAATTTCATATCGAAGTTTGATTACAGCTTTTAGTTAAGAAGTCGCAAACATCAGGCATGATAAGCAACAGGAATACCTGTGCAAGGACCCATGGTGGCGGCAGGGGTTCTAATTAGCTACAGTCTAAAGCCGTGAACTACGGCTGCTGCTGGGATGGAAACGCGTGCTAAAAATGAAGAGAATTTGAGTCTCGTTGGGAACTTGTTGCAATCAGGGTGGGATGAGATGAGACTTGCTTTGTACCCGCTATGTATACCTCGTTTTGAGAGTTGTCGAATATTGTTCTGTACTGCAAAACTTTTTGGAAAACGGGTTCTGCTGCATGTCCACTGGTACTTTAAAAGCGGTGTCCACATTCCTGAATTCTTGTTCTGGGCCACGTGTCTCTCAGCCATTCCATTTCCTGACCTGCAGGAAAATTGGTCCAACAATGCTTCTGAACCACGGTCTGCTGTTCAACAAACAACATCCTTGTTTCTGTACACTTTAACACGCCCTGAATGCCTTTTTTTTATATTTGGGTGAAAACAATTAGAGAATTCAGACGGATGAGAATTGCTTGGCTATTTTGAAACATCTTACTCGACCACCTAGAATTCCTATTTTACGCAAGGTGATTACCCAAGAAACTCCCAGCAATGGCGAAGCTCCCAAGGGACACCATGGCGACTCGATCCATCATCAACCCATCGTCATGAACCCTCCGTCAGCACTCCATGCACCTATCCTCCACTCCACTCCACTAACACCTCGCCTCCCCCCCCTCCAAAACTTCCACAAGGAGCAAATTCTTCATTATGCTACAACACAGTTTTTCCACTTCCCTGTTCTCCTCTGCCTTTTCTTCCACCTGATATCTTTCGGGGATCGAAGCGTGTAACGGGCGACGCACGCAAGCGTGCCGTGTTGGTTTGCGCCTAGAATCCTCTCCTTTCTGAGCGTAGAATTCGTCTCAGTTCCTAGCGCGCTTTGCAGAACGTCAGACGTCGCGTAGATAGCCGGCATGGGAGCCCTTTTCACTGGGGCCTCCTCCCTATCCAAGCTCTCCGCCGTCGCACGTGTGTCGCCTACGCTTTCGCCCAGACAGTCTCTTGGTTCGCTTAGCGATCGCCTGATTCCCTCGGGATTGATCTCCACGCGCGTTGCTAGAACCCGACTTTACCGATCCAGCCTATTTCCCCATCCCGCCGCAATGGTCGCCGGGATCGACGGTGGAATTGGCGGCCACTCGGCCGATAAGCAACAACCCGCGAGGCCAATCACTGTCGCGTCGGCGACGGCTGCAGGAGATGGCGGCGCCGCAGCTTCCTCGCAAGTGAAGGAGGTTCCAGCTGGCGCCGCAATTTCCGGCGCGAAAACTGGGGTAGCAGCCGCGGCGGGGAGAGGAAACGTGGGAGTGCGGCGATTGGAGGAACTTGAGTGGGAGAGCACGTTTGTTGACAAGCTTCCTGGGGATCCAGTCGAAGAAAACCACGTTCGAATAGTACGTACTAAATGCAGGGAGATTCTTTGTGCTAGTAGTAGTTAGGCACTTCTTTTCTTCTTCTTCTTCCTTTTCTTTTTCTTCCTTTCTTCTTGGCGGCTTGTTTCGTTTGTAATTGGGTATTTCTATCGACTGAAATTTGTTTATGTGATACCTAAAACCGAACCTTCATCACGGTCTTTCGCTGCACGTGTGTAATTACATGCATGGCGTTGCTCTGTCCCTCCTTCGCGCACCACAGGTTCGCAACGCGTGCTACTCGCGAGTGCGACCTTCGCTAAAGCTCAAGGACCCGCAGGTCGTCGCCGCTTCGGAGTCTGTGGCTCACCTCATTGGCCTCGATCCGAATGAGTGAGTTGATTTATAAGTTCTACTTTCGCGAATTAGCTTTCTGCTTTTGCTCAACGTGAATTCAGCCGTGTTACCGCGTCGGAGTTGGTGGCTCACTTTATTGGTCTCGACCCGAACGAGTGTGCTCGTCTGTGAAATTGCCTGAATAGTTCTAGCCTTGGAGTCCACTAGCTATGAAATTCCTAGCCCTAAAGAAATATGCAGCCTTTCATATTGTGTTGGCACTTATATTTTATATTTCCTTCCATTCCGCTTTCCTCCGCCACAGGTTCACGCGTCCTGAGTTTGCGGCGGTCTTCACGGGGGGCATTGTGCTTCAGGGCTGGTGAGTGGTGAGAGTAAAGGAACCTTCTTTTTCATCCAGTTTGTCAAGTGCTTCAGGCCTGGTGCGTGCTGAAACCGGTCCTCTAGGGCTGAGGCCAATTCCGGAATTATTCTAGGGCTGAGGAGTGTGGAGTAGAAACGCGCCTCATCTCTCACTAACACCCCTCCGTCTCTCCTCTTCTCTCCTCACATTCTTCTGCAAGCCTCACGCGCAGTGCTACAAAGGGGCCCACACATCCCCGCCTCCCCTCTCCACTGCCCTTTGCCCCTCCTTTACCGCGCACTCCCCCTGCCCGCTCCCGTTCTTCCCCTGTTTCTTCCCCTCACGCCTTGCAGCAAGCCCTACGCGCAGTGCTACGGGGGGCACCAGTTTGGGTCGTGGGCGGGACAACTGGGGGATGACCGCGCCATCACTCACCCCATTTCCCCCCCCCCTCTCCCCCTTTTCCTTCCCCCGGCAGCAAGCCCTACGCGCAGTGCTACGGGGGGCACCAGTTTGGGTCATGGGCGGGGCAGCTGGGGGATGGGCGCGCCATCACACTGGGGGAAGTGGTGCTGGGGGGGGAAGGCGCGCAGGGGGAGGGCGCGCAGGGGAAGGGGTGGAGGGAGCGGTGGGAGTTGCAGCTGAAGGGGGTGGGGAAGACGCCGTACAGTAGGCACGCGGATGGGCGCGCTGTGCTGCGCAGTTCCATTAGAGAGTACCTCTGTAGCGAGGCCATGGCCGCCCTGGGTGTGCCTACAACGAGGGCGCTCTCTGTTGTCACCACTGGGGAGAAGGTGCTGCGAGACATGTTCTACAAGTGAGTGTGGGTGTGACTGTGTGTGTTTATTTCAGTGTCACCTATTCTTGATGAGTGAGTGTGATCGTCCGTGTTGACTTCGTAGTCACGCGATTTCCATTCCCATCCCCCCATCCCTCCATTTTTGAGGCGCCTCAAACGTAGTCACGCGATTTCCATTCCCATCTCCCCATCCCTCCATCCCCATCAGTTACAGCACCAAGTTTGAACCAGGAGCTGCTGTGTGCCACGTGGCACCCCATTCCCCATCAGGCCTCTCCATTCTCATTGTCGCATCCCCATCCCCCCATTCCCCCATCCCCCAATTCCCCCGCCCCCCCATTCCCCCATCCCCCCGTTCCCCCATCCCCCCGTTCCCCCATCCCCCCGTTCCCCCATCCCCCCGTTCCCCCATCCCCCCATTCCCCCATCCCCCCGTTCCCCCATCCCCCCATACCCCTCTGAACGCCAGTGGCAACGCCAAGTTCGAGCCCGGAGCTGCTGTGTGCCGCGTGGCACCCTCCTTCATCAGGCCAGCCCCATATCCTCATCATCCCATCCGTTTTGCGCATTCCCTTTCCCCCATCCCCTCCCATCACCCCATTACCCCATCCCTCCATCCAACCCAGTGGCAACGCCAAGTTCGAGCCCGGAGCTGCTGTGTGCCGCGTGGCGCCTTCCTTCATCAGGTCAGTCCTCCTATCTACTCAAGCAGCATTCACACGAGGTGCCGTTTTTGCATGAGGTTGCTTTTTGTTTGCTTAAGATACGCGTATACCAGACTGTTTACTTGACGGTTGTGATAGAGCATCACGGCTGTTATTGGAAAAAAAGAGGTTGGTGAAATTTCTCAATATTTAAAGCACGTTTTTTACGTGATCTCGCGCCCATCTAATTCTCCTTCTGTTCCGAACAGATTCGGCTCGTTCCAGCTCCATGCCTCCCGGGGAGGTTTGGACAAGGAGATGGTTCGGGTGCTGGCGGACTACACCATTCTGCACCACTTCCCGCACCTGGCCGACCTCCCCGAGCCTCCAGTGCAGGTCCGGGAGCCAGGCTCAGAGGAGGACGAGGAGGTTGGGGATCCCGATGCTGTGGATGTGACGACAAACAAGTATGCAGGTATGTGGTTGGCGCTTCCATTCACTTGCGCTTCCGTTCACTTGCGCTTCCGTTCACTTGCGCTTCCATTCACTTGCGCTTCCATTCACTTGCGCTTCCATTCACTTGCGCTTCCATTCACTTGCGCTTCCGTTCACTTGCGCTTCCATTCACTTGCGCTTCCATTCACTTGCGCTTCCATTCACTTGCGCTTCCGTTCACTTGCGCTTCCATTCACTTGCGCTTCCATTCACTTGCGCTTCCGTTCACTTGCGCTTCCATTCACTTGCGCTTCCATTCACTTGCGCTTCCATTCACTTGCGCTTCCGTTCACTTGCGCTTCCATTCACTTGCGCTTCCATTCACTTGCGCTTCCGTTCACTTGCGCTTCCGTTCACTTGCGCTTCCATTCACTTGCGCTTCCGTTCACTTGCGCTTCCGTTCACTTGCGCTTCCATTCACTTGCGCTTCCATTCACTTGCGCTTCCATTCACTTGCGCTTCCGTTCACTTGCGCTTCCGTTCACTTGCGCTTCCGTTCACTTGCGCTTCCGTTCACTTGCGCTTCCATTCACTTGCGCTTCCGTTCACTTGCGCTTCCGTTCACTTGCGCTTCCATTCACTTGCGCTTCCATTCACTTGCGCTTCCATTCACTTGCGCTTCCGTTCACTTGCGCTTCCGTTCACCTGCGCTTCCGTTCACTTGGGAACAACATGAGTGTGCTCGGCCTCACAATCGACTACGGCCCTTTTGGCTTCCTCGACTCTTTTGACTGCGATTCCCCCCCCCAACACCCCTTCCCTTCCCCCTTCCCTTCCCCTCCCGTTCCCCGTCCCCTGCCCCTTTCCCCTCTGGCTCCCCAGCATGGTTTGCTGAGGTAGCAAAGCGAACAGGAGAGCTGGTGGCGGGGTGGCAAGCAGTGGGGTTCACACACGGCGTGCTCAACACGGACAACATGAGCATTCTCGGCCTCACAATCGACTACGGACCCTTCGGGTTCCTCGACTCCTTCGACCCTGATTTCACCCCCAACACGTCGGACATGCCTGGGAGGAGATACTGCTTCCGGCAGCAGCCTGATATTGGGCTGTGGAACGTGGTGCAGCTGGCCAATACACTTGTGACAGGTGGCATCATCGGAGTGGCCGAGGCACAGCACGGGGTGTCCAGGTGTGTATTTGGGATTACCAGACGTGTCTCAACTCAGCTCTGGGGCGTACTCTAGGAGGCCTCATCAGCATCCGCTAGGGCCTTTAGGATTCCTCGGATTCCTCGACTCCTTTGACCCGGATTTCACCCCCAACACGTCTGACATGCCTGGGAGGAGATATTGTTTCCGGCAGCAGCCGGACATTGGGCTGTGGAACGTGGTGCAGCTGGCCAATACGCTCGTGACAGGTGGCATCATCGGAGTGGCCGAGGCACAGCACGGGGTGTCGAGGTGGGTGGGAAGGGGAGGCTTGGCTTTTTGGGTAGCCCGGGGTTTAGGGTTGGCATTGCCGGTTGGTCGGGCTTGGTTGGATTCTGAGGTGACTTGGGTTTTGTGCTTGCTAGGTGGTTCAGTCCCCCCCAAAAAAATAAACACTCACACACACTAAAAATCAAGCAAGCAAAGACAATTTTAAAAAGTGGGGCAGATGGGTGACGTGGCGCACATTTCTCAGCCTAACCGGACTACTTCCTTCATCTCCCATCACAGGTACGCGGAGGCCTCCCTGCCTGCCTACCAGCAGTGCATGGCAGCCAAGCTGGGTCTGCCCGAATACGACAAGGACCTCACCCAGTCGCTGCTTGCACCCCTTCCGTACTCCCACCTCCCAACCCAGATATGCCGAGTCCTTCCTCTCAGCCTACCAGCAGCGCATGGCAGCCAAGCTGGGTCTGCCCGCATACGACAAGGACCTCACTCAATCATTGCTGCAGCTCATGGCCAAGCATGGGGCTGATTTCACCAACACCTTCCGCAATCTCGCCCGCGTGCCGGCTGAACGAGGTAGGTGCTGTGTTGCTATCCACTCACGAGTACGTTTTTTTAGATTTTTCAATAAACGAGGTAGGTGCTGTGTTGCTATCCACTCACGAGTATGTATTTATAATTTTTTCAATAAACGAGGTAGGTGCTGTGTTGCTTTCCACTCACGAGTACGTTTTTTAAGATTTTTCAATAAACGAGGTAGGTGCTGTGTTGCTTTCCACTCACGAGTACGTTTTTTAAGATTTTTCAATATACGAGGTAGGTGCTGTGTTGCTTTCCACTCACGAGTGTGTAGAAACTTGTGTTGAGGGCCTTCCCTCCTCGCCCGCATGCCCGCATGCCCGCTGAAAGGGATGGGTCTTCTAGCGGAGCTGTTGTTGGGAGTACGGGTAGTGGGGTTAGTGTGGGGCAGTGCGGTTAGTGGTGGTAATGTGGGCTGTGGGGGTGGAGCGAGAAGTGCAGGGCATTGTGGGTAGAGTGGGTACTGCAGGTGTTTGCACACCATGGTTCTGATACGGTGCTGTGAATAGCCATGCTGTGCAGACTTGCTGTGCTGTGCAGACATGATGTGCTGTGCAGAGATGATGTGCTGTGCAGACATGATGTGCTGTGCAGACATGATGTGCTGTGCAGACATGATGTGCTGTGCAGACATGATGTGCTGTGCAGACATGATGTGCTGTGCAGACATGATGTGCTGTGCAGACATGGTGTGCTAACACCTGCAGTTTCCGCTCCACCCTCCCCATGGTTTTTGCCAGCACCAAGGTGACTTTTGACAGCACCAAAGTCTGATTAACACCTAGTTTTGAGACGGCCCAAAACAAAAAGAGGCTCTTAGGGATTGCAAAATCGTATCAGCAACTTCGGGGCCTTCGCCTAACTCCCTGTCGTTCTGCTTCCCCCTCTCCTTCCCCTTCCCCTTCCCCTTTGCAGAAGCTTCAAACGCTGACCTGCTAGCACCAATGAGGGGGGCGCTGGGGTTGCAGGAAGGGGCAGGGAAGGAGGGGGAGAAAGAGAAGGAATGGGTGGACTGGCTCCGGCTTTATACTGCTAAGGTGGGTGCAATGGCCTGTCATCGTGTGTTGCAATGAGATGATTTTTGAGTCAGCTACCCCGTCTGTCTCTTGCAGTTGCAACTTTCGGTATTTCCCTGTCGATGTTTTCCTTAACACTCTTTCTCTCACCCATACCCCGCTTGTGTCTAGGTTGACACTCGCCCTGCACTTCGATACTGTTTTTGCTCCTCATTTCGTGTGCACCTTGCGAAATGTATTTTCGTCGTCCCCTTGTTGTCCCTGCTTTCAGCTACGGGCTGAAAAGGTTTCAGATGCTGCCCGGCGAGCAGCTATGGATGCAGTCAACCCAGCTTACATCCTCCGCAACTACCAATGCCAGCTGGCGATCGAGGCAGCTGAACATGGAGATTTCAGCGTTACACAGCGGTTACAGGAAGTGTTGCAGAATCCTTATAAGGAGCAAGCAGGGGCTGAGGAATTTGCCCAGCCCCCTCCTGAGTGGGCACTCAAGCCTGGGGTTTGCATGCTCTCGTGTTCTTCTTGAGTGATTTGTATTTCTACGTATTGAGGGGGATAGTGTATAATAGGGCTGGTTTCTTGTGAAACTGAACCATAAAATTCATTTATCCATTGACTCGACATGTTGGAATGATTGAAGACATGATCTTAGATAACTCTGGAGATATGGAAAGAAGTGCAGTGCAGCCATCCCGCAACAATAAAAATTCCCCTGCGGACCGCGTAACTTCGTTCATTTTCCCAACGATCTCAGAAATGCGACGCGGAGGTCGTACAAATTTCTCAAATTTCTGTGGGAAATTCGAATTCCGCCAGCCAAGGCGCGAGCAGAAAACCAAGCCGACATTGCGCCCCTTTTTCAAACGGAATGCGGAGACGCACACACAGCAAACTCCTGTCTCTTTCCCCAATTTCATGCCTGTTGCTTTTGCTTCGTCATACTAGGTTGGTTCAGGTCTACTCAGCTTGGGCTCTTCTTTACTAAGACGGAATTTCCAAGGTTCTCCTTATTCTCCACCCGTTGTGTATCCGTTGTTATTCGAATAAGATCGCTGTTTCGTCGAACTCTCTCCGCACTAGCTTTGGCGGCGCACCGTTCTGCTCGCCATTTCGTCTGCAGACCGCCGTCGAAGTATCCAAAGCGGACTTAAGTCTCCTCTTGCTCAAGATCTCCGTCCAAACCACCGACGGATCGTCGTGTAGCACGCCAAACTCCCCATCCACCCACCTGGCGTCTCTAGGCCTTCAGCCCCTCGAGTTTTAGGAAGACATTCTTATAGATACTGCCGTTCACTTGAGTAGCTCAAAAGTAAAGACCTATCGAAAGCACATTACTCGTTGAGCAATAGGTTGCTATCCTCGCCAACCGCCACTGCAGTAACGCCAAGTGGGCCTAGTATCCGCACCTTCCGCAAAGAGCATTCTCTCCCTGATTCCCGCACCAATTTCGCTCTGCCACGTTATCATCTTCACCCGTTATAGCACGTTGCGCTTGTCGATACAGGCCATGGCATCGCTACTCAGAGTTGATGTCTTAATCTCCTCACTCTCTCGCGTACGTGCCTTCCAAACCTCCACTTCCTCTTCAAACTCCTTCACTTGCGGGGGAAAAAACACTGAATCGGCTCCTACCTCCTCCTCTTCCTCCTCCTCCGCCGCCTCTGCCTCCTCCTCCTGCTCTTCGGCGAAGCGCGTCAAGCCAGTCCGCTCTAATCGCATTCCTCTCCACGTCCTCGTCCTCGTGATTTGCGTCGCTCTCTTCCCCGCAATCTCCGCCGCCGATTCTAACGCAGTTCCCGTCGCTTCTCTAGTCCGCGGTCCGCATCGCGACGTGTCCAGGCGCCGCGAGGAAAGCGACAGGCAGCTTCTGCGAAGCTTCGAGGAGCTGTCGGCGGGGACGATGGCGGCGAGCGGGCGGAACGCGGAGGACATGCTTCGCGACGCGATTGAGACGGCAAACTCGCAGCGCAAGACCATCACCGTCCACCTCACGTCCGACGTCTTATTAACTAAGTACGCCGCCGCTTGCCTGGATTCCACCGAATCACCATGCACTGCAGGGTACCAGCTCAAGACTAGCCGTGCCGTTTCTTATTGTTTTCCCCATCTCGCCCTTGCCCCATCCGCGCAGGCCGCTACCTTCTCTCGGATTCAACGCGGGAGTGGCGGTCAAGGGCAGCTGCGCGGGTTCCGCCAAATGCGTGATCGACGGGCGGCACAAGTACGCCGTGTTTTCCGGCGGCTTCAACTGCTTCATCTCATTGGAGCAGGTCACCGTGCGCAACGCCGTCAACGGCGTGCACACCGGCGGGTGCGCCGTCACGGCGCGCCGAGTCACGTTCATCAACAACGTCGCGCGCACTACCGGCGGTGGCGCCGTGGTCAAGTGAGTACCCAGCTAGTGGCGGGAAGGCGGGAAGGGAACTAGTAGCAGTGGGCCCTAGGGGCTGGAGGCTGGGAGCTGCTCTTTATCTTCTGCGAGTTCGTGAACAGCACCGCCGCCGCAAGAAACCTCTTTGCACCCAGCAAGTCTTAGCTTTTACCCCTCTCTCACCTCTCCCTTCCCCGTTTGCGCTTGCCCTTCCGCCTCTCTCTGCAGTTCCCGCGCCGCCTCCCCCACGTCCGGCGCGCTGCTCTTCACCTTCTGCGAGTTCATCAACAACACCGCGGAGAGCGGCAACGGCGGCGCGATCAACGTGGGGCAGGAGCCCGTGGGCGGCCCGCGCGTGCAGCTGGCGGGGTGCACGTTCCGCGGGAACCGCGCGGAGAAGGGCAAGGGCGGGGCGATCTATAGCGAGGATAATGTATTTTACATGAATTCCGTCAAATTCGAGAAGAACTATGCTCGTGAGTGTTGCTGTTGACATGGCTTGTGTTCAGACAGGCGAACAGGGATAGGGACGAGTTGATAAGGGAATATTGCGATCTTCGCAAAGTTCTTGCCGCCTTTCCTGCTTCCTTACCTGCCCTTTTCTTGCCCCCTGCCCTGCCGCCTGTCCTGTGGCCCCGCATCGAACCATAATCTCCTCCTCTTTCCTTTATATTCCCCCTTTCCCTCTCTCTCCCCTTTGCTCCCGTGTACCCTTTTCCACATTTCCCTCTTTTTTCCCCTTTTGCCCTTCTTACCTGCCATCAGTGGTGGGCGGCGGCGCCATAGCAACGACGGCCAAGAGCCTCACTATAGTCAAATCCATCCTTCTTCCCCCTCTACTGTCACCTTGTCTGCTGTCACATGCAGTGGTGGGCGGCGGCGCCATAGCAACGACGGCCAAGAGCATCACTATAGTCAAATCCACTTTCTTTAGGAACGTCGCGGTTCAGCCGCCCACAGGCCGAAACAACGGCGCCGACAGCGGGGGAGGGGCCATCCTAGTCTCCTCTCGAGATACCACACTCTCCCTCTGCTCCACCTCCTTTGCTAGTAACCACAACAACATGCGCTCCCAAGCCGGCGACATTGCGGTTCGGCAGCTCGCGGCAGGCTCGGGAACAGGCTCGGTGAGCTTCTGCAGCATGTCCGCGCCTGCGAATGTGGATCGCGCTCCGGGGCTGAAGATCCGAGCCAACTGCAAGGGCTGCACGGGGTGCGCTAACGACTGTAACGGGCACGGGACTTGTGTTTATAACGCGGATTTCACCCCAAGCTGCCAGTGTGTGCGACGGTGGGACAACGAAACGGCGTGTGCGACGTGCGTGACGGGTTACACGCGGTTGAGCAGCTGCAGGGCGTGTTCGCCGGGGTTCGTGGCGACGAGGAGGAAGAACCAGTGTGCTCCGTGCGCGGCCCTCGACAAGGTAACATCTACCTCTGGTGCTATGTCGCTGGGTAACTTCTGACTTCATCTTTGCACGCCGGCACCTGCGAATGTAATCCATGCCACTCACTCATTAGCCAATCCCACTCCCTTGTGTTCCCCATGTGCCTGGTCTGCGCGACAACCTGCAGCACATAACAGGACTGGTGCTTCTGCCAGCCATCATACAAGCAGTGCCAGCAGCCTGAGCGTCATACGACCCTCTTTATCCCCGCAGGTTCCTACCCTTCTATCCTCTCCCTTCGTTTCCCCGCAGGTGCCTGGTCTACGTGACAACCTGCAGCACATAACAGGAATGCTGCGCCTCCCCTCCTACAAGCAGGGCCAGCAGCAGTGCCTCGCCTTAACAACCCTCGTCCTCTCTCTCCTCCTCTCCCCCTCCCCCCAAACAGGTGCCTGGTCTACGGGACAACCTGCAGCACATAACAGGCATGGTGCGGCTCCCCTCCTACAAGCAGTGCCAGCAGCAGTGTCTCGCCTTAACAACCCTCGTCCTCTCTCTCCTCCTCTCCCCCTCCCCCCAAACAGGTGCCTGGTCTACGTGACAACCTGCAGCACATAACAGGAATGGTGCGGCTGCCCTCCTACAAGCAGGGCCAGCAGCAGTGCCTTGCCACACAAGTGCAGCAAGCAGACTACTGCAACCTCTGGGCCTACATTGCCAACAGCGCCTCTTCCTTCCCCTCCTGTTCCTGTCATAAGTCAATAAGCCCTCCTCTCTCCTGCCCTGATCCTCCTGCCCCTTGCCTCCTCTTCCCCCTCCCCGCAGGTGCCTGGTCTACGAGACAACCTGCAGCACATAACAGGAATGGTGCGGCTGCCCTCCTACAAGCAGTGCCAGCAGCAGTGCCTTGCAACACAAGTCCAGCAGGCAGACTACTGCAACCTCTGGGCCTACGTTGCCAACAGCGCTGCCAACGGGGAGTGCGGCGGAAAGTGTATTATGTTCCACGACCCTGACGATTGCGGGGTGGGGAAGATCGTAGCGAATAATAAGCTCGGGGTGTGGTACCAGTATGCGGAACCTAGCTTCAATGCCTGCAGCTAGATTGGAGAAGGTTGGGAGTGGTGATATGCGGCTCAGGGCAGTGTCAGCATGGTACGGTACCAGAGCCCGAGCCCAGCTTCAATGCCTGTGCTACTGCTGCTGCTCCCCAGCTCCCCTCCCACCTTTACACCTTTACACCCTACGGTACATTGCGGGATACGGTACAAGCCTGCAAGCCGGATATCAATTGATCATGCTTTAATGATCATCATCACATCATCATGCCTCATGGCTACTTAGACTGATGGCTCCAGCATTTACGTAGAATTTCTGTTACCGGTAGTTGATGTGATGTTTTCGCTCCAATCCCAAGGGGGATTGCGTCATGCACCATTGACTCCATGACCAATTCCCCCCTGATAGTGCTTCTTGTGATTTCTTATGCTACCGTACTACTGTTGCACAGTACCACTTGCATGGACTCACGACAGAACGATCTTTCTTGCAACACACCACACGTAGCTAACAAAGAGCACCGAAAAGCTTCTAGTACAGCTTTTTCTCTGCCCCTCTATAATTAACTATAAAACAGTTGCTCTTACAGTATGAGCAATCTGATACTATTACACAAGCTGGCCATACTATCCGGTCGTACAGGCCACTGCCCATCTACCTGTTAAGCCTTGCTCTGATTCCCCCCTCCAGCACTCGCTGCTGCAGCTCCGACAGTCTCATCTGGGTTGACGAAGAAAGAGAGGAGGGCACACAGAGTAGGACCAAGATACACCAGAGAGGCTAGAACACACACGTTGACCAACTGTATGGTGCGCCAGAGCCGCCATTGGCAAAATCTACCTGTTGAGGCGTGCTCTGATCTCCCCCTCCAGCACTCGCTGCTGCAGCTCTGACAGTCGCATCTGCGAAGACAAAGACAGGGGCGCACACAGAGAGCGAGTAAAAGAAATGTCAGAAATGTTCGAACACACACATATGGGTCGCCGCTGATCTACCTGCCTATTGAGCCGTGCTCTGATCTCCCCCTCCAGCACTCGCTGCTGCAGCTCTGACAGTCGCATCTGCGGGGACAAAGACAAGTGTGCACACACCCGAGCAAGAATACGAAACACCAGAGACGTTGACTGCCGTATGCTCCAATGCCAATCGACCACTGCCAATTTACCACTCTCAATCTACCTGCTGAGCATTGCCCTGTTGCACGACTTGAATGCAGTTGACGGCTCCTACTATCCCAGGTCTTGCATTCAACTGCCAAGGGACCCGCATGTCCAGCAAGAAGCTTCACAGGTAGCATTCCTATACGACAAGGAAGCTTAGTGGCTAACAAAGAGCATACCTGCATGACTTGAATGTAGTTGACGGCTCCTTCTATCATGGATCCCAGGTCTTGGTGCGGACCCAGCAGGTCCAAAGGCACAGTCATTCTCAACCGCTTCAGTGACTCACTGCCACGAGAAACGTTGAAACAAGGGAACATGCAGCAAAGAGGAAGCGGAGACGATAGAGAAGAATGGGGCAGAAGGATCGCTATCAGGCACGTGCATGCAGAATGCATCGAAACTTTACGACTTTGCTTCCTTCCAAGACAGCAGAAAGTGAGGTAGAGGAGGGTTAGCGGGCAGAGAGCATGCAAAATAGCGTCGGTAAGGCATCATGTGCTGATGCCATTTGTACGTGGGGCAACCAAGGCAGAGTCTGGCACAGCTACAACGGGACAGCTTATTGGCTTACCTTATTCTTTCTCTCCTGCGCCGCTCTCGCATCGACCTCGGCTTGATGTTTGCCTGCTGCCCTTGCCTGTGCCGGCCACCACTGCCGGCACCAGCACTGTTAGTGAGACCACCACCACCACCGCCACCACCATCACCATCACTGCCAGCACCAGCAGCACCACCAGCAGCAGCACCATCAGCAGCAGCACCACCAGCACTGTCGGCATCACCACTACCAGCACCACCATCGGCTGCTTGCATGCCCCCTCTCTCCCCAAACACAAAGCCCCCTGCAACAAAAGCAGGAGTGCCAGCAGCAGCACCAGCAGCAGCAGCAGCAGCAGCTGCAGCGCCATCAACAGAAGCAGATGCGGCAGCAGCAAAAGCAGCAGCAGCAGGAGTGCCAGCAGCATTGGGACCATCAACCGCCATCCATGCCGCCGCTCGTCCATTCTCTCTCCCCTCCTTCACACCCCCCCTTCCCTCTCCATCTCCCTGCTTCATCATCACGTCGTCTGTTCCCTCCTCCCCTTCCCTCCCCTGGTTTTCCTCATCCTCACCCGCCCGTTCTTCTCCCTCCCCCTCCCCCTCCTCCTCCCCATCCTCCTCCGAGTTTGCAGCCATAAAAGACGCCATCATCTGCATTCTCTCCATGCCAGAACTGCCTCTGAAACATTCGGCTGTGGCGCCAGCTGTAGCACCGGCTGTAGCACCCACTGCCGCATCGGCTGTAGCACCGGCTACTGCACCAGCTGTACTAGCACCGGCTGTGAACCCCCCTGGAGCGAACCCCCCTGCGACTCCGTGCGACTCTCCCATCATGACCGTCTGTAACCACTGCGAAATGTCGCCAAGATCTTCTCTTTCGCCGTTCAGCGGCGGCACGCGTGGAGCAGCAGCAGTCGCCGCCGCAGCAGTTCGCGACTCGAATCGCAAAGAGCCGCCGCCTGCGCCGGAAGCGCCGCCATCTGCGCTGGAAGCGCCGCCATAGAAATCTTGTTGAAGAGATGATCTTGAGAAAGCCGCTGCCACGGGGTCGTCAAATGCTGCCATTGTCATCATTACTTGCCTCTGAGACGTCTCAAAAGCCATCATCGTTTGCACCATCATGCGGTGCGACTCGTCGTCCATTGCCGAGGCCGGGAACTCTCCGTGATACGACGGCGGCGGCGGCGGCGGCGGAGGCGGCGCTGCGGCCGTGTCGCCTCGTGGCAGCGACGGGAACCGCGTGACGATGCGCTCCAAGCCGGATAAGGCAGCGACGGGAGCAGGGTGGGGCGACGATGGCTCCGACCCTGCCGCGTTTCGCGGTCGGGAGAGCGGCTGCGACTGCCCCGACTGCCACGAGTGCAGCGTTTGATTCCCTGCTTCAAGCTGTTCCGGCATTTGCGCGAAATCTCTTGTTCTTTCCTCCATTCTCACGGTAACTTTTCGGATGAAGCAGCAGCGAAAGAAGTCGCGAGAGTAGCAGGGGAGCAGCGAAACGAGAAAGTGAATCGGGAGGAGCGAGAGGAGCAGCGGAAGAATCAAACTGCTGGCCTTTCGGATAATAGCGCGGCCAATGCCGATGCTCCTGCAGCAGGTTGTTTTGTTCCGTCGCGTCGCGGCAAGCGTCAACACAACGATCGTACGGTGGCAGATGCGGCGGCGAGTCTGGCTGGGGGGAGAACCGGCCTTCAGATCCGGACTTGCTGCACCATCAGAATCAATTCAGAAATGTCACGCTGGCAGTGTGCGGCGGCGCGAGCGACAAACGCGCTTGTAATTAGCTGAATACCGTGCACTAACGCGCTTCAACGCGTACGCGACAATGCCTCACGTGCAGCTTTTTCAATCGCGCTTTGTCTTGTCGACTAACTACTTCAGGCTGCAGAAACCGCCCGAGTTTTGCCAGATAACCGGCCAAAATCTGACATGGGAATGCAGTAAGTCTTTCACGGATTCCTGCATCCGTCATCGGGATTTTACAGCGAGCCTCTCGCATGGAAAGAACCCCATGAGGCGGCATCTCTGTCAAGGCGATCTTAGCTGTACAGTAGCAGACAAAGGAAGGACAGGAGGACTGAACCTTGAACTCGGATTGGGCGGTCTTTTAATGCGGTAGGCCTGAGGTATTGTTGAGCATGCTTCAGGAAGGGTGCAAATCGCGGGAAGTAAGAAGCTTCCGACCCGAGCCGCCCAAAGTGAGGACAAGAAAAATGCAGTGGTGCTGTAGAAAATGATTCTTGATGTGTGTGGGAGGAAATGAAAGGCACATGCTTGAGTCGTTGAACTGGGCCAAGAAGACAGACCATAGTGAATGCAGTTTGCAAACCAGGGGTGCGAGGAGGAAGGATGGGATGGGTGGGATGGAAGGAGAGGAAAGGGAAGATCGGGTCGGGGGAAAGGACGGGGGAAGGGAGGGGGATCTCCGATGTACGTGTATGTAAATCGACCAATAAGCGGGCGACATGCGCGGGTGAGAATGGGGAGGGGAGGGGACAGGAGCAGGGAGAATGCGGTGGGCCGAGTTGAGGTGGGTGGTTGGGTGGTGAGCAGCGGGCTCCTGAATGGACGGATGGGTTCGTTGCGGTGCTGCTCTGCATTTGTTGCTGGCAGCAATGGACTGGGCTCTCTTTTCGTAAAAACCCGCGCTACCCGAAACACGCGCACGAATATAAGAAATCGGTTTGAAAACATCTCCACGAGCGGACATTTCAGAAATTACAGTTCAGCTGTCAACGCTTTTCACAGTTCCTTCACCAACCTAAAATCGCAGAAGAGAAGGTGAAGGAAAAGCGGATAGAACGGAGAAGAGAAGTTCGTAAAATTTTAGAGAGCAACACGTAAAACAAGAGCTGTAGGGCAAACCAAACCGAAGTGACCGTCCACAAAGTTCGGGAGAGGGGTCTGATTAAAGTTGTTCGTCCGACGCAGTCAGAAGCGCAAGTTGTATGTCCTGGATGACGGTCGCGAGGCATCGTATCCAGACTAAAGTCAACGACTATGTTCCATGTCCACTGTACAGTACGTACAGTGTTCTGAGGAAAGCTGCACTTGCACTCCAAGTTTCAGATGAGAAGTTCGCGATTCCCGGCTCAAGTTCAGATTGGTTCCGGAATTAGTGAAGGGTGCATGGGCGAGGCTTGGGGGAGAGGAAAACAAATGAACTGGTGAGGGAAACTTGGTCAGATGGGCAATTGGCAGTATGCCATTAGTATCACTACACCATTAGAATGGCCTATTTGTTGGATAAGCATTATGAAGAAGTTTGAGAGACAATTGACAAATGGAGGGAGAAAAAGACATATGCTAGAGGAGCGTGAGCTCGAGAAAGACAGGGCATGGAAGAAGAGTGACCGTACTAAGATTTTCCGTATTGCAGTTGTGTGAAGGTGAGTAGTTCGCGCAGACATGTTATCCCAAAAACTCATAAAACAAACCAAAACAGGACAGGTAACGTTCAACATAAATTAAGTGTGAACACATTCAGAGTCCTGGAACGAACTTTACAGTGTACATCATGAACATGTGCCGCGGAAACTGTAAGGGTTGAAGACTGCCCAGCCCACATTATCAACATGCACTGCCATTGGGTATGAAAATGCACGCAACCCACAATCATTGGAACAAAATCAGGCAACCAGGGTTGTTACAACCAGTATGAGCTGATCTGAAATATATGAGGGTTGGTTGAAACAACAGGTTTGTTACAACAACAGCGGGCTGGCTGGCTGGTTACAATAATGAATACAAAGGAAGAGGGGTGTGGGCCAGGAAAATTAGAATTGCCAGAAGCAAATGCAATGCAAGAGGTGCGGATGGGCCTAGTGGGACATATGGTGAGCAAGAAGAGGGCAAGGAGGCGTTAGAATTCATGGTGGCGAGTGCACCATAGCTGGTGAGTTGCAGGAGAGCAACACTAACAACCAGAAGGGAGCTCGAACAAGGGAGGACAGCACGAGACTCACGCAGAGCAAGAGGAAGGGGATGTTGCATTGAGCGTCATTGTGGCGAGTGCGCCGTAGCTGGTGGCGCCGACCGTGAGTTGCAGGAGAGGCGGGGAGGAGGATGATGAGGACGAGGGGCAGAGGTACTCCTTGTAGGTCTTGTACTTGAGGGCTCCTGAGCATGGGCTGAAAGGAAGGGAGGACGAGAGCGAAAGGACAGGCAAGAGAAGGAAAGCAGGAAAGCAGACGAGGCAACCAATTTTGCAACTTGGGAAGGTTGGGAAGAGGGTCGGCATAAGCGAAAAAAAAAAAAGAACAGGTTGAAACGAGGTTCAGTGTATGCCAGCACATACGCACACCTTGGGGGAGGTTCGGAAGAGCCGAACGAGACTCACAGGTTGGGAGCATCGGTGGCAAACCATTGAGTGCTTTGGTCTTTCGCCACCATCTTGACCTTCAGGCCCCCCTCACAGCCGCCCTTGTCGTACGACCAGAGCTGCAGTGAGTGAGAAGAGAAGGGGAAGGCACAGTATTGTTGTTGCGGCAGCTTGCAAGTAGACTCTATCTTGACCTTCAGGCCCCCCTCACAGCCGCCCTTGTCGTACGACCAGAGCTGCAGACAAACAGTAAGAGAGAAGAGGATGGGAGAGTGGTGCTGTTGGGGTGCCTCAAAATTAACCTCCATGATGAATCTGAAGGTGGGGTAAGAGGCTGTTGGTGGGAGCAGGGTTTTGAGACGTCTCAAAACCCTTCTTCAAACAGCAGGCACAATGGTGAACCAGTGGGTGTTCCCGCATCACTCACTCCTTCACTCCCTATTTCACTCACTCACTCACTCACTCACTCACTAACTCACTCACTCACTCACGCACTCACTCACTCACTCACTCACTCACACACTCACTCACTCACTCACTCACTCACTCACAGATCACGCACCTGCGCCCCGGTGGGGTAGACGAGGCTGTTGGTGGGGCCAGGCACAATTACGAAACGTGTACCCAGCGCCACCAACGACGCGGTAACGTAACCACAAGTGAGAGTGAGTATGCACGAGTGAGACAAATTAATTCATGCGTACTCACTCTCACTCACTCACCTCTACCCAGGTGGGACAGAAGAGGCTGACAGAGGTGAGACAGATTGTCCTCATGTATACTCAAACTCCCACTCTCACACTCACTCACACTCACGCACCTGAGCCCATGTGGGATAGAAGAGGCTGTTGGTGGGGGCAGGGATAATCGTGAACCGGTAGGTGTAACCAGCGAGCAACGACACGGTAACATAAGCGAGACAGGTTTGCTTCATGTATATTCAATTTCTCACTCTCACACTCAGTTACAGTCACGCACCTGTGCCCAGGTTGGGTAGAAGAGGCTGTTGGTAGGAGCAGGGATGATCGTGAACCGATAGGTGTACCCAGCCATGTGTACTCACACTCTCAACAACACTCCCTCTCACTCCCTCAACCACACCCCACACACCTGAGCCCAGGTTGGGTAGAAGAGGCTGTTGGTGGGGGCAGGGATGATCGTCAACCGGTAGGTGTACCCAGCGAGCAGCGATGCAGTAACGTAACGGTAGGCGGTGCGCTTGGGGTGTGCAGGGGGGCTGTCAGGGTTGTCGTTGTCCGTGCCGTATGCTGTGAAGGTCTCTCCATCCTCTTCCCTTGTGATGTTGATGTAGCTGGTGGTGGGGGGAGGGGAGAGGAGAGAAAGGAGGAGCTGGTATCACTCTCTGTGGGGGCTGTCAGGGTTGTCGTTGTCTGTGCCATAGGCTGTGAACGTCTCCCCGTCCTCCTCCCTACTTATGTTGATGTAGCTGGTGGTGGGAGAGGGGTGGGAGAGTGGAAATATTGGGCTGGACTCATTCCAAGGTTTAAGAAAGGATGAGCTCAGGTGGAGCTGACAGGCTGTCAGCCACACACTCCGAGAACTATAGCTCCCAATGCTCTTGACACGCATCAAAAGTTGAGGCGACACACATGCACGAGAAATAGTGCTCCCAATGCTCGCCTGTATGGCCGGAGCTCCTTGGTTGGGTGGTAGACCGTCCATCCCATTGGGTCGAACGCCCGGCTCGTAATAGAACAGAACACGCCCACTGCCCTGTAGCACACTGACTGGCACTACCACACGGCACTCTACTGGCACACACAAGGCACTCTCCCTCCCTGCACCAGGGAACGGCAGCTCACCTGTACGGCCGGAGCACCTTCGAAGGAAGGCCAGTCATCCCGTTTGGCCGCACGCCCTGCTCGTAATAGAACAGAACACGCCCACTGCCCTGTAGCACACCGACTGGCACTGCCACACGGCACTCTCAGCCCAGTACTGGCACAGGCTGGGGCGCACAGTGGCAGGCGGCAGTATGGGCGAGAAGGGGTGTGATGGGGAGATGGGGAGATGGGGCACTGACGCTCACCTGTAGGGCCGGAGCACTTTAGCTGGTAGACCCTGCATCCCGTTAGGCCGCACACCGGGCTCATAGTAAAACACGCCCACTGCCCTGTAGCACACCGACTGGCACTGCCACACAGCACTCTCAGCCCGGTACTGGCACAGGCTGGGGCGCACAGTGGCAGGCGGCAGTATGGGGGAGAAGGGGGCGACTGCAAAGGCGCCCGGCGTGCCGAGGAGAGAACCGTCGAGATCCCTGAGGGCGTAGAAGCGGGCTATGAGTCCCCCCCTGGGGGGAGTGGTGGCAGGCTGTTGGGTTGTAAATGAGGAGAAAGAGAGAACATGGGAGATGGGAGGAGAAGGAACTCAAAGATTGGAGACCGAGGCCAGAGGAGAGGGGAGGGAGGGAAGTGAGTTGGGAAGGAGAGGTAGGCAGGTGGCAGGATGGGCGAGAAGGGGGCGACTGCGAATGCGCCGGGCGTGCCGAGGAGGAGAGAACCATCGAGATCCCTGAGGGCGTAGAAACGCGCGATGAGAGGCTGTGGAGGAGAGAAAAGAATGGTTCTGAGAGAGCCAGGTGAAGTTGCTGGCATGCCGAGGAGAGAGCTGTTGAGCCTGGAGACCGTAGTAGGAAGTGAGCGATGAGGCCTCCAGCATTAAAAAAAAAAAAAAAAAAAAAAAAAAAAAATCACCACATATGAAACATTTTCACCACACTTAGAAAACAATTCACCACATGTAGGAACATTTTCACCACGTATAAAACATTTTCATCACAAATAAAACATTTTCACCGCATATGAACCCTTTTCACCACAATTTTTTTTTTTACATATATATTTTCACCACATAGGAAACCTTCTCATACCAGATACAAATCATTTACACCACATCGAAAGCTTTCACACCACATCCTAAACGACACACAGTTTCCTACCGGGTTCGGCGTGGCCCAGAATTTTTTGCTGCCCGATGCGAATGAATTGTTCTGCAAGTGAAAGATTTGAAGAGGGGGAATGAAGAGTGCGAATGAATAGTTTTGCGAGTGAAAGAATTGATCATAGTGAGACGGGGAGGGAAAGGAAGCGTGAGGGAGGGGATGGAGGGAAAGGGAGAGGAAGGAGAGGGTGTGGGTTAGGAACGAATATGCATTAAGTGGAAAGGTGACTGAGCATTGATGCTGGCAGCAGTGAGAGAGCTAACTGTGGTGTGCGGAAGCAGCAGCAGCAACACACCAGCCCAAACCCCAAAACATCACGACACGCAACACACCAGCCCAAACCCCAAAACATCACGACACGCAACACACCTGGACAAAGATGGCCGCGTTCCACCCGGCCGTAGCCACCTGGCTTGTCAACGAAAGCAGCACATGAATGAATGAACTACCACCACGGGCACACTTGCAAGCTGGACGCAACGCACCTGCACAATGAAGGCCGTGCTCCAGTAGCCGCCCGGTTTGTTGGTCATGAGAGCGATGCCGAAGCTGGCAGTGGTGCACGTGATGGTAGCAGCAGTGGCAGCAGCAGTGGCAGTGGCAGGGCCAGTGGTGAAAACACACAACGCACCTGCACAACGAAGGCCGTGCTCCAGTAGCCGCCTGGCTTGTGAGCAGAAGCAGCAGCAACACACCCACCCACCCAAACCCAACAACAACACGACCAGCAACCACCTGCACATAGAAGGCCGTGTTCCAGTAGCCGCCTGGCTTGTGAGCGGAAGCAGAAGCAGCAGCAAGGCACCCACCGAAACCCAAACCCAACAACAACACGACCAGCAACCACCTGCACATAGAAGGCCGTGTTCCAGTAGCCGCCTGGCTTGTGAGCGGAAGCAGAAGCAGCAGCAAGGCACCCAGCGAAACCCAAACCCAACAACAACACGACCAGCAACCACCTGCACATAGAAGGCCGTGTTCCAGTAGCCGCCTGGCTTGTGAGCGGAAGCAGAAGTAGCAGCAAGGCACCCACCGAAACCCAAACCCAACAACAACACGACCAGCAACCACCTGCACATAGAAGGCCGTGTTCCAGTAGCCGCCTGGCTTGTTGGTCACAAGAGCGATGCCGAAGCTACCAAGTGGTGCATGTGATGGCAGTGGCAGTGGCAGTGGCAGTGGCAGACCTCGTGGTAGAGGTGAAAGCTCACAGCACACCTGTACAAAAAAGGCTGTGTTCCAGTAGCCGCCTGGCTTGTTGGTCACAAGAGCAATGCCGAAGCTACCAGTGGTGCATGTGCCGTACCCTGAGAAGCTGAGCGGGGGGGGAGGCATGGGACGGAAGGAGGGGGCTGAAATGGGGGAGGGGAAGAAACTGACGACACATAGAGCGATGCCGAAGCTACCAGTGGTGCATGTGCCGAAGCTACCAGTGGTGCATGTGCCGAAACTACCAGTGGTGCATGTGCCGAAACTACCAGTGGTGCATGTGCCGAAGCTACCAGTGGTGCATGTGCCGAAGCTACCAGTGGTGCATGTGCCGAAGCTACCAGTGGTGCATGTGCCGAAGCTACCAGTGGTGCATGTGCCGAAGCTACCAGTGGTGCATGTGCCGTACCCTGAGAAGCTGAGCGGGGGCCACACGAAAACGGGAGTTGGAAAAAGGAAGGCATTTGAAGAACAAGGAGAAATGAAGGAGGCGGGTTGGTCTTTCTTAGAGAGGGTCGTCTGTTTCATATCTGTGTTGGGTCGTCTGTTTCATATCTGTGTTGGGTCGTCTGTTTCATATCTGTGTTGGGTCGTCTGTTTCATATCTGTGTTGGGTTGTGTTTTTCCTATCTGTGTTGGGTTGGGTCATTTGTTTCCTATCTGTGTTGGGTTGGGTCATCTGTTTTGTATCTGTGTTAAGTTGTCTGTTTCATATCTGTGTTGGGTTGGGTCATCTGTTTCCTATCTCTAACGAGGATAGGAAACAGAGGAGGAAGAACACATGTACAGGAACCACATACTGGTTCTTAGAACAGGAACTTACAAGGAATGTTCCACGGAGGAGGGTCGCAGGATGTCCGCGGGGTTGCTCTGGCTCAGCGTGACTCCAATGGGCGACTCAAACGACCCGTCTCCTATCTCCTTCTGTGGCACCACCACTGCTGCTGCTGCTTGCGCTGCTTGCAACGATCGTCCCGTATCGCGGTTTTGCCTTCCTGTGCCAGAAGGAGCAGCAGCAGCAGCAGCGATGGTATCCCCACCGGCCTGGGTCCAGTAGCCCAGCCAGAAGCTCTCAGCCCAGGGAGGCACCTCTCCTGCTGTTATGTTGTATGCCATCTCCGCCTCTCCACTGCTGCTGCCACCGCTGCTGCTGCTGCTGCTGCTGCTGCCTGTGCTGCTGCCTGTGCTGCTGCTGCTGCTGCTGCCTGTGCTGTTGCCTGTGCCGTTGCCTGTGCTGCTGCTGCTACCACTGCCGCTGCCTGTGCTGTTGCCTGTGCCGTTGCCTGTGCTGCTGCTGCTACCACTGCCGCTGCCTGTGCTGTTGCTACTACCAGTCCCACCCCTCCCAACACCCCCGCCATAATCCCCGTAATCATCATAATCACCACCCCCATCCTCACCAGAGTCTCCCCCATCGTCACTAGGGAAGGGATAGAGGAACTGAGCCCATGGCTTGATGGCATCTGCCATGCCTGGTGGTTCCCACTCTGTGGTGGGGCCGTGGAAAGAAAGAGAGAGAGGGGCAGGAGCTGTGGCTGAAGGCTGGTTGCTCTTGTTGGCAATACTGCTGCTGGCGAGGCTCATGCTCGTGGTGCTGCCGCCGCTGCTGCTGCTTCTGCTGCTGCTGGTGCTGCTGGTGGTGGTGGTGGTGGTGGTGCTGCTGCTGCTGCTGCTGCTGCTGCGAATGGCAGCCATAGCCTTGGCACTGGGAACACAGGGACAGAGGGAAAGAGGGACAGGGCGACAGAGGGGCAGAGGGATAGGCGGGCAGGGTGAGAGGAGAACAAAGGCATGGATGGATAGAGACAGAGGGGGAGGGAGACAAGGGGACAACGGACAAGGGGACAGAAGGACAAAAAAAACAACAAGAATCAACATTCCTTGGCTGCCAGATTGCCATTAGAGACCGAGTTTTGGGATGTCCCAAAACACCTTCACAGATACGTGAAAGCCACTCTCACATGCAAGCAGAGGTCACTCCCTTCCGTTCCCTTACGTGCAGGTGGAAAGCAGGGTGCCTCGAAGCGGCATCCTTTGCCCGACACCCATGCACTGCACCGCACGCCCATGCACTGCACCGCACGCCCATACGCTGCACTGCACGCCCATACGCTGCGCCGCCCGCACGCCGCACCGCCCGCACACTGCACCGTCCGCCCATACGCTGCACCACACGCTCTTACTTGAACTGCAGTCCCAGCTTGGGGACTGGAGCTGCAGTCCCAGCTTGCGGACTGCACCGCGCGCACATACACTGCACTGCACGCACATACACTGCACCGCATGCTCTTACACTGCACCACACGAATCCGCACCCCTTGACCATCACCCAGCCGTTGCGGCTGATATCCATCCCATACGCGTTCGTTTTCCTGACGTGCAGGTCAAAGTGAACGTGGCCTCCTCGTCCCCTTAAGCTGCAAGTACAACTCACTCCCTTCCCTTCCCTTCCCTTCCCTTCCCTTCCCTTCCCTTCCCTTCCCTTCCCTTCCCTTCCCTTCCCTTCCCTTCCCTTCCCTTCACTTACGTGCAGGTGGAGGGGAGAGTGCCCACGAAGCGGCACCCCTTGACTGTCACCCCACCGTTGCGGCTTATGTCCATCCCATACGCATTCTCCACAAATGCACCGTTCTCCACCACTATGCGATCCGTGTTGACAAAGAGGATGCTGGGAGGAGGGAAGAGAAAGGAAGGTCAAGAAGGCCAAGACGAGACAGGAGCAACATGTGGCCTTGCGTCAACACACAAATGCTTCATTACCCACTATGCGATCCGTGTTCACAAAGAGAATGCTCGGGGGGGAGGGGAATTATCGAGGAGAGAAGACCAAGAAGGTCGTGAAGGGACGGAAAGGGACAGGTGGGCTTGAGTCAATTCACAAATGCACCGTTCTCCACCACTAAGTCATCCGTGTTCACAAAGAGGACAAGAACAAGGGACAAGGGAGGACGGGGGAACGAAGGATGGATATTGTATTCTCCACAAATGCACCGTTCTCCACCACTCTGCAATCCCTGTTCACAAAGAGGATGCTGGGAGGAGAAGAACAGGGGACAAGGGAGGACGGGCAAAGGGGCTTTTAGTGGAAAGATAGAAATACGCACTGTCAGGTTTAGTTTTGAGGCGCCTCAAAACAAGGGAGGACGGGCAAAGGGGCTTTTAGTGGAATGATAGAAATGCGCAGAGAGTTTTGAGTCGACTCAAAAGGCACTGTCATGTCAGGTTTGACTCACCAAGCCTAGTTCCAATAAAAGAGAGCGTGTCCATGAGGTACGTGATCACGCCAGTGTAGTTGAAAAGCATGTTTTGAGACGTCTCAAAACAAGCCTAGTTCCAATGAAAGAGAGCGTGTCCATGAGGTGCGTGATCACGCCAGTGTAGTTGAGGTAGCGGATTTCAAGACTCCAATTGTTCAGTAATGAAGGCTTTGACTCACCCCACGGCTTTGACTCACCCCACGGCTTTGACTCACCCAGCCTTGTTCCGATAAAGGAGGGCGTCCTTGAGATACGTAATCACGCCAGTGTAGTTGGGGAAGCGGGACTGCGACCCGTGGGGGTATGTGCGGAAGCCAAAGAGCGAGGAGTGCGCGACATTACCCACATACTCTCCCCAGTTGAACCTGCACATTCGAGGTGAGGAGGGGCGAAAAGAGTGTGTCCTTGAGATGAGGAATCATGCCAGTGTAGCCGGGGAAGCGGGACTACGAGCCGTGGGGGTATGTGCGGAAGCCAAAGAGCGAGGAGTGGGCAACATTGCCCACATAGTCCCCCCAGTTGAACCTGCAGATGCATGCACGGTGGTGGGAGAACGGGTGCGAGGAAGCAGGGGCAATGTGATAGGGAGGGATGTGAGTGAGACAGCAGGAAAACGGATTAACAAGGGTGAGCGACCCAAAGGCGTTGCTGATGGCAGGCAGCAGGCGCGAGATGCCCCGCATGGTGGGGTGCGCACCCCCACATACCATGCTCACATAGCCACATTCCCCCACGCCCGGACAAAACTCACAACCCCCACGCCCCCACGCCCACCTGTCAGGCCGTTTGTTGCCGATGGCAGGCAGCAGGCGGGAGATGCCCCTCATGGTGGGGTTGGCCTCCAGCCAGAAGCTGAGGGGGTGACAGGGGGAAAGACAAAGGGGAGCGACAAGGCGGTTAGTGAGAGGAGGAGGTGCTGGGAGGTGATGTTACTCTTGAGAATTCTCAAAAGTCACATCAACGTGGGGAGATGCCCCGCATGGTGGGGTTGGCCTCCAGCCAGAAGCTGGCACGATGGGAGAAGAGAATGTGGGGAGAGGGGGTTTGGGGGGTGTTGACAGTTGGCAATGGAAGAATAAGCTCGACTTGACTCAAAATATCTCGAATCGACTCGATTCCACTCTGTATTAGAATCCTCTGTACTCGATTCCACTCACCCGCTGTTCTCCGACCCAGCAGCCACGTCCCCATAGAAGCTATTGAAGGGCGTTGCCAGCCAGAACCTGCTTGGCTGCTTGTCCGTGTGAAACCCATACCGGTCCGTCGTGTCCCGGGGAATCGTGAGTGAGGTGTTTGAGGTGCCTGAAACAAAACACAACCTCCCCACTCCACTCAACTCCACTCCACTCAACTCCACTCCACTCCACTCCACTCCACTCCACTCCACTCACCCGCTGTTCTCGGACCCAGCAGCAACGTTCCCATAGAAGCTATTGTAAGGAGTGGCCATCCAGAACACGCTCGGCTGCTTGTCCGTGTGGAACCCATACTGATCACTTGTATCCGGGGGGATCTCCTTCTCCACCTTCCTCACACTCATCCCCAGGTTCCTCCGAAACACGTTCCCCATCTCCGACCCCTCCTCCACCAGGTAACAGTGCCCCTTGGTCTCATAGGTGATATTATCCTCTATGTTCATGTTGCTGGTCGCGTGGATCACCATGCACCGCTGCTTCGAGTGCACGATCGCGTTCTTGCGCACGATGTGCGGCTGGGATGCGTCCGCGGGGAGCCCGCACACGTGGAAGTGAAGCGGGTAGCGCCCGAGCGTGCCTTGGTTGCCTAGTCCGCGGAACTGAACCCCCTCGATGGTTTGAGGAGTGCGAGTCATATAGACCATGAAGTGCCCGCCTGGTGGGGGGGAAGGAAGACAACGAGGGGAAAGGAAGGGTGAAAGGAGGATGCATCCGCGGGGAGCCCGCACACGTGGAAGTGAAGGGGGTAGCGGCCGAGCGTGCCTTGGTTGCCTAGTCCGCGGAACTGAACACCTTCGATGGTTTGAGGAGTGCGAGTCATATAGACCATGAAGTGCCCGCCTGTTGGGGGGGGAAGGAAGACAACGAGGGGAAAGGAAGTTGTTTTCCGCGGGGAGCCTGCACACGTGGAAGTGAAGCGGGTAGCGGCCGAGGGTGCCTTGGTTGCCCAGCCCTCGGAACTGAACCCCCTCGATGGCTTGAGGGGTGCGCGTCATGTATACCATGAAGTGCCCGCCTGGTAGGGGTGGGGGGGTTGGCGGGGAGAGGAAGGGGGGGGAGGAGGGGGGAAAGAGGGGACAACAGGGAAAAGAGGGCTCAGGGAAAAGAGGGCTCAGGGAAAAGAGGGCTCATGGAAAAGAGGGCTCAGGGAAAAGAGGGCTCAGGGGAAAGAGGGCTCAGGGAAAAGAGGGCTCAGGGAAAAGAGGGCTCAGGGAAAAGAGGGCTCAGGGAAAAGAGGGCTCAGGGAAAAGAGGGCTCAGGGAAAAGAGGGCTCAGGGAAAAGAGTTTAAACAGCGGTGAGTGGGCTGGGATGCGTCCGCGGGGAGCCCACAGACATGGAAGTGGCGGGGGTAGCGGCCGAGGGTGCCTTGGTTGCCGAGTCCTCTGAACTGAACCCCCTCGATTGCTTGAGGAGTGCGAGTCATGTATACCATGAAGTGCCAGCCTGGAGAAGGGGAGAGGACGGGATGACAGGAGATGAGAGAGAGGCTGCACACGTGGAAGTGTAGTGGAGCGGGTAGTAGCGGCCAAGGGTGCCTTGGTTGCCCAGCCCTCGGAACTGAATCCCCTCGATGGCTTCCTGGGTGCGAGTCATGTATACCACGAAGTGGCCCCCTGGTTTGAGGTCGAGAGGGAAAAGGGAAAAAACAGGGGGAGAGGAAGGGGGTAGAGGAGGGGGGAGACAGGAGGGGAAAAAGTGGGCCTTAATTCAAACAGTGGCGAGTGGGCCCAGCCCTCGGAACTGAACCCGCTCGATTGCTTGCTGGGTGTGCGTCATGTACACCATGAAGTGCCCGCCTGGTTGTTGGGGAGGAAGGGAGGAAGGGGGGGAGATAAGGGGGGATTGCAGTGAGTGGGGTGGGGTGAGGCCCCAGCCCTCGGAACTGACCCCCCTCCATTGCTTGCTGGGTGCGAGTCACGTACACCATGAAGTGAGTGTGACCCCCTGGGTTTGGGGTTGCTTGCTGGGTGTGAGTGTGACCCCCTGGGTTTGGGGTTGCTTGCTGGGTGTGAGTGTGACCCCCTGGGTTTGGGGTTGCTTGCTGGGTGTGAGTGTGACCCCCTGGGTTTGGGGTTGCTTGCTGGGTGTGAGTGTGACCCCCTGGGTTTGGGGTTGCTTGCTGGGTGTGAGTGTGACCCCCTGGGTTTGGGGTTGCTTGCTGGGTGTGAGTGTGACCCCCTGGGTTTGGGGTTGCTTGCTGGGTGTGAGTGTGACCCCCTGGGTTTGGGGTTGTGAGAGCAAGGGGGAAAGGAAAAGGGGACAGCATGGGAGGGAGTAGAAAGGAGCGGAAAATGGGGCATGAAGAGGAAACAGGGGGAGTTTATTCAACAGGGAGTGGTGAGTGGGGTCAACAGGGAGGCTGCAGGCGAGCAAGTGCAGGGGGTAGCCATCGACCACCAGGTGACTTTTGAGTCGACTCAAAAGGCAAGTGCAGGGGGTAGCGAGCGACCACCGACTGAATTGGTGTGGAGCAGGCTCGTCCGTGCCCTGAATGACAAGCAGGCTCGTCCGTGCCCTGAATGACAAGCAGGCTCGTCCGTGCCCTGAATGACAAGCGTGTGTGTGCTACTGCACAGACAGCCTAAACTTACAGCCTCTATTACTGTGCCCAAAAGCAGCCCAAGCGTGTGTGCTGCTGCTGCACGGACAATCGTACAGCCTAAGCTCCCAGCCTAAACTCATAGCCCAAACTTACAGCCTAAACTCACAGCCTAAACTTACAGCCTCAACTCACAGCCTAAACTCACAGCCTAAACTCACAGCCTAAACTCACAGCCTAAACTCACAGCCTCAACTCACAGCCTCTATCACTGTGCCCGAAAGTAGCCCAAGCGTGTGCGCCCCTCACATACTGTCGTACTGGTGGGGAGGATGCTCGTCCGTGCCCTGAATGACAAGCGTGTGTGTTACGCACTGACAGTCCAAACCTTCAGCCTTATAGAGGGGGCCTAACTAACAACCCAAGTGTCTTTTGAGTCGACTCAAAAGTCAGCCTTATAGAGGGGGCCTAACTAACAACCCAAGTGTGCGCTTCACGTACCGTCGTACTGGTGAGGAGGAAGCTCGTCCGTGCCCTGGATGACGATCTGCCTATCAAGCAGCGCCACCTCAGCACGAATATCCACCATGCCACCGAAGCCATCGGGCACCGATGTACCCTCATGCGTGTGGGCGAGGGGTGATGTGAGGGTGATGCGGGAGGTGGGGGGGTAGGTGGCTGGAGAGACCAGGGCGACTGTTGTGAGAGGGGGAACGGAGAGGGGAGCAAGGGGCAGAGAGGGAAGGGAGGATGGGGCGAGCTGAGCGTGAAAAGATTAGCACGAATGTCCACCGTGCCACCAAAGCCATCCGGCACCGATGTACCCTCGTGCGTGTGGGCGAGGGGTGATGTGAGGGTGATGCGGGGGAGGTGGCTGGAGAGACCAGGGCGACTGTTGTGAGAGGGGGTGGGGGAGATGGGAGATGGGATGGGAGGGAGCGGAGGGGCGGTGGCCGCAGTGATGGTGCGAGGAGTGGCTAGGGACGTGGCTGGGGAGACCAGGGCGACTGTTGTGAGGGCGAAGAAGAGAGAGGGAAGGAGAAGGGGAGGGTGGGGCACTACTGATGTTGGTACCACCAAAGCCATCGGGCACCCATCAGTTGCATGCCCCAAAGCACGCACACATATTGCTAATCGGGCCCACCTGCTTCGATCTCTCGGCTCTCTGCCTCTTCGAAATCCGTGTTGGTCGATGCAAGCAACAGCAACAGAGAGCCCCGGGCGCCACCCCCTCACATCGCCCTCAACAGTCAGCTGCCTCTGCCCCGCTGCTGCTGTCGCTGCACGCCCCTCCATGCCCCTCCATGCCCCTGCATGCCCCTCCATGCCCCTCCATGCCCCTCCATGCCCCTGCATGCCCCTCTATGCCCCTCCATACCCCTCCATGCCCCTCCATGCCCCTCCATGCCCCTCCATGCCCCTCCATGCCCCTCCATGCCCCTCCATGCCCCTCCATGCCCCTCCATGCCCCTCCATGCCCCTCCATGCCCCTCCATGCCCCTCCATGCCCCTCCATGCCCCTCCATGCCCCTCCATGCCCCTCCATGCCCCTCCATGCCCCTCCATGTCCCTCCATGCCCCTCCATGCCCCTCCATGCCCCTCCATGCCCCTCCATGCCCCTCCATGCCCCTCCATGTCCCTCCATGCCCCTCCATGCCCCTCCATGCCCCTCCATGCCCCTCCATGCCCCTCCATGCCCCTCCATGTCCCTCCATGCCCCTCCATGCCCCTCCATGCCCCTCCATGCCCCTCCATGCCCCTCCATGTCCCTCCATGCCCCTCCATGCCTCTGCATGCCCCTGCACGCCCCTGCATAGCCTCCTCAGAGCACACCCAATGACTCACCTGATCCGATCTCTCGGCTCTCTGCCTCGTTAAAGTTAGTACTCGTAGAAGCAACAGCAATAGAGAGGCCTGGGCGCCACCCCCTCACATCCCCTTCAACAATCAGCTGCCTCTGCCCCGCTGCTGCTGTTGCTGCCAGTCGCACCCACGAGGGGGTGTCAGCTCCCCCCGGCATGCCATGCAAGTCCACCTGTCCTCCCACCTGGTTAGCAAAAAGAGAAACACGGACAAGCATAAGTGGTTGCATTCAGGGGTGCGTGTTAGTGTTTGTATACCACGACTCCTCCTCCTCCTCCCTCTGCTGCTGTTGCTGCCAGCCGCACCCAGGAGGGAGTGTCGGCTCCCCCCGGCATGCCATGCACGTCCACCTGTCCTCCCACCAGGCGAGTGCGTGTGTTGTGAGAGTTGACAGACAAGGGCGAGTCCAAAGGTGACTTTTGAGTCAACTCAAAAGTCGCCATGCAGGTTCACCTGCCCTCCCACCTGGCGAGTGTGTGTGTTGTGAGAGTTGACTGACAGACAAGGGTGAGTCCAAAGGGTCATACACACTCAGATCTTCTGACAACTTCCAGTGAGCAGCGATGCTTAGGTTTAGGCTTAAGCAAGTGCTAAACAGCACGCTATGCAATGCCTCACTGGAAGACGTCAGAAGACCTGGCGAGTGCGTGTGTTGTGAGAGATGACAGACAAGGGCGAGTCCAGGGGGTCATGGAGCCCCAAGTAGGAGGCATGGCGTAGCGTGGCAGCAGCAGTGTTTTGCTGAACAGACAAGGGCGATTCCAGAGGGTCATGCACACTCAGACATAGTTAAGGGTGCGGTATTGGGTGCGTTCAGGGGTGAATTCTGGGGGGGCATTCTTCGGTGCATTCAGGGGTGCATTCTGGGGCGTATTCAGGAATGGGTGTGCATTCAGTGCATTCAGGGGTGCAATCAGGGGTGCATTCAGGGGTGCATTCAGGGGTGAATTCAGGGGTGCAATCAGGGGTGAATTCAGGGTGCATTCTGGATTGCATTCAGGGGTGTATTCATGGGTGCAACCAGGGGTCCATTTGAACGTACCACAGCAAACGCCTTGTGCCCCAGGTCTCGGGGGTTTCTCGCGTCAGCGGGCGGCACTTTTCGGAGCTTGTACGGCTTCCTTCCGCCCGAGAATCCCGTGTTAGGGTGCAGGGTGACCGTGAGATGCGAGGAAAGCTGGCGGGCCGCGGAGCCTGCAGTGAAGCGCCCCATAACGAGGATAAATCGGGCCCTGACGCGGATGTGAGGAAGCTTGGGCGAGTCAAGGACCCTTGATGGAGGAGATGGAGGGGAGAGGAGGAAGGGAGGGGAGGGGGAATGGAAAAGGATGCAAGAGCCATAGAAGCATCCCATAATGAGGATAAAACGGGCCCTAACGCGGATGTGGGGCAGCTTGGGCGAGTCAAGGACCCTGGAGGGAGGAGATGGAGGGGAGGGTGTGGGGGGGAGGGAGGGAGGGGGGAAAAGGGGGATGGATTAATGGAAGTCTGTGCAAAGAACATCGAGGCACCCAATGGCGAGGATGGAGTGGAGTGTGCCTTGACGTTCGTGTGGGGGAGCCTGGCTGCCTGGGCGAGTCAAGGACCCTGGCCTGGAAGGGAGGAAGTGGAGGGGGGATGGGAGGATTGAATGTGTGAGTCGATTTACAAGACAGTGAAGTGGCTGTAACGAGATATGCGGAAGCTTGGGAGATCCAAGGACCCTGGAGGGAGGAGTGGAGTCGGTAAGGGTGTGAGACTGGGGGAGAGGGTTGAGTTGAGCGTGAGCTTACATAAGAAACGGTACTCACACTCACTCACAGAAATCACACTCAAAGCAGTGACAGTCACACCACTCACACCCACACTCAAACCTGCACTCTTTAATCCTTTAATCTTGAGCCTCCCAACCCTCACTTCAGGCACATCCAGCAGGATGGCCGCGCCACACGGGGAGGGAGAGGGGAGTGTCGCGCTATTAACACATAGCCTGCGGCTAAGTGTGAATTGCACAGCAGCTTAAGGTGAGGTTGTACTATATTGCTGTTTGGTTCTTGTACTCATACTTTCGTTTGTGTGCTTGGAATGTACTGTACATATATGGAGCCGAGCAGGGTGGAGAAGCTCGAGGAATTTGGTGGGGACAGGGTGGAATTCGATTCCAGGCTGGGAATTCGATTCCAGGCTGGGAATTCGGTTCCAGGCTGGGAATTCGATTCAGAGAATGCAATTCCAGCTGGAAGTCGGTGCATGCCTAGTGGGCCACTGGGACCCAGCTAGCACCTAGAAGCTATCGCGAGCAGCACTGCTGCTATGCGACTTGGCAACTAGAGTTAGCTTGTGGGACAAGCAACCTAGGCAGAAGGATGGCTGGGACTTAGGCAGGGGAGGATACCTGCTCCGTGCTTTTTGCTTGTTTGTTTCTCGTAATACTGCAATTCGTTTCCCAACCAAGGAGGCAAGCAGCTAGGAGAAGCTAACAGCAAACTGACGGAGCCCTTGCGAGGGAGGATTTAGACTTGATGTGCAGCCTGAGAAACAAGGAGAAGGCAGGAGCAGCATCATCACATACACCAGGAGGAAGAAGAGGCAGACAGGCGGCACCGGGACAGGCAAGCAGGCATGAGAGGATGAGGGTGAGAGAGGAGGTGGAAGTACCTGTCAGGAAGAAACAGGGAATTTGAGAAAGAGGAAGAGAAGAACAGTCGGAAGAGCAGAAGGAGGGGAGCTACTTCACGACAGGAGGGAGGGGGAAGAGAGAAGGGGAGCGCTACCAACTCAGCCTACAGCAGCCACACTCACAGGACTCACACTCACACCACTTACAATAACACTACTCACACTTGCACTCACTTGAGCCACCCTTTGATCTTGGGCTTTCCAACCCTCACGTCAGTCACATCCAGCAGGATGGCCGCGCCACACGGGGAGGGAGAAGAGGGAGAGAGGGGGAAGAGAGCGGAAGCACTACCAATTGATCCTACACAGAGCTCACACTCGAACCGCTCGCACTCACTTGAGCCACCCCTTGATCTTGAGCCTCCCAACTCTCACTTCAGGCACATCCAGCAGGATGGCCGCACCACACGGTATAGTCACATCCCGCCACTGCAGCAGCCCGCGCCCCGGCACACCCAGGCGGAAGGGCCACCCCTTGGGCTTCTTGTCCCAGGGGAGTAGCGACTGCTTTCCCCACGTGTTGGGATCGCTCCAACGCTTCCAGCCTGCGTAAACAAGCAGAGAGGTAAGACCAGGTAAGACTATCATCTTCTTGCCACACACCCACCCACGCACGCCCAGGCGGAAGGGCCACCCTTTGAAAGACTGCTTTCCCCACGTGCTGGGGTCGCTCCACCGCTTCCATCCTGGTTGAGGAGCAGCGGAGGGACCGGAGGATTGGAAAGAAGAGAGTAAGATAGCCTGCTTTCAGCTCCTTGCGCCACGCACAGGAGAGCAGAGACTGTTTTCCCCCCCACGTGTTGGCGTCGCTCCACCGCTTCCAGCCTGCGAAACACACAGAGGAGGGACTAGGGAATTAAGGAGAAGAGAGAAAGAGAGTTGTCAGCTTCTATCGCTGCTCCCAGGAGATCAAGGAGTGCTTTCCCCACGTGCTGGGGTCGCTCCACCGCTTCCAGCCTGCGAAACACACAGAGGAGGGACTAGGGAATTAAGGAGAAGAGAGAAAGAGAGTTGTCAGCTTCTTGCGCTGCTCCCAGGAGATCAGGGACTGCTTTCCCCACGAGCTGGGGTCGCTCCACCGCTTCCAGCCTGCGTGAAGCATGGAGGGGAGGGGACAGGGAGGAGACGCAGCGAAGGGACTGGGACATTGGGTAGGACGGAGACACTCACAGACGGGCTTGTAGGCCTCACACACGCGGAATGGAGCAGCCGCGACCAGACGGGCTTGTGTTTTGAGGTGCACTGTGTAAAGTACGCACCATGACGTGGGGGGTTGGCAGGAAGACCCCCACAGACGGGCTTGTAGGCGTCAGTCACGCGGAACGGAGCAGCCGCGACCAGACACACTCCGGACGACAGACGGCCTTTTGAGTCGACTCAAATGTCGACCCGGCGCACTCAGCGCAACAGGCGGCTGGGGAATCCGGGAGGAGAAGGAGAGGGTGGGACGAGGAGGAAGAGAAGGAGAAGAAAAAGTACGCACCGTGGCGAGGGGGGTTGGCAGGGAGACCCCCACAGACGGGCTTGTAGGCGTCAGTCACGCGGAACGGAGCAGCCGCGACCAGACACACTCCGGACGAAAGACGGCCATGGAAGCCGGGTGTGGGTGGGACGAGGAGGAGGAGAAGGATGGGGAGGAGGAGGAGGGTGTGTAGGGACGGGAATGCAGCCTTTTGGCGACGGAGGGATTGGAGGAGGTGTTTGCGACGATGTTGAGTCGGTGGGTTCACACGATGCTGGGACTGGAGATTGCGACCGTCAAGACAAGGATTGGAGACTGCCATGAGCGTAGCTACTGCTGTACGCGTTTTAAGGAGGTTTCGTGGCTGGTGGTGTTGCTGCATTCGCAAGCGCGTTATTTTATGGTAACACCATGTAAGGTGTTAAGAATAGCTAACTGGTCTAGCGAAGGACTGTCAGACTGGCAACAGACGATTCGACTATATATCCAGCTTATTATGTTCTCCTAGCCTTATTAGATGGTAATAATGCTGGCTTATTTGACTAATGAAACTTGCCTAGAAAAACTACGAAGCTGGTCCTAACGGTCAGCTTATCTGTATAATCTGATGAGGCTTTCTTTATTGAGGTTCATATGCGCGGCTGTCGCGGAAGTCGTCTGGAACGTGGTTACAGACGTCGCGAGAAACAGCTTCTACAGCGTGGTACGTGCGACCTGTGCGTGCGACTACCGCGGTAACCACCGCAGAGAGAGGGACCGTCACTATTGAAGGGTCGAAAATCCATGGCCTTCCGCAACAACCGGCTTGCCTTGGTCTAGCAAGCGTGAAGCAGAGCGAGAGCCGCGACTCGGCATCTCAGAGCTGGACGAATCAACGGTCAAGCAAGAGGCACCAGTTCAGATGTAACTAATCAACGTTCAAACGACGATTCGCGAACAGACGTTCAAGCAACATCTCGGCGTGAATTGACAGTCTTTATAATGGGAGTCTGAACGAAAGCGGTCGAAACGCTACTGCAGTCATGGCAGTGCTCGGACGACAGCAGAACTGTGCAGGAGCGCATGAGAAACGCTATCAGCTAGCACTCCGATGCCTGCCTACTGCTAGAGACGCCTGATAAGCGGCAATGCTGTAAAGGCTATCCTTCCTGATTTGCGTGCTCACTATCAGCAACACTCTCTGGTCAGCACACACACTAGTGTAGTCGTCGTGACTGCTTTCGGCTGTTCTTGCACTCTCTGCACTATCAAGCTTCATGGTGGAAAGGAGAAAACATTCACGCAAGTGGTTCAAAGCGGTGAGGCAATGGAACCAGTCTAAAGTGTACATAATCTTTCTCAACCGCTCCGCTTCAACTCAGCACAATGACTTCGGGTTTTTATACGGGCAGTCACAAAAATTTCGTAGTTATCACGAGCAGTCACACGTTCCTCGAAATCTATCATGAACGGTCACATGTTCCGCCAAATCTATCACGAACCATCACATGGGTATCACCCGCCGTCACTCAAAGTCACTAAATTCTATCACGGGTAGTCACACTCGAAACTTTGCTATCACAGATGAGCCGTCTCATCATTTCGTTGACCCGCCTTATAACACTGTACAGATTTAGGGACTACATTTCGGATTGCTAGTTTTTGTCTTGTATACGCGACCATTTTGGGTGCAAAGATACCTTGGTTACGTTCGATCCGACGTTCATATACCTATTATATATACATATATCATATATATAATATATAATATATATTTATAGAGTTCACAGTTCATTGAATCGGCCTAAATGTTTATCAAGGTGCGAAGAAAACATAACATAGATTTTTTCACGTGCCAAAATTCATATCAAGATGCGTATGCACATCTTGATGAACATTTAGGCAGATTCAATTAAATTGTAAACTCTAGCAATATATATATATATGCATTCAAACTGTGTTACTTCGATTCGAACTTAACCAGGTATCTTTGCACCCAAAATTGTCGCGTATACAAACAAAAACCAGCAACCCGAAATATAGTCCCTAAATCTGTACAGTATTACAAGGCGGGTCAACAAAATGATGAGAGGGCTCATCTGTGATAGCAAAGTTTCGAGTGTGACTACTCGTGAATCCGTGATAGAATTTAGTGCCTTTGAGTGACGGCGGGTGATACCCATGTCAGTTCGAGATAGATTTTGCGGAACATGTGACCGTTCATGATAGATTTTGCGGAGCATGTGACTGCTCGTGATAACTACGAAATGTTTTGTGACGGCGCATATAAAAACCCATGACTTCCACTACTTAGACGGGCAGTTGTGCTCACTCACCATCCTACAGTAGCAATGTCCATTTTATTCCCGTTACAGGTCGTCGGTCAGAACCTGGACTCGTTATGCGCACCGCGATGACCCAGAATTGCTGGTGCTGTTGCTGCACTCACAATGGCTCGCCGTATCAGACTCGGCGGCACTCCGAGTCTTCTGGATGGAACGATTGGTTCGTCTGGTGCTTCATGTCTGTTACGGGTGCAATGAATCGAGGTAGCGAGAATTGCACTAAGGTGTCAAACGAGTACAAAAATGTGAGCGAAGGCATGAGCGAGCATTTATACGCGAAACATGCAAAACGGTAACGCGGTGCGTGCGAACTTGCTAGTGCTACGCTGGAGCGAGGCTCGGGCTAGTCCCGAAGCGTAGGCCGATACGGCCATGCCAGCAGTGCGAGGTTTGGCAAAACAGTGCGCGCGAAGTCGGCGAAGTTCCGTTAGCAGTAACGGGCGAACAGTCGGCTGTTGCTGTACGCGATGTAGTCGGCTCCGTAAGGAATGCCTGAGAAAATTCCTTACACTACCCCCCCCCCTTAAGAAGCCCCCTCCGCTACGCGAGTGCGTGTATATCGCGGAATCCCCGGCTTCTCAAGTACACTTGCAGGGCAGGGTGATTTTCGATGTTGCTCAGGGGTACCCAGCTATCTTCAGTTGGCGTGCGGTCTTTCCAGCGAACGAGGAATTCAATCCTCCTGATTCCCGTGGGGTGGCGGATCCGATGGCTCAAAAGTTTTTCGGGCTCGATGATCGGCTCTGATGCAGGGCGAGTCATTGATTGTGGCCGGTGACGCGGCAGTTGACTCGTGGTCGGGATGTATGGGCGAAGTAGGCTGACGTGGAACGAAGGGCTGATGTACCAGTCAATTGGCAACAGTAGGTGCGCGGTGACGGGTGTGATCATGTGACTGATTTGGAATGGTCCACAGTAGCGCGGTCGTAATTTTGGTACGTCGGGCAGTCGCAGATTTTGCGTGTCGAGTAGCACGTAATCTCCAGATTGATACGTGACGGGGCGGCGGTGGCGATCAGCGTTGCGCTTAGCGATGACGTTGGCCTTTTTTATTGCTTCGGCGGCTCTGGCGCGGGCAGCTTGCAGGATTTCGGCGAATTGTTGTGCGCGTGGCGTTGGGTTGTCCGGACTCGGCGTCATGGGCACTGTGGGGTTCTGCCCATAGTTCAGGTAGAACGGGGACTGCTGCGTCGTGGCTGATGTGGCGTTGTTGTACGCGAACTCGATCAGCGGCAGCTGCTGCTCCCAGGTCGTGGGGTCGTCGCACGTGGCACGAATCAACTGCTCCATCGTCTGATTCGTCCGCTCCGTTTGGCCGTCGGTCTCGGGGTGGTACGACGAACTGAACTGTAGCCTGGTCCCGAACTGCTCCCAGAGGTTCTTCCAGAAGTTGCTGGTAAACTTCGTGTCCCTGTCGCTGATAATTGCTGCTGGTATCCCGTGCAGGCGAACAACGGCTGCGATGAACAGGCGAGCGGTCTCTTCGGCTGAGATCGACTTTTTGCACGCAGCGAAGTGTGCCATCTTCGTCAACCTATCCACGACGACCATCACCGCGTCGTTACCCCCAGGGTTCGAAGGTAACCCTGTGACGAAGTCCATGGTTACTTGCTGCCAGGCGCGTTCGGGCGGTGGGATCGGCTGCAATTGACCCGCCTTCCGCTTCCTTGAACTCTTCATCACCTGACACGTCGGGCACGAGCCCACGTGCTACTGTACGTCGGTCAACAGCTCCGGCCAGTAATAGTACCGCTGCAGTTGCTGTCGTGTTTTTTCTACCCCGAAATGTCCCGAGGTAATCCCGTCGTGTGCCTCCTGCAGCAGCAGCTCCCTCAGTAGTGAGTACGCGGGTACCCAAATGCGGTTGGTGCCTGTTTTTACGTAATAAACTCCTTTTGCTTCTGCCAGTTGCTGTGAATTTCCGGTCGTGAAAAATGGGTCGGTGCGGTATCCGTGGGTGAATAGGCCAGTTAAAAGCGGGTTGGTCTGGGCGAGTAGGATGGCGTGGAGTTGGGCGGTGGGGCGGGTGAGAGCGTCGGCGATGTTGGATGCTCCTTTTTTGTACGTGACGGTGTAGTGAAAATTGGACTCGAGATAGTCCAACCAGCGAATCTGTCGTGGGTTGAGATTCGGTTGGGCGCGAAGGTACTGTAGCGAGCGGTGGTCTGTCCGTACTGTCACGTCGGCACCAGTCAGGTAACATCGCCAAACTTTGAACGCGTGCACGATCGCTAGCATCTCGCGGTCGTGTATCGGGTAGTTACGTTCGGGCGGGTGTAACTTGCGGGACTCGTACGCGATTGGCTGGAGGCCATTCCCGAAATCCTGCAACAGTACTGCTCCCACAGCGATGTCACTTGCGTCGGTGACGAGCTCGAACGGACGGTGGGGATCTGCAATGTGAAGGACGGGCGGGGAGCACAAAATATTTTTGAGGGCCGAGAAGGCAGCTTGCTCTTTCTCCCCCCACGTGTACTCAACCCCCTTCCTCAGCAGGTCAGTCAACGGGGCAGTCAGTTTCGCCATGTCGGGGACGAACCGGCGCACGTAGTTGACGAACCCCAGGAAACTCTGCAACTCGGTCAAGTTGGTCGGCGCGTGCCAAGCCTGAATCGTCGCAATTTTCTTCGGGTCTATTTCCACTCCTGCAGCTGAAATAACATGTCCCAAAAACTCCAGGCGGTCCTGTAAAAACTCACACTTAGATGCTTTGGTCAGTAGGCGGTTCTCACTCAGGATTTTAAAAACTGCTTCGATGTCTTGTAAGTGCTGTGCTCTGTCAGGGCTGTAAATCAGTATGTCGTCCAGATAAACGATGACGCACTTATCTAAAAGCGGGCGGAATGCTTCGTTCATGGTCATTTGGAAAGTGGCGGGGGCGTTGGTCAGTCCGAATGGCATGACGGTGTATTCGAAGGATCCGTAGCGTGTTCGGAATGCGGTTTTAGGGCAGTCGGGTGGGTTGACGCGGATTTGGTGGTAGCCTCCTCGGAGGTCGATTTTCGAGAAAACCCGGGCTGTGCGCAGTTGGTCGATCAGTTCGTCGGCTCGTGGGATGGGGTAACGGGATTTGATGGTAACCCTGTTCAGTGCCCTGTAGTCGATGCACATGCGAAAACCCCCGTCCTTTTTCGGTGTGAACAGTATTGGTGCGGCGAAAGGCGACGAACTAGGGCGAATGAATTCCTTTTCTAGCAGGTAATCGAGCTGCTTCCTTAGTTCGTCTAGTTCGGGTTGGGTCAGTCGGAACTGTCGCTGTACTGTTGGCTGTGCCCCCGGTTCCAGTTCTATCCTGTGATCGTGCGGTCGCTGAGGTGGCAGTCCCGTCGGCAGGTCATCCGGGAAAATGTCACTGTACTGTTGTAACAGTGCTGCCAGGTCACTCGGTACGTCGGTCAGCAGTTTCTGTAAATCGCCTCCCTTGTCTGCTGCCTCGGCTTCCCGAATGTCAACCGCGTACACGTCGGCTCCGGCCGCAACAGCGCGTTTCATCGTGATCGCGTTGACACGCACCGACGAAGACTCAGGCGAGCCCCAGCGAGGTAAGGCGATGCTGTTACCGTTCACTCGCACGGTGCAGTCACCCGTCGTCCAGTCAATTCGCGGGTTGTGTCGTCGCAGCCAATCACGCCCGAGTAAAATGTCGGTTCCGTCGAGGGTCGTTGCGAGCATTTCCTGACTAAACGTGAAGTTACCCCCGCATCGAATCCGAACTCGGTCTACGCGTTCCCGTATTGCCAGCGGCGTGCCGTCTACCAGTCGTGCGTCGATCTCAGGTAAGCATCGGTCCAGTGGCAGTCGCAGTTTTCGTGCTGTAGCAGTGTTAATGAGGCTGTGGCTGGCTCCCCCATCTACGAAGATTTTAACTAAGTCCGTCCCAATTTTCCCACTGAGCAGTATAGGGCTATCTACCGTGGTACCCTCCTTATTCGGCCGGGTGTGGTCGATTGCGTGAACCGGCACAATCACTCGGTGAGGGTCGGTTGGGTCGGGCGAGCGGCGTGACCTGTCAGTAGAGGGCCCGTCTGCTACTGACTTCCAGCGTTTCCCTGCTGCTTGGTCTGTGTCTGCTGCTCAGCTTCCCCCTTTCCCTTAGCGTTTTCCGGGCATTCGCTCTTGCGATGTCCCGGCCGATTGCACGCAAAGCAGCGCCCTTTGAACGGTGCGGCAGCGGCATTTGCGGCGACGGCGCGTATCGTGGCGCTCTCGTTCGTCCCACGAGGCCGATGTCCCCAGGTGTTGTTTCCGTAGGACCCCGGTCTCGGTCGGCGAAAGAAGTCGAGCTTCTCCGCCATAGCGAGAATTTCCTGAAACTCAGTGACGCCGCGAAGCTGGATTTCCTGAGCGATGTCCTGCTTCAGGCCGCCGATGTAGCGGTCGATGCGTTCGCTCTCATGCATGTAGCCCACCTGCTCGCATAGCGCCAGAAATCCGCTCGTGTAATCCTGGACGGAACCGAGTTGGCGCCAAGTGCGGAGCTTCTGTCGCGCCGAGATCGAGGCCGCGATTGGCTCAAATCGAGCGCGCAGACCTGCGCACCACGCGTCCCACGTGCGATACTGGGGCACCTCCACGAAATACGACGGCGCCCAGGGTCCGGTTTGTCCTTCCCGTGTCGGTAGTGTCGCGTAGTCGGTCGGCTTCGTGACGATGACGCGCCACCAGTCCATGGCGGGTCCTCGCAGCAACGACACGGCGTATCGAATCTTCGCCGAGTCCTCCGAGACGTAGTTGGCGTCGAAGAAAACATTCATTGTGAATAACCACGCCTGAACGGTAGGACCACCCCGTTGACTCGGGTCAAAGCATGGCGGGCGCTGCGGTTTCAGCGGCATCGGTGACGGCAGTCCCGAATCGTGGGTTGGTGCCGAAATCGTGACGCGAGGCTGACTTGGGGCCGCAGGCGTCGCTCTGGGGTGTGTCGTGCCGTGGTCGTCGTCTCCGTCGGGGCGGACGACGCCATCACTGGCCGCGCTCGCGGGTTGCCCCACACTCCCGTGTTGTGATGTTGAGGGTGCAGGTTGAATCGGAGTGCCAGGTGCTTGGGATTGTGCTCTCATGAGGTCATTTTGCAGTGATGAGCGTTCTGCCGTCAATGCCGCGATTTCCTCGGAGCTTTCGTGCAGTTGTCGCAGCAGATCGTTCAAACGCTCCTGCGTGAGAGTGGTGACGTCGATGTTTTCGGCCATGACGAAGGGCGTCGGCTCGTCTTAGTCTAGGCGCAGTCGTGGCTGCACGCGTTTACGAGAGAACGCGAGGACAGCGGCTCCTAGGGGCTAAGGTGCGTGAGTCCCTTCGAGTGAAAAATCAAAAGTTGATTTCCTGGTGTGCGGAGATGCGCGGTCCGAAAGAAAGGGGCTCTGATAACCAAGTGTTACGGGTGCAATGAATCGAGGTAGCGAGAATTGCACTAAGGTGTCAAACGAGTACAAAAATGTGAGCGAAGGCATGAGCGAGCATTTATACGCGAAACATGCAAAACGGTAACGCGGTGCGTGCGAACTTGCTAGTGCTACGCTGGAGCGAGGCTCGGGCTAGTCCCGAAGCGTAGGCCGATACGGCCATGCCAGCAGTGCGAGGTTTGGCAAAACAGTGCGCGCGAAGTCGGCGAAGTTCCGTTAGCAGTAACGGGCGAACAGTCGGCTGTTGCTGTACGCGATGTAGTCGGCTCCGTAAGGAATGCCTGAGAAAATTCCTTACAATGTCACATTCTTGAGGCTTGTCACCATCACCACCCCTCGAAATTGCACAATTTTTTTTAGTATTCTGTTTCGATCGTTAATTACAGCACCACATTTACGGTAACTCGAGACCATTCCTAAACCAAATATCATCCAAAATTGAAAATTTTGGAAAGCTCTGTGCTTAATACAAAGCTGTTGTATAAAGTATTAGTAGCCTACATATCAGGTTACTTGGCAATGCGCTCTCTCAACACATCCATGACACTTCCCAAGTTGTCCTTCACGCTCACAGGAGGGTTGGCAAACGTCGACACCATACCAGAAATCTCATTCGAGTGATACGCCACCTGAACGCATCACAAAAAAAATTGATACAGGTTATCCAGAGAAGACAAGGATTTCCATCAAAGGTCAACCCCAAACGTCACACTCCATTTTTCCCTGGTTGAGCTTCAGTGCTTTCCAGGTTAATTGCCTTACCTTGGATTGGGCGAACTTGAGGCCGTGTGCTGTGCTGACCACCACCGTGCGATCATTGGGACCAATCACTCCCCGACTGCGCAGCTTCTTCAGAGCTGCCAGAGCCACCTGCAGGAGGGAAAGGGAAGAGAAAAGAGAAAAAAAATCAACATATCCGGTATGTGCAGCCTGAGAGGAAATGAGCAGAAAAACCTACAGACAACACAAAAAGTTCACATAGCCCTGCACTTTGGAGGAGCAGATACAAGAGAAAAAGGGCACTCACTCCTGTGTGTGGGCAGTTGAACATGCCAGTGAGATCCGCCTCTGCTGCAGCGTCCATGAGCTCTTGCTCGGTAGCCTCTTCCACTATGCCATTGGATGCCTGGTCAGGGAGAGGAGAGAAAATTGGGAAGGGAGACCGGACACGAGGGAAGGTGGGGAGGTTGAGTGGGAGAAAGCAGGGAGGCATCATCTGCTTCTGCCACAGCGTCCATGAGCTCTTAATCCATAGCCTCCTCCACTATGCCATTGGATGCCTGGTGAGGGCAAGGGACAGGATCAAACATGCTTGAATGGAGCAAACATACCCAGCACAGGCCCAGAGAACATCCCACCACTCCCACCAAACAGTTGAAATATCAGAGCATATCAGGGCCAAGATTGAGTGCATCAGAGCTCAGCCTACCTTCAGCATGAAGATGGCTCGGTCGATGGACACAGGGTCGCCAATCTGGATGGCAGAGGAAAAAACTTCTGTACCCACCTTCAGCGCAAAGATAGCTTGGTCGATGGACACAGGGTCGCCAATCTGGATGGCAGGGGAAAAAACTTCTGTACCCACCTTGAGCGCAAAGATAGCTCGGTCGATGGACACAGGGTCGCCAATCTGGATGGCAGAGGCGAAGGTCTGCGTTGCCCGCACCGGCTCAAACTGCTCAAAGCCCTTCTGAAACGACAGGTAGAGCGGATTCGCGTTGGCTGCCTGCGCACACACCTGTTGAGGGAGAGACAGAGGGCGCGACAGGGAGACACATAGAGATGCCAAGTTACAGGCCATTCGGGCTGGGTGAAAGGGCATGATCATACACTTGAAACGAGAAGCACTGAAGGGGTCAGCACCGTAGTAATTCATGAGTCAACACAAAAGTTCAGTCAGGGATAACTGTGATGAAAGTGTGCTCATCATTCCCCTTCCAGAAGCAAGGAAAAAAATATCAGTTGCAGGGAGACAGATACAGAAACAGTTGTAGAGCGTAACAGCAGACAGCAGGTGGGTCTCGTGGCATCAGATAGGGGCGAAAATAAGCTTTTCACGGACACAAATGTGTCTCATCTGAACTATGCATAACTTCAATCAACATTTGCCAGAGTCACTTGCTCCCACACCCACCAAAAAAACTTCTCAACCCAATCCACCCCAACACAACCCAGACAAGACCTTGATAGAGCAAACTGAAAGCCTTCCCACACCTACCGACTAAATCAGGAGGGTCAGCACCGTAGTAATTTTGAGTCAACACGGAAGTTCAGTCAGGGATAACTGTGATGAAAAAGTGCTCATCATACCCTCCCTCTCTAGTCCTCTCATTATAACCTGCTCCTCCCTACCTGAGCTCTAGAATCCCACCTCATCTCTAGTGACAATAACGAGGGTCAGCACCGTAGTAATTCATGAGTCAACACAAAAGTTCAGTCAGGGATAACTGTGTGAAAGTGTGCTCATCATACCCTCCCTTCTCCTCTCCAGCCCCGTCCCCTCCTCCCTACCTGGCTATTGAATCCCACCTGATCACAAGTAACAATAACAAGGGTCAGCGCCTTAATCATTTTGAAGTCAACATGAGAAAATCTTAGTGTGATAAGAAAATGCTCATCATGCCCTCACTCAGCATCCCTACCTTCAAACTGTCCCAAACATCACTCAAACCCTTCAATGCATCAACCAATGTACAGAGACGACGTACTAAGAGACGCACAGGAGGAAACGAGGGAAAAGAAACAGGGACGGAGAGAAACGAGCAGCAGAAGTAGCGGTGACAGCTGAAGAAAACGGGGGGTTTGTGGCATCAGATAGGGGCGAAACAAAAGTTTTCCCGGACGCACGAGTGCGTCTCATCTGAACTATGCATACTTCAATCAACATCTGCCACGCTGACCGCCCCAAGGGAGAGAAAAGAAGACAAAAGACAGGATGACCACCCCGACTGACCCCTGGTTTCACTCTCGTCTCCCAAAGCTTCAAATCATCAGGCCTCAGTAACGTGGTTTATCAACAGGCGGAGATTCAGCCATATGCTTGTCAATTATTTTGAAATCATCCACGGCCGCACTAGACGAGGGTACCAGTTGAGAGGTGTAATAGAGCCTCGAACCCGCTCAACACCAGCACAAGATAGGCGGCACAAAGACCAGAAGAAAATGGAAGAAACCATCCCACTCTGGTAACCTTACCAGGGGAAGCAACGAGAACGACGCTGGAGAAACTGAACGGGCAAAACATACGGCTTCTCTCGACTAGAGCTTCACGACAGAAGCGGCAGGGTCTCAGTGACAAAGTTTATCAACAGGCAGTGATTCAGCCATATGCTTGTCAATTAATTTGTAATCATCCACGGCCCTCGCAAGATGAAGATATCAGTTAGACGTGCAATAGAGACTCAATCTCGTTCTTACAGCCAGCAGGCGGTAGGACGCAAAGGCAGGAAACACATAAGTGGGAATATCTTCCCAAACTGGTACTCTTACCCGGTTAAGCAAGAATAAAGGGGCTAAACATACGGCTTCTCTTGACTAGAGCTTCACGACAGAAGCAGCAGGGTCTCAGTAACAAGGTTTATCAACAGGCGGTCATTCAGCCATATGCTTGTCAATGTTTTGAAATCATCCTCGGCCCCGTTTACAGCGTGGCCAATTCGGCGATAAAGTCCCGAGTGAAGGGAGAGGGGGATGGGAGAGAAGAGGAGAGAATGGGACAAGCGAGGAGGGGAGAAGGGGCATGGTGCACGGAAGGGAAAGCGCGGCGACGAGAAGCTCTACTCACCAGGCGGGGAATGCGGTCGACGAGGCCCATCTCCTTGCACATGTAGAAGCCCTTGTAGAACGCGTAGATGTTGCCCAGATTGCCTGCGAAGGGATACCACAGAGAGAAGGTCAGATGAAAGCCAGTGTTAAAACTCGGTTAAAAAAAACGCACGCTTGTACAAAACGTGGATGTTGCCCAAATTGCATGTAATGACAAAAGCAGAGGGTAGAGCACGTTAGAAACAGCAGGAAGATTGAGAGAAAGTCAGAGCAGAGGAGCAGCACTAATATCAGACGGGGGTGCTGGGATAGGGGCGGGGGCAGGGGTGGGGGTGGGAGAGGGGTTGGGGGCGGGGTGGGGGAGGGATTGGGGATGGGTGGAAGGAACAGGCGAAAAGCAGCAGGTCAACGAGTCAACCCAGTCAACGCACCTCCAGGCACGATGACCCAGTCGGGCACTTCCCACTCGAACTGCTGGCAAATCTCGATGGCGGCCGTCTTCTGGCCCTCGAGGCGCAGCGAGTTGAGCGAGTTGGCGAGGTAGATGGGCAGCTGCGCCGTCACGTCGCGGATCAGCCGCATGCACCCGTCGAAGTCCGTGTCGATCGACAGCACCAGCGCGCCGTTCGCGATGGGCTGCACGAGTTGCGCGAGGGAAATTCTGCGGGGAGGGTGTCAAGGAAGAGGGGGAGGGGAGAGGTTGGCGGAGGGGTGAGATTGCATGCACCCGACGAAGTCCGTGTCGATCGACAGCACCAGCACGCCGTTCGCGATGGGCTGCACCAGCTGCGCAAGGGAGATCCTGCGGGGATAGATTGGAATACCAGCATAAGGGTGTCATGTCAGACGGACGGTTGATGTGGTCACATGCATTTGTGGAAACTCGTGCTCGTTGACTAGGCAAGGCAAAACAAGCCAACGAGGCAGATCCGTGACGTGAGAATGCGGATTTATTTTAAAATGCACGGCGGAAAAGGATCAGGAAAAACAGAAGATTACGCACTTGTTAGCAGGGAGGAAGACAATAGCGGGGATGCCGGCGGCAGCGCAGTAGGCGGAGAGAGCAGCGGAGGTATCGCCGGTGGAGGCGCATCCGACGGCTGCGAGCGGCATGTTCTTCTTCCGCAGCCGATTCACTTGACTCACGAGCACTGTCATGCCCAGATCCTGTGGTCAAAAGACAAGGACGGAGGTAGAGACCGGGAAATGGGTACATTAGGAAATCATCATGCAAAAGAAGTATGAACTACTCATGCTAGCCTGTAACTTAAAGATGAACAAGGCAACATCCACGGAGAGAAGGGCCTTTGGAAACAGGGAGTGAACAAATGAGCCGTGTAACGTACCTTGAAGGAACCAGTGTGGCTGTTGCCGCACTGCTTGACCCACAGATCGGACATTCCGAGCTCCTTGCCGTACCGCTCGGCCCAGAAGAGGTTGGAGTTGCCCTCGAACATGCTCACGATGTCGTCGTTGTCGATCTCCTGCACATCCATCGCGAATTACGGTCGTGAGTACGATACGATACGATACGATACGACGGATGGATACACACGCAGCAATATGTTTCAAGGCAGAGCGACGACCACATCGGAATGCCGATGGAAACAATCAACCAATGTTAAGACAATCATTGTCAAGACTTACCGGGAGAACCCATTCCTTCTTGCTCCACACCCCAGATCCGTAAGGCCACGTGTGCTTCCCAACCCGGGAGTCGAAGAGCTTCTTCCAGTACGCAGCGTCGTAGCGTTTGAGAGCCTCGTAGTCATGCTGCACGTCCAGCAACAGACCTGCACAGATTACCACAGTGAAGATGCCGGTCAGATTGGCTCAAACAAAAACAGTGCATACTTCCAATGTAAATCAAGTCAATCTCATCTCAGCCTTGCCATGTTGGAATACTTTGCGTCGACAAGCGTGCCACTAACGAACAGAAGAAAAAGTTTGATTTAGGTAAGAGTTCGCGGTTGCGTACCGTCCTTGCTGGTGTAGATGACCTCGTCTAGAGAGTACTCTTCAGTTGGCTTCTGATCCGGAGAGAAAGGGACGTACTTGGCAGAAAACACATTCTGAGGGCTTTCGAGCTCTGAAACAGATTCAGAGCGAAGGGAGGAAGGGCGCACATATTTAGACAAAAAGGCAGCAGGACAAGACAAACAAGACAACGCGAACATCATGCTAGGTCGGAAAGGTACAATTCCATTTCGCTTCCCACTAGCAAATTCAGTGGGTGAGAACTATGCTTCTGGCTGACCTTCAATGTCGAAGGATGGAGCATGGTTTGACCCATAGGTACCTAGCGTAACCGGGGTTTAGGCCATTCAACTCCCAGAAAAATCAGGGAACTGTTATGCACACACAACGTGCAGGCGAAAATCGAAGGCCTACCCTGTCGAGGAGCCTCGTGCCGGAAATCCCCTTCTTTCTTTTGGGTGACGACAGTTGAATCTGCCGCCTCTGCAACCACTCGCACGCCGGTTGACACAACCGCTCGGTGCTTCGATTGCCGGGCTAAGGCCTTCTTGGAAAGCACCAGAGAGGTCTTTTTTAGGCCATCGAACGGCACGAGTGTGGCGGAGGAGTTCAGGAATGGGGACTCTGAACTAGCTCCTGCACGAGCTAGTGCGCAAACAGAAGACGACGCGCGTGCAGACAAAGTGGCGGCCATGCCACTAATGGGCTAGGAGAATAACAGCCACGGAAGGAACTTAATGTCGTCTGCTTAGAACCGAAGTAGGTCTAGTCGACCGTACTGCAATACCAGCACGAAAAAAATGGCCCACAAATACACCGTAGCCAGGCAACTCCAGACCTATAAAGTGCCAGGAAGCACTGTTGTGTCAGCAAATGGGACTTCTGCCTTAGTTGCTGCTGACTGGCTTGGTGTCACACTCCGAGGAGAAACATTTCTGGCTGATTCCCCTTGGTGATGCTCCCAAGGTGGTGGGGAGCAGGGGCTTCGGCGGAGAAAGGGTTTTCAGGAGCAGAGGGGTCCGGGGGAAAGGGTTCTCACTTCAGGCATACGGGGAAGGGGATGGGGGAAACGGTTGCGGACGGCGTGGGCGGAAGGATTCGACGGGGAAATGCGCAACTTTTCATCGGGATTGGTTGGGGAGGAAGGAAGCAAATCCCGTAACAATTGCGTGAAGCATGCGGACACGGGATCATGATGGCGAGCTGAGGTGGTTTGGTGTGTGCGCCAGTGGATCACTCTGCTATGGTCCCAATCCAGTTGATCTGGAACGCTCGTGGCGGCCGCTGCGGTGGGGAGCTGCGATTGGTTGCTGAGATTTAAATGAGAGACTGATGTGGCAGTGTGACATGCAAGTAATCGTGGAGTTCTTATATATGGTAGATGAAATTGTGCTGTAGCTTCCTTCACAAATACTCTCCCTAACATGTTTGGCAGCCGACAATGAAAAAGAAAGCATTTCTCTTTACCAACCAACATTTTAGGGTCTGGCCTGTGGAATTTATTTCTGTATGCTCTGAATGCGTAAGCACAGATAAATTAATAAAAATACCTGACCAACATGCCTTCACGAAAGGAAGGAGCCTGAATTCTCATAACCCAACCAGTCTGATGGTCTCTGTTGCAAGGCCAATGTGACCTCCACAGGCAGTGAGTTACCCGGCATCCACTACCTCTAACTGTCTTCTACTACCACCCTTCTCTCACCGATAACTTCATCAATGCATGACGTCTCCTCCCAACGCCACCCTTAACTTGCCTATCAGTCTCCTGGATTCCACTTCCAGGAACTACCTTCTTTTCCCTGACCCCCTTCTTCACCTCATCCCTCCATCGGGTCCGTCCCTCTCTCTGCTCACCCTCACTCCTCCTCTGGCCGCCATTCCCTTCCTTCTCCTCTCTGCCACTCTCACTCCTTATCTTCTCCAACTCCTTTTCCACATCAGCATCGACTGGAAGATCATATCTTATCCGGGCGGCCTCGGTCTGAAAATCCTTGAGCATATCCCGCGTGATCTGTGAGCTGATCCCTCTCAAGTAGTGCGACAAAATGGGCGGCGGAGTGAGTGCAGGCTGCACTACCTGACAAAGCTGAACGCTAGTGGCCACCCGCATTGGATTCTGGGGATGGTGGTAGTGCGGTTGGCGTTCATTTAGCAAATAGCCGAAAAAAGCCCGGGGAGAAGAGCTGCCAGCTGGCTCCTTCCCATTGGTTGCAATGACACCAGAGGATAAATCGGCAGTAGACTTTGATGAGTGTGCTAATGAAGAGGTTGATGTGGGGGTGTGGAAAGTCAGTCGGGCGGATTGAGGTGTGGAGGGGCGAGGGGAGCGGGCCGTGGGGGAGTGAGGAGAGGGGGAGGAGGAAGAAGGAAGTGTGGTGGAGGGAGGAAGAGAGGAGGAGGGAGGGACAACCAGCGGCTCTAGTTGCCAGTAGCCTTCAAACTGCTTCATAAATCCGGGCCTTATAAGTTTAAACGACATCTGGTAAACAGAAGGGGGAGAGTGGGGAGGGAAAAAAAAAAGACACAACAGCACACAGAGAAAGTGAATGCTAAAAACATGAACCGCCATCTAAGACATTAGCATGTGACACGTGAAGGTCAGGTAAGTGGCATTATTCTGGCGATTCTATGTACCTTGAGGTTGGGTCGGTCCTGCTTGACTCTCAGGCGCACGTCAAAGGTTCCTGAGAGGAAGAGGAAGCGCCACCTGGCTCCCTGCTGCAGCTCCACCTCCTGCACGCCACCATCGTCGTACAGCACGTTGCGGTAGCTCACATCCTGCCATGTGCCATGTGTCATGTGCCACGTGCCATGCCATGCCATCACCCGTGCCATGCCATGCCCCCCATGTCGTGGGTCCCATACCATGCCACGCCATACCATGCAGTCTCAGGTCATCCCAAGAAATTCAGCTTGATTGATGGCATGCTATCAGATAAACTGAGGAACAAGGGCATGGTCAGGCGCCTTGAGCATAGAGAGGTTCAGAGCCGAAACAGGAGAGGGGTGTTCGTACATTCAAGAATAGTAGCAGTCAAAGCACTTGGCTTCATGGATTATGCATCTTGCAATTGGCTCACAACACATGCTCTAGTTTCACAATGCCCCATCCCTCCAACGCCGCCTCCAACCCTTCCTCCCTTTCCGGTCCCTTTCTTCCTCCCTTTGTTCATCCCTTTACTCGGCCTTTCTTTCGTTATCTTCCTCCCATTTTTTACTTTCAGGCACATAGGCGCATACATGCACACAGCTGTTCATACATACTTGCTCACATTCCCTAGCTTTCATTCGTTCCCAAGCCCCACACACCCGACCCACACAACCATCCATTTGTGAAAGACTACACCCACCCACGCACCGTGATATTCTTGAAGACTCTTTTATTGCTGGGGTCGCAAAGTGTGCTATAAACGAGGTCCGGGGGCAGGGCAAGCAGGAACTGCGCGTCCATTCGGCAAAAGGAGCCCTTTGGGACCGACACCTTCAACAAGGTGGCAACACAGAGTGGAGACAGAGGTGGCAGATTGTTCGTGCTTGAAACGGAATGCTACGTTCAAGCGAGCATAAGAAGGACTCTCTGAATGCAAGACATTTAGCAATGCAGTGACGGTGGGAAAGGGCTGGGTGAATGGGAGGAGGTTACAGAGTACCAACGGAAGAGCAGAAAGAGGGGAGAGGGAAGGGCGATTGCGGAGACGGGAACGGAGAATGGAAAAAGGGCACGTGGCAGCAGTCAGTCGTGAAGCGGAGGTACCTTCTGCCGCAAGGGGAGATGGCAGTGACGACACTCACAATTGCACCGATCATGAATAGGCTACCGTATTTTCCGCTTCCGTTACAGCATTCGCTATGCTCCCACGCCCTCACCTCGAGTTTCGGCTGCTCGTCTTCCCATTCGGGATCGGCGCGCCAAACTGCCAGTTGCTGGCGCATATTGTCCTCCCAGGCGCTCCTCTGTCCGGCCCCGCCATTGCTGCTACTACCTGCACGACCCCTAGGACTGTCGCTTTTTCCAGTACCACTAGAACCAGCCCCTCGATTCCAGATGCTACCGCCGTTCCCATCGCTACTTTTGTTCGGAAACAGGCCCCTCCATCGGGCTCTAGTACCAGAAGGTTCAGGCGTTTTTGCAGTAGCGGCTGTTGCTGAATCTTTCTCCGAAAGCTCAAACGGCCATTTTATCACAGAGACATCGGGTAATGTGAAATTGATGACAGCTTTCTGGAAATTGTCTGGAATGCCAGCAGCCACCGTGGTCGTCCAATCCGAGACATTCTTTCGAAAAGACTCGGGAAATGACATATGGAGACAATGTATGCACTGGAGAGAGAAATGCGGAAAGATGAAACTCAGATAGCTATGGTTGCTTGTCGATCGCTCGACATATATGGATGCAGATGATGGTAGGTAGACAAACTTTTGTGTGTTTGATCTTCTTGAGGAGGCTCATTTGCCATGTTGCTGGGTGGACCAGGCTCACAGAGCTGACGGAGAATGCTGGTCCAACTTACGTGGTTGGATTGGATGCACCACCCTCTGTACGCGTCAGAAATGGTTCGTCATCCACCGTCTGGTTTCTAACATGGTCAGCCCGAAACTGTAGGAAACATAACACATGTATGTTCGATGCACAGTATACACAACAAGTCAATCATTGCACAGATCCAGAACACTGGTTTTACTCTGCTTCACAAGTACCATGGCCAACCAGTATGCCTATTCATCTATCCCTTCGTAATCTCATCAGGGTTATTGCTTGATGCACCCACAGCATCTTGAAAGTCATTCTTTGCAGAATCATACAATGCTGTCAAGGAGTATGCCTGAAGGTCTTGAACCTCGTACCATGATTGCAATGGCTTCTTATCCTTATCAGTTCCAGAGAAGGCCACGTTGATCTGTCAAAAGTGGCTCTCGTTAGCCAACCGGAAAGTAGCAGACATAAAAAAACAGTCAAAACAGCTCTCTTACAGCAAGGCGGCAAGGTTCAGGATCAGAAATAGTTTTCATGCTACTGCATTTGTCTTCTGTAACAAGGCAATTGCTGTTGTCCACACACAGCGGGCTCACAGGCTCGCATGTTGACTCTGAGCAACCCATGTCCTTCCTGCACAAGGATGACCTCACAATGTCTTGCTAAGGAAATAAACAATTGCTACATTAAATCAAGTTGGAGTACGGTATTACCAAACAAAGGAATCAAGAACCCCTTCTTTGAAATTGATTATAAGAATTAGGGAAGGAAGCCGTCCCTGCATGACAGAGCAGGACAATCTAGTCATAAGCAACAGCAACGACAACATCATCAGGCGCTGCATAGGTCAGTTTAGTACGTTACCAGAGGGGATAAGAATTGTCGAGGAGAAGATACGATTCCCTTAGCTCCAGAATATACAATCAAAGAGCTGTTGACGAACTGCATCGTATTGAATAGGGTTAGGATGTCAAATGCGAGCATAGATTTTGCGTTTTACCACTTACGGTGTTGTTGATTCTTGCCATGCTAACGTTGTTGATTCTCAGAAGAGAAAGCTCGTCGACTTTAGGCCGAAAAACGGCCACTTCCACGCCTGGAGGTAATATCTGCGTGGACACTTTTTTAAACTCCATGTCCGGCGTAATAACAGCTCTTAAAAGAAGCTGGATCCTTGGACATCCTGTCTCATGAATTTCCTGATACCTGCAAAGTCTCGGCAAGGCACGGAGAGGATTTATTCCATGTCGCTGACATTCCACCGAAGCCAATGGCAAAGGAGAATCCATCGCCCTTCTGGACAGGGTCAGCATCCTTGCATGGATCGTATACCGTGTTGCGATCTCCCGCGTGGACCAAAACAAGTGCCGCAATTACAACAACGAGAGATAGGAGAGAGGCGTAAGAGCCGGCCATATCAGAAGCACACGACGGAATTAGCAGTACTGCTAGGAACTCCTGGTGGTCTAGAACTAGCTCAAGCTAGTGAATCAGATATGCAGTAGCTGAATGAAATGAGAGCCTCATAACATGAGCAGACTTCCGCAGTGCGCCTGACAAAAGGAGCTGTCCAGTCGCTCACATCACATCTCTGCGCAATTCTGCTGAAATGTTGAGCCCATTCCGCTACGGGTGCACATTTGCTGTTCGAAGGGTCTCTTTTCGAAGGTTCAAACACGGTACGGCGAGATGAAGCAAGATACAGTGTGATGTAGTGCGTTGTAGTTCGAAGATGCCTGCTTAAACAGGCCGTATCTGAATTACGTGTCATCCTAACAAAGGTCCGCGTATGTTGCATGCAGGAAATAGTTTTACGGGAAGAAAAATCGACTCTAAGTCGGCACTCGACGCACACTGTAACGAGGGTTTCATGGATGTCGTTTCGCTGACGCTATCGTTTCTTGGGAACTTCCCTCACCATCTTTTCCCTTTCCCCCGCCCCCTGTCCGCCTCCCTTTCCCCCCCTACCCATTCCCATTCGTTCCGCGCCTGACACAAATGCTTGCAGCATATCACACATTCCCTGCCTGACAGCCAACACAAATTCCCTCCCTGCTGATCGTGGCTCCTCCAGGCAGTCCGAGAGTCCTCCTGGCAAGGATGCTGATCTCGGATATCCCGCTGAACTTTCTGTAGCGTACTGAACTTCGTAAAGCGTCTTCTCTTCGCTGACAGCGGTATGCATCGCCACGGCTTCCGCCATTGTCGCTCCGTCAGGCTCGCAGCACGGCAGTGCTTACTCCCAAATGTGGCTTTCCCTAACCCTACCCTCAGACAGCTCTGTTCTCCTTCGTGCTATTCGTTTGCCGACGACGCGAGTCCCGGTCAAGCGCATTATGCGGCGTTTAATGCGCGTGAAACCCTCAGACAGTGTGATGGTCGAATAGGTGGCATCTCCGGTTCAAATCTTCCATCCGATTCCGCTCTAAACGCTGCATGGCGGAATATTCTTGAGAGAAACAGTACTTGGCTAGCAACGGGCTACCGCAATGGTGTTTCTCCTAGGTCAACTCCCCAGAATGTCCTCAGCAATAGGCGCTCCGTTACAACCACCACTGGCGGTGACATGCCGTTGCACTTCTGCATTGTGGGAAGCGGTCCAGCAGGCTTCTATACTGCAGAGAAGGTACACGAAGAAAGCAGGGAGGGTGTAATCGAGGTGAACCAAGGAGGAGAAGGGAATGCATGAAAACAGGAACAGGACCAGGTTCGTTGTGTTAGAAGTCCGGTGCAACCTGAGGGAGTGTGGAAACACCTCCATTTAAACGTCATATTCAATCCATTCAAGAGTCAGAAACCCTCATTACGCAATGAAACGTCCAAAAAAATGTATCTTACCTCTAGATCTTCAGGTACGGTCCTTGCAGTGTCTTCCATGACCGTGCTCTATGAACTCGTTCGTTCAGCCCTTCTCCTCTGCTCTCCCATCTGGCCCTTGCAGCTCCTGAAGCGTTTTGACACGGCACGGGTGGACATAGTGGAAAGGCTGCCCTCTCCTTTCGGCCTAGTGCGCACGGGAGTTGCGCCGGACCACCCTGAAACCAAGGTGTGAGACCATACGATCTTGGTACGTCAGCAATAGTCCGTTCTCCTTTTCTTCGTGCCATGATGTTACTTCTTCGCTCATCATCCTAGATGTGACTGTGACTGACCTGATCATAACAATGTTCACCCTTAGTCGTTTTTGCACGGATGTGGCATGTTGCTGGTTTATCATGTGCAAATCTGTGATGTTACTCGCTTCTATTTTTGTGTGTTTCCACCAGAATGTGATCAACCAGTTCACTCGTGTAGCCCAAAATCCCCGCTGCCAATACTTCGGAAACGTTGTGGTCGGCCCTTTGGTTTCCACGTCAGCACCATCATCCTCCACGTCAGCATTAGACCCGTCGTTATCTTCAGCCTCACCATCACCAGCAGCAGCTGTGACGTTGCATGAGCTGCGTCAGATGTACCATGCTGTCGTCCTGGCGTATGGAGCAGAGGGCGACCGCGATCTCAACGTTCCTGGGGAGGTGAGGAGAGGGGAGCGATTCTGTTTCTGTATATTGTTTTATTACACAGCCCCACCAGCATCACCAGTACCAGCAGTGACATTGGAACCATGCTGTCATCCTGGCGTATGGAGCAGAGGGCGACCGCGATCTCAACGTCCCTGGGGAGGTGAGGGAAAAGGAAGTTTCTGTACTTGGGGATGTCTCAAACTCCAGCTCACCACTGCTTTTGAGTCGACTCAAGAGCTTGGGAATGTCACAAACTCAAAATCCAGCTCAACACCCACATCATCAGCAGCAGCAGCTGTGACGTTGCATGAGCTGCGTCAGATGTGCTATGCTGTCATCCATGCGTCAAATGTCACTTTTCCGCCTATTTTTCCCTCCGCTCAGCACCTGAAGGATGAATATTCCCTGCCAAAGAATCCCACATATGCAGGTGTGCCTCCTCTCCTTCCTTCCAGCCTCTTCTCCTCTCTGCTCTTCCAAGATTTTTACCCCTCCTCCTCCTGTCCACATTTTGTTCCTCTTTTCCTTCCTCCACACTCCAGCACCTGAGAGGAGTCTTCTCTGCCAGGGAGTTGGTGCGGTGGTACAACGGCCATCCCGACCACACCAATGCATCTCCCCTTCTCTCCCTCCCACTTCTTACTCCTGCATTCTTCCGCTCCTTGCCACCAGCACCTGAGAGGAGTCTTCTCCGCGAGGGAGTTTGTGTGGTGGTACAACGGCCATCCCGACTACGCCAGTCTTCCAGTGGACCTCACCTCTACTGACACCGCTGTTGTCGTTGGCCAGGTATGTGCTTTCCTCTCTTCACTCATCACCGGTTGTGCTAAGCCATGTACGTGCTTTCCTTCCTTCTCTCATCTTGCCATCCTGACTACGCCAATCTTCCAGTGAACCTCATCTCTACTGACACCGCTGTTGTCGTTGGCCAGGTATGTGCTTTTTCCTTTCTCTCTTTCTTCTCTACCGTTTGCCGAAGTTGCTCCAAACGTGGTATGCTGCTCTGCTCGGATGGTCTTCTGAGGAACCACTCCTTTTTCACATCGAGTTCTTCCGTTACGAGGTCGAGGGACGCACAGTGGAGGAAGCTTCAGGGTACACAGCAAGAGGAGAAATTTCGCCGCACGATAGAGAGGGAGAATAAGCTACTGTTTCGGACAAAAACTGCAAGTCGTGGACGTGGAAGAATGCCTTCACAAATATCTGGCTCGCACCAAGGATGACACGCCAACCTCCTTAGAGGCCGGACCTGGGTTAGCCACGTGGCCACCACTCATGCACAGTTAAGACTGTTATTGCTTATTTATGCTTGCTCTATCGGTGTACATATCAAATACCTTAAAAATAAAAAAGCATCGAGTCCTTCCTACCGCTATGTCCTCTCCCAATCGCACCATCACACCATCGCACCATTTCACCATCGCACTATAAAGCGAGGTACCCCTGGAGAGAGGCGCCCCTAGAGAGAGGCGCCCCTAGAGAGAGGCGCCCCTAGAGAGAGGCGCCCCTAGAGAGAGGCGCCCCTAGAGAGAGGCGCCCCTAGAGAGAGGCGCCCCTAGAGAGACGCGCCCCTAGAGAGACGCGCCCCTAGAGAGACGCGCCCCTAAAGAGAGGGCGTGGTTCTGTCTGGACTTGGCAAGAGTGGTGTGGTGCTCTTTGAGGCCTTCTGAGTGACCTCTTCTCGCAACAACCACATCCTCTCACCACGTCACTTCCCCCATTCCCCCATCCATTGCACTGTAACCTGCAGGGCAACGTGGCTCTGGACGTGGCAAGAGTGCTGCTCTCTCACTGCCTTCCCTCTCCTCGCAACAACTAGCTCCTCTAGCTAACCGCCTCACTTCGCCCTCACGTACACACCATTGCACTGTAACCTGCAGGGAAACGTGGCCCTGGACGTGGCCAGAGTGCTGCTCCGACGGCCGTGCGAGCTTCAACCCACCGACATTGCAGAGCACGCACTGGAGGCACTGGCGAGCAGCCGAGTCAGGTGAGCGGCAGTGAGCTTCTATGCCTGCGCGGCCAGGTGCATGTGTGCCACGAAGGGCTTTGATGCACTGCAGACATTGCAGAGCATGCACTGGAGGCACTGGCGAGCAGCCAAGTCAGGTCAGCAGCCATGTGCAGCGGTGAGCTTTCTATTTACGTGCAAGAATCATTCGTCCCTGATGGCTTTGACCCACCGACATTGCAGAGCATCTGCTGGAGGCATTGGCGAGCAGCCAAGTGAGGTGAGCAGCGGTGAGCAGCAGTGAGCTTTTATATTCCTGTGCATACAACTCAACGGTCAATGAAGGTTCAACCGCCATCAGACAATGCAGAGCATGTGCTGGAGGCACTGGCGAGCAGCCAAGTGAGGTGAGCAGCGGTGAGCTTTCTATTCCTGTGCAAGAATCATCGGTCAATGAAGTTCAATTCAACCGCCATCAGACATTGCAGAGCATGCGCTGGAGGCACTGGCGAGCAGCCGAGTCAGGTAGGCACCTATTGTGTTCCTCCTCACTGATTCCTGAGGCACACACGGGAGACTCGTGCTACTGGCTTTGCCAAATAAACATGATCAGGCAAGGCAGAATGTACACCCGGTTCGCGATTTTCGTCAGGCGTGACATTGAATTTATTTCCTGATTGTCCATCCCCTCTTCAACTCTTCTCATTCAACTCATTTCGACGCGCTCCCCTTCTTCCCCCTGCCCCCCACCCACTTCCTTGCTGCTTCTCAACCCCCCCTCCCTTCCTCCCTCTTTTCGCTTCTGATAGGCGAGTGCATGTGGTGGGAAGGCGGGGTCCGGTTCAGGCCGCCTGCACTGCCAAGGAGGTTCGCGAGGTGCTAAGTATGTTGCTTAGTGATAATTATGTTGCTTAGTGATAAGTATGTTGCTTAGTGATAAGTATGTTGCTTTGTGCTGAGTATATTGCTTATTGCTAAGTATGTTGATTCTTGCTGAGTATGCTGCTTAGTGCCAGTTATGTTTCTCTGTGCTGAGTATGCTCCTTATGCTAAGTATGTTGCTCGGTTTTCAATGTTCACTGCTTTCTTTTCCTTTGTGCATGAACTGTTCTTGGCAGAGGCAGAAAACCTACTCTGCAGAATGCATGTGGTCATTGTTTTTTTCTTTTTGAAACTTAAATCACCTAACCCAACAATTGCTCTTGAATGCAACTGAACTTTTTCTTTCCTTCGCGTCCATGCCATATTTGTGCAGACCTCGATGACATTCAAGTCACACTCAGACAAGAGGACTTTGCGCTGACCCCTATGGATGAGGTAGGAGACAAAGCATTGTTCCTGGGAAGGAAGCAACTTAGTGGGACGGTGAGGATAGGTGGTGGGGTGACTTTTGAGTCGACTCAAAAGTGGGACGGTGAGGATAGGTGGTGGGGTGACTTTTGAGTCGACTCAAAAGTGGGACGGGTGAGGATAGGTGGTGGGGTGACTTTTGAGTCGACTCAAAAGTGGGACGGTGAGGATAGGTGGTGGGGTGACTTTTGAGTCGACTCAAAAGTGGGACGGGTGAGGATAGGTGGTGGGGTGACTTTTGAGTCGACTCAAAAGTGGGACGGTGAGGATAGGTGGTGGGGTGACTTTTGAGTCGACTCAAAAGTGGGACGGGTGAGGATAGGTGGTGGGGTGACTTTTGAGTCGACTCAAAAGTGGGACGGTGAGGATAGGTGGTGGGGCTGACTTTTGAGTCGACTCAAAAGTGGGACGGTGAGGATAGGTGGTGGGGTGACTTTTGAGTCGACTCAAAAGTGGGACGGTGAGGATAGGTGGTGGGGTGACTTTTGAGTCGACTCAAAAGTGGGACGGGTGAGGATAGGTGGTGGGGTGACTTTTGAGTCGACTCAAAAGTGGGACGGGTGAGGATAGGTGGTGGGAATCAGCAGTGAGGAAGGAATGGGTGATGAGAATGAGGTGTCATTTGAGTCGACTCAAAATGAGAATGTGTGCGAACTCTGTGAATGAAGATTCTTTCCTTGCCTGCATGCCTCCCTGGTTGTCCAAGCCAGCGGCCTCTCTCCATTTTTTCTCCGTTCCTCATTGTTCCTTGCTGTCTCCTCTCTCACTGCTACCTCGGCTTCTCTCCTCTGTCCCTCCCCTCACAGAGTGAGCTCAAGGCAAGTCGCAGCCACCGCCGCGTGTTCGACCTGCTCTCCAAAGCAGCAGCACCACCACCATCGCTATCATCAACAGTTACCAGCAGCAGCAGCAGCAGCAGCAGCATCAGCAGTGACCGGCGCGAGCTGGACTTTGTGTTTTTCCGCTCGCCCGTTGCTGTGCTGACTGGAGGGGATGGGAAGGGGGAGGTTAACGGAGGTGTTGGGGCGATTCGACTGGAAAAGAACGTTCTCACTGGTCAGTACCTGGGTTAGGACTTGTCATGAATTGGACTTTGTGTTCTTCCGCTCGCCTGTGGCTGTGCTGCCTGGAGGGGATGGGAAGGGGGAGGCTGACGGACATGTTGGGGCGATTCGACTGGAGAAAAATGTTCTCACCGGTCAGTCAGTGCCTGGGCTGGGACTTATTGTGCTGCTATGCACCATTCTTGACTGGAAAAGAATGTATGCACTGGTCAATGTGTGGAATGGGACCTTCTGTTTACTCATGAGATCATCGTGCAGATGCAGCTGGTAATCTAGGGTTCTCAGTCACACTGACAAGTAGGTTCCAACATGATTTTTTTTTGGGTGGCTCTGGATATGAAAGAATAGTATTTGGGGTATTCGATTGTACATGGATGTGCTTACTGGAGATGAAGGGCGATTACCATCTTCATATGTGGAATGCTAGATTGCTGTTACGGAAGCGTTGGCTACGAGTTTGTGTGTTTTCTGGATGAAGTTTTTGCATCTGTTCTCGCTCTGTGTTTGCATGCATGTTTGTGCAGGGGACTTCAGGGACGGGCCAAGGAGGGCAGTGGGGACAGGAGAGACTAGCGACCTGCCTTGTGGGTGGGTGCTGCCTTGTGGGTGGTGCTGCCTTGTGGGTGGTGCTGCCTTGTGGGTGGTGCTGCCTTGTGGGTGGTGCTGCCTTGTGGGTGGTGCTGCCTTGTGGGTGGTGCTGCCTTGTGGGTGGTGCTGCCTTGTGGGTGGTGCTGCCTTGTGGGTGGTGCTGCCTTGTGGGTGGTGCTGCCTTGTGGGTGGTGCTGCCTTGTGGGTGGTGCTGCCTTGTGGGTGGTGCTGCCTTGTGGGTGGTGCTGCCTTGTGGGTGGGTACCAGAGCGAAGAAGAGTGGGTGCTTTGTGGAAAAGAGTGATGCTGCAAAACTTGCATAAGATAGCGACCTGACTTGTGGGTGGGTACCAGAGCGAAGGAAAAGAGTGGAGGTAATATTGTGGAATAGAGTGATGCAGCGAGGCCACCACTCTATTCCCCTTGCTCCCTCCTTGCCCCATTCCGCCTTCTGATATTCCTTCCAAACCCCACCTTTTTCACTCTTCACCTGTTTAGGATCTTACTTCTCATAGCTCTCTGCTGTCCCCCTTCTACTCCTCCTCTCTTCCTCTCGGCCTCCAGCTCTCTGTCATCTGTACTGAACTTTCTCTTTACTTCTCGCAAACCCCTCTCCCAGCCTTGTATTCAAGAGCATAGGCTACCGGCCATTGCCCATTTATGGCCTACCATCCGTACTGCACTCTCCCCTCTACCTCCCCCGACCCTCCCTCTCAGCCTCGTGTTTAAGAGCATAGGCTACCGCTCCCTGCCCATTGCCAGCCTGCCTTTCAACCAGCGCAGTGGTGAGCTCCATAGTAGATGTTTCCGTAGCATGCCTTGCACCATGCATCTTGGAAAGTATCATTTGCACGATTACCACCGCCCCTGCTTCACCATTTTCCCTTACCCCACCCACTGCTTCAATTTCCCACCCCAACTTGTCGACTTCCCTTTACCACCGCCCCTGCTTCACCATTTTCCTTTACCCCACTGCTTCAATTTCCCACCCCAGCCTTTAGGTTCACCAATCCTTGCCCATCCTTTTCACCACAAAATCACTCCCATCCCTTCCCATACCCATCTATTCCCAAACCCCTTTATTTCCAACCCAATCCAGGCACGGTACCAAACGAGTTGGGCCGTGTGCTGCAAGCCAGTGGAACCGATCCTGCCAGTGAGGCTCGGTATGAGCCGGGCCTGTATGTGGTTGGGTGGCTGAAGAGAGGCCCCACAGGAATCATCGGCACGAACCTGATTGACGCTGAGGAAACGGTGAGCCTTCGAGCCTCTCTCTTGCATTGCCCTTCGTTCCCGCGTTACACAAATACACTGGAAAACAGCTTTTGAGTTGGCTCAAATAGGTGGCTGAAGAGAGGCCCCACGGGAATCATCGGCACGAACCTGATTGACGCTGAAGAAACGGTAAGCCTCTGTTGAATTGAAGTTTGTTTTCATGTTCTACAAATACAATTGAAGCCTCACTGCTGCTTCTCCCTTGCTGAGTCCCTCTCTCTCCTCCCTGTCCCCTCAACTCCTCCCAAAGCCGACTTCCATGTCCTCCTGAATCTGTTTGGTTGCTCAATCGCTTGTGGCGTCCCTAGCATCGGTACACCCTGATTTCCCTATTGCAATTTCATCCTTCATTCTTTTTTTGCTGATTCTTACCCTTGTGTCTACTTCCCCGAACCAGGTCTCTAGCATTGCACAAGACGCAACAGCAAGTGGGTTCATTTCGTCAACATCTTTCAACACAGATCCTAGCAAAGGAGGAGGGTCAGAGCTTGTTGCTCTTTTGAAGCAGCGGATGTGCCCATTTGTGACGTTTGAAGATTGGATGAAGATAGATGCTGAAGAAATTCAGCGTGGCATGGCAAGCGGAAGAGTCAGAGAGAAAATTGTTTCGTCAACGGAAGTCCATAGAATTCTGGGAAAATGATATATATTCACTTACCAGTGCTCTTTGCGTCTGCCACATCCCTGCTTCCCATCACTTCTCAACTGTATCCTTTCTCATGCTAGAGGTGGAGTTATGTCACTAATTCAACTAGATCAGCAAATTCCATTTGTCCTCACCTCTTGTGTTGAATGAACAACACATCAATGATGAGTACTAATACGGAATCCTGGATGAAGCTCTAGCGAGGGTTTTGAGACACTAGTCCACACGTGCCTCTTGTTAAAATTTCCTATCTTCTTGCCGTCCCATTGTCGGCGAGGATCCTGTGTGGTGACGTCATATTCGTAAGCCAATCAAGAACCAAGGCTTCGTCGTGCTATCGTGGCATCTGTACGGAACACTCGTAACATGCGAAATGCGACAAGTGTGTCCCGAGTCTTGCGAATGTACAGAATCGGAGAGCAGGGGGAAAATGTCGCAATAGTCTTCGCCTGTCATCGAACGTGGGTGTTACAACTGGTTCTAATCGGTTGAAGCTATAACCTCAAACCTAGGCTGCGGTGCCGACAACCACCTTTGTCGAGGAGCCGCAGAAAGTGCCTTTCACTCAGGTAGAACAAGAAACCGAAACCCTCTACGATGCGTATCAATGATAATGCGAAGCTGGGCGACAAAGTTACGAACAGACAATTCGCCGAAGCACCAACATACTTGGTTCCTGTCCCCTTCTCTACACGATGCTGGGTCGACTACATTGCTCTCTTCTTCCCATATAAAATCCGCATCTGAAAGCCTTTAACCACCATTCCAACAAAAGTGCACTCCATTCTGAGCACTCCATTGCCTCAAAGTTCAACGCTTCGCAAGCACACCATGGCAGTCAGGCGTCTCCTGCTTTGCGCCGCGCTGTTCTGCCTCGTATTAAATGGTATGACGCTCACTCGTATTCTGCTCAGCTCCGCAATTTCGTTACTTCTCGCGAGACGTGATACAACACGTTCAACCAGTAACGCACCTCAGTTTGTGACGTGCAGGTAACGCCGTTCCGGGGAGGCAGCTTCGTCACCGCAGCAAGTATTCGTGGCGAGACTTCGCCGCTTTGGGGAAATTTTCTGGTAAGATACTCTGCAAAATCCTGCTTGAACTCCTATATTTCAGTTTCCGCTGCGGTATCTTGAGTGGTTTGTTTCCGAGCACACGTTTCTCTAACGAATGTCTCTCCCGCTTTTGACGCGTAACTGTCACCGGGCTGTCTCAGGAACTCTCGCCGCTCCCATGAGCGGGAGTCAAGTCAGTGGTGGGAACAAAAAGGACCATGGAGTTATTCGAATGTCGATTTTCTCGTAAGTCACAGCTTCGAATCTATAAAAACATAATGTTTCTCGTTTTCATATCCCTGCCTTTTTTCCTCGTTTTTGTACGTTTTGATCGCAAGCTGGTACGTAAGCTGTAACCTGACATGATGTTTTTCAACCCATTGTTTTACAGGAAAGATGGCGATTACAACGTATACTATAATGGCAAAGCCGATCTCAAGGATTCAGGTTACCCGACAACCGTTGGTATTTTTAAGGGGAAAAAGGGCGAGGCCGGGACGCTCGCATTCGACTTCACGGCTGACGCCACGTGGACGAACGACACGTGGAACCCCGTTTTCCCTGTTTTCCGGCAATTTGTGAACCACTTCGATTACAGCTTCGAGGGCATTTACGAGAAGGCGAGCACCAAGGCCGCGGCAACGGGCACGCTTAAGGATCTTATCAAGGCCATGTTTAACGATGGCGCTGGCTCGTACTACGGGTTGGTGACCTCCGCGGCGCACGCGACTGGGGCGACGCGCGGGCAATTCCTTGGATTCAAGCTTTCCATCTGAAAAAAAATAGAAAGGAGTCTGATTTCTGGAGCTGCTGGAATCTGAGGGTCAGTCGTTGAATTCGAAATAGGCGTGAGGGCTGTGTCAAATCCCTTGACATGTTTGGCGCCGTGGTAATAAAATATGCGAATGCGCTTATGTCAAAATTTAACCGTTTGTGCGGATCCTCCATATAAGCAGCTCGTTCTCGGAACGCCTCAGCTTAATGATCGCGACATCCAAAAATAAGCCGCGAAGCCGCGACTAAGAGGATTTCAATGGCTCTTCCTACGTACTTACTGGTAGAGCTGGTGGTTGAGAGGAGGAAGCAGACCAGATGATAGTAACATCACGTCGCGTGAGGCAAATTCTTCCTCCTGAAGTAAGGCAATCCACCACACCAACTGGCAGTGAGTCGGTCGGTGCATTTGGTGGTAGCACGAAGAAGAACGTGTTAGTTAGAGATAATGCCGAATCTGCTGTGCAACACGCTGCAGGTCGATTTGCATTCGTCACGGGTCGCTAGGATCTTCGCATGACTACCCACCCTAGACGAAAACAAATAGGTTGACTGGGTAAAGTCTCGCAACGGGGCCGAACACTGCAACCATAGCGAAGCTGATATGTTTGCGCAAAGCTCAAGTTCTCGTGTTGGTGGTTACACACATTGGCGACTCTTGCCAATCCCCACTCCGAACCGCATCTTCCTTGCTTGAAAATGAAGCGAAGCAATTGCTCGATCGAAATTCAACCATTTTCATGCTGGGCAAAGACAGCAATTTCCAGCCTGGACCTAGGAGGTACAGCAAGCCTACAAACATGGGGACATTGTCGGCGACAGCGGCTCGTATTGTGCATCTGGGACAACCACGCATGTCAGCTTCGACAACATCGGACGACGTTGAGCATCCATTCTAAATCATCGTACGGTAGTTAATTTGTCGCGAAAAGGGTAATGTGAGGGCGCGATATCGTGACCAGCCACCAAAATGTCACCAATCGGGACCCCTTCTGTCGTTCCCCTTCCTCACAACCTGATGCTGCTTTCCTCGCAACGCTCCTCATGATGCTACTACATAAGCAACTCGACAACCTTCGAATTCTCATCACTTGGCTGAGAAGATTTCGTGCGCGTCTGAATCTAGACTCCTAAGTGAAGGGCAGAGAGGGAATGCACGAGGCCTGCGAGTTGCATTTTGCTGCCACTTTCAAGCCTTTCTTTTTGCTATCGCTACGAGGAAAATGATGATGTCTCTCCGGCCTGCCGTAACCTCACTGGTGGTAGCTGCTCTCCTACTTGTATCATGTAAGCTCGAGAACGCGAGCACCAAACGCAAGCATCGCGTTCTATCAACGTTAAACCGAGTTTGCATCGAGCTTCTCTACCGATTTTATTGTTCTTCCTGGTTTTTGTTTTCACCCAGCATGCCATGCAACACGCCCTGGAGCCGCAGCGACACTCGCGGACAGCCCCCTTGGGGCGCAACGAAGAGCGCTGGCGAGCGTGAGCGGCTGGATTCAAGACAGATTTTCCAAGGGAATTGGATATCCGTATGGTACGCTTCAGTTTTTCTATTTTTGTTTTCATCTATCTAATAAAAAAAACATCCGTTGTAGTACGATCAGGAACTGAGGGACGCTTACGAACTCTCGGCGCAACTCTTCTTTTTCCGTTCACGAGCTCTTTGACAATCACTATTCATTCAATCTTCCATCCTGTTCCTTTCCCCTTTTCTATTCTTTTAATATCGGAATTGCATCATGGCCGCCTTGCAGCTGGGTTAGCGGCAGCCATGGATGGTTCGGAGCTGAGCGGCGATCCGACGACTGCTGGAGTCCTCACTTTCGGCATCCTCAAGTATAGTCGCAATCACATTCGAACTTGAACAACCACTCAAATTCGCACACGCGAAGGTGTCAGGGTGGAAGGGTGCTCTCTCTCTCTCTCTCTCTCTCTCTCTCTCTCTCTCTCTCTCTCTCTCTCTCTCTCTCTCTCTCTCTCTCTCTCTCTCTCTCTCTCTCTCTCTCTCTCTCTCTCTCTCTCTCTCTCTCTCTCTCTCTCTCTCTCTCTCTCTCTCTCTCTCTCTCTCTCTCTCTCAGTACAACGCTTGTCCCTGTTGTGAACACCACTGCTGTTTAATGATGGTGTTTCAAATAAATGCCACTCAACTTTTACCATCTAAGTCATGTACGAGCCAGAGCCATATGATGCTGCTCGCTCTCGTCCCACCTGATAAAATTCCTGCTTCTCCTCTGTTTCTCCCCCGGTTTGAGGATTTTCCAGGATCAGGAACGACTATCACATTCGCTACGCTGTTGCTGTTCGTGTGCCTACCCCAGGTTACCCAGCTGCGCTTACAGTGAAAACTGGGTTCGCGGGGGAGACTGGTGACGTGGCGCTGGACTTCGGATCTGATGCCACGTGGAAGAATCTGACGGAGCAGGGAGCACTGGTGTTCAATCTCGCTCTTCAGTCTCAGGGGTTGCCACCAATGGAACCCGGTGCTGTCGGTTACATATATGCATTCACGGGAATATGGTATAATGCAGGCACCAGGACATCTGCTAACGGGAATACGTACAAGCAGGTGGTGGATGCCATGATGGATGCTCCAGATGGTTACTATGGGCTCCTTGCAACACCTGGAAATCCAGAAGGTGCTGCCCGTGGCCAGTTTGTTTCCGAGAAGGTGACCCTTGCAAATAAGGTGGCCAACTTTTTGAAGAGGAGGATTCAGAGGCTCAGGCACAGGAGCTAGTAGGACATTTGTGACTATGAGGAAGTAAAGTGGGTTTTTAATGTGGATTAGAGGGATAGAAAAAATTCAAGCGGTTACATATGTGTACCCATGTTGTGATTTTCTATTACTTTGATGAGTTGTTTTTGTATAACATCCAGTGAATGGACGTTGTTGTAGTAATTTCCTGACTATCCAAAAGCTACAATATCTAAGGCATCAAGTTTAGTTTTTCGTTTAATGCCGAAGAGGCGAATATTCTCGCCACGCCTCCATCGCGGATGTTACCGAGGCTGAAAAACGGCAGTCGTTTTGCAAATAGATGATTTCATTTGCAAGGAGTCATTTTCGGTTTGGTTCGCCATTGCCCTTGCCCAATCGTCCGTTATCGAAAGCGATGGGAACAATTTTCGGTCGTCTATTTTCAATCTACTTTGAGCAGGTTCAGCTCGGTTCGTCACTGCCTCGGCAAAGCTTCATCAACATGAGGAACCATACCAGACGTGTGGGCGCCAAGGCTTGCCTACTTGGGAATATGCTGCTGGAGGAACCCAAAGCGCCCGCCGCCTTCTCGATCTCGAGCCCACAGTTGATTCGACAGAATTGCTGCCAAGACGGAAGAGGGGGTTCGGAGTTTCGAGGGGGAAGAGGTAAGGGGGAAGGCTGGTGTTGATAGTGAAGTGACGGGGGCTGTCTTCCACTCCCAAAGCCCTTGCGAGCGGAGTCAAGCGACGGGCGCAGCGACTGACTTCCTCGCAACAGAACTCTAAGGACGTGTAACCATTTTGCACTCGACGGAACGAACCGTGGACCGTACGTCGATGCGAAGGGTTACCATTATCGTTTAATGTCGTGCAGTTTTTCGCGAGGACGTGTGCGACGTCGCTACAAATTCGAACCGTCATGAAACTTTTTCCGCATTCTACGACACGAAACTCTGACAACGGATGGTCCGAATCACAAACGGACTGTCCGCCTGTCCGCTCACGCGATTGGCGGGCGAAATTGGATTTCAGCGGACCGCCTCGCCAAAAAAATGGAAGATGCGACTCCGATGCAAAAATTGACATTGACCAATCACAACTAGCCATACTGACTGCGAAGGGCTTGGTGTGGACGGCCTTTGTGCTTGTTTGAAAAAATCCTATGTTTGTCCGAAGCGCTGAACTCAACAGGCGAAAACTGCGATGGGTTGTGACTGACGTTACTGGTGTACATTTGAGATGGCGAAGGGAAAACCATCGCGGAACCCTAGCATGTGGAAAAAGTGTCACATCTGCATTCGTACCGTCCGAAGTTGCAAACATTCAATTCGGACAGTCCGTTTCGTCATAAACGTACCTTCCGATTCCATATAATCGGACGGTACGTCAAAATCACAAAATGAAAAGTGGTTACACGCCCTAAACCTCCTCCTACACATGCAATTCGTCCCGAATCTCCGAATCATACCCGAACGAGCCAAGCCTCGCTCGAGCCAGCTGTTTCGCTTGGCACCCCCTACGCAAGCCACACCTAACTTGCCTAGCTGCGGCCAAGGCTGGGCAAAGCCCGGCCCGCTAGCCGAACCAGAATGGAGGCTACCCAATGCACCTGCCGTTCATTGGCTGAAAAACACCGCCGCACTTTCGCGCGTCACGCCAGCCCCATCCCACCGCACCCCATCCCATCCGTCCACCACATATTTCTTGTGTATGTGGCACACCATCCGTCCCTTGAACATGTTACTGTACCAGGTCCCTTCCAGGGTGGGTCTTGTCATTTCAAGCGCTGCTCGACTCCAGCCAGTCACTGTAAAACCAAACCCCTTCTCTCACTTCTTCGCTTCACTTCTGTCACAATCTTGCTGCACTGCCGCATTCCTCAACAAAACACCCCGCCGCGCCATACAGCACACTTCCGACCGCATTTTTCAACAACCGCGCGTTTGGCTGTTCACGAATACTTGATCCGAACCGTCGGGGGGGCTCCCATATGATTTTCAGCTGCCAACAAATAATATACATTGACACGCCTGGCTCTTCGCCCCGAGCGCGGTATTGATTGGTAAAATACCCCGGTTCGAACTTCGATTCAGAAGTCTTTTTGGTCTCCTCGACTCGACGTTGGTTGCCGCGATTCAACGTTTCGCCGCGCCGCCAGCATGATGAGGCGGTTCATGTTCTTCTCCGTCGCCGTCGCGCTATGCCTTCTCGCGACGCGTAAGTACGCTAATGTGTGACGGAGGCCGCCTAAGTAACGCCACGTGATGCCATGTCAGGTTGCAGTCACGTCAACTCAGCTACATAAGCTGCGTCGCGTCTCGCTGCTCTATAGTGTCTTTTTCCAGAAAGTAAGTGCGCGACGCGTTAGTGTTTTCTTCACACGTTTGTTAATGGATCGCGCAATATTTCCCCGTTCTAGCGTGAAGCATACTTGATTTGTTGCTATTTGCTGTGTTTTTATTTTATTTGATGTTAATTTTAGGTACACTATAGAAGCATACAACCGCAGTCGTAACTGGGGACATGTGTGCTTATACGTACAAGCTCCCGAGTCTCAGTTTGTATCGATTCTCTTAACCTTTATCCGCGACGCGTCAAAGTTCATCACGCGCGCCTATACGTACCTCATGTCGCAGCTTGTAACGAGTCGTTTATGCTTCATTTGCAGGCTCGATGCTGACCCGGTGCTTGTGTGGATGTCTTATCGTCCCCCGTCCTTCTCCCTCCTTACTCTTCCCCCCCCCCCCCCCCCCCCCCCCCCCCCAACACGCTCCTTAAGGCCCCTACACCACCCAACCCCACGCCCAAAACGCCACTGCATTATCAATGCTTTCAACCCATCCGTTTCGACGGACTCCTTTTCCACCAACTCACAACCCCCATCTCTCCCCTCCGCCCCTCCTCTCCCCACCGCGCCCTTCCTCCCTTTCCACCTTTGCAGTGCCCGTGAAATCAGCCAACCCGGTACAGCAAGGGCTGGAGAAGCTTACAGCGGGGCTGTATAACAAAAAGTATTACAGGGGCTTTCAGGCGAAGCTAAGGCAACTGCTCCCATCCCATCCCATCCCCCCCTTACAGTGCCCGTGAAATCGGCCGAACCGTTACAGCAAGGGCTGGATAAGCTTACAGCGGGTCTGAAGACCAACAAGTATTACAGGGGATTTCAGGCGAAGCTGAAGCAGCTGCAAATGAACCGGATTTGGACCGAAACTAAGAACTACGTGACGAAGCAATCCGCCGACAAGATGGCCAATTACACCAAGATGCGAAGTAAGTCGGGCAGTTGCATACTTTAGTAATACTCCCTCTGTAGTACACTGTCTCTCGTGGCGAAGCAATCCGCCGACAAGATGGCCAGTTACACTAAGATGCGATATAAGTGGGCCAATCACATCACATTTGCTTGCACAGTAAGTCGGGCAATTACATTTGCTTACGAGGTGAATTTTGAGACGACTAGACGGCCACAAGACGGCCAGCTACACTATGATGCGAATTAAGTCGGGCAAATACCGCTGTAAGTCGGGAAATCGCATTTGCTTGTACAGTTAGTCAAGCAATTACAGTTGCTTGCACAGTCAGCCCGCCAAGACACTGGCTTGCACATCTAGCCGCCGAGCGATTTGCAGACACGAAATGAAAGGACTCACAATCCCATCCCCTACTGTCCCCCTCCCCTCCCCCTGCTCCTTTCCAAACACCCCCTCCCTCCTTGCAGTGGCCATAATGTGCGTCATGAGGGGAAGCGGCTCACCCTTGCAGTGGCACTGTTAAATTAACACTGCCTCCCCCTTGCCTAATAATCCCCATTCTCCTCCCCTCCTGTTCTCCCTTTCCAACCACCTCTTTCCTCCCCCTCCCTGCTTCCCTCTCACCCCTGTTGCAGCCGCAATCATGTGTTTCATGAGGGGAAGGGACTCCCAGGGTAACCAGATTGGGCAAGATCGGGCGTTTGGATTTTTCTATATCCTCCTTTTTAAGAGGTGTGCTTGTCATTGCTATCGCATCCTCCTTTCTTTAGAGGTGCGCTTGTCGCTGCTACTGCATCCTCCTATTTTTAGAGGTGTGCTTGTCGTTGCTACTGCATCCTCCTTTCTTTAGAGGTGCGCTTATCATTGCTACTCCATCCTTGTTATTAACATGTTTGCTCGTTCGGAACTAACCCATTCTCACTGTTGAAAAGAAGCTACACTCGTTTGCATTGCATCTGCTTTTATAAAGAGCTTCTCCATCCTTGTTATTCAAACATTTTCTTGCTTTTCTCCCCCTCTTCTCCCCCCTCTTCCCCCCCCCCTCTTCTCCCCCCTCTTCTCCCCCCTCTTTCTCTCCCTCCCCGCAGGGACGACGGTGATCTCGACGGATACTACGGGGGGTTTGTAAAGCTCAAGGACCCAGAGTTCCTGTGTTCTCCTCTTCTTCCCCTTTCACCCTTCCTGTTCGCCCCTGTCCGCCCCCTCTTTCCCTCCCCGCAGAGACGACGGCGATTTCGACGGCTACTACGGGGGCTTTGTCAAGCTCAAGGACCCTGAAAAACCCATAGCAGCAGCTATCAACACGGGCTACGAGGGCGAAGACGGGTCCGCAGTGATCGATTTCGGAGCCGAAGTCACCTGGGGAAACGCGTCCCGATCCAGCAGCGTCGGGCTCATCTCATGGTTCCCAAAATCCTCCGCTCCGCTCGGCTATAACTACTACTTCCGGGGGTCATGGATCGGAATGAGCGCGCTTACTGCTGCTGACGGATCTGTTCTTTCCGATGCGATACTGGCCATTGGGAAGAAGACTCAGGCGCATTATGGCGCCGTGGCAAATTCCAATTACCCCAGCGGGGCCGTTCGTGGCCAATGCGGGGTCGACACGTCAGGAATCAACTTTTAACTGCTCGGAGTGGGTCGACAGGGTAACCGCATGGGATTGGCGAATGGCTGCTGGTGTCTCGCCCCTGAATCTGCAGGGAAGTGCAATGACTAGTTGCAATGGGTGAAGGGGTCAAAGGCTTGTTTGGGGGGGAGATTATTGTGGGTGGGGAGGGGAGCTGGAACCTGGTGGCACATTGGGGATTTGGTAGGCATATGCAGGAAACATGCATTGGGAGCAGGGTCTCCATCAAATGGCTTTCTTTTGAATGGAGTTACATTTGAGTTGAACTTCGTACTGTATATCTGATACAGAT